CCTTAGTTTTTCTTGACTTTAATGTGATAAATGTTGTGGATAAATGCGCTCTCTCAAATCTAGTTATACATACAGTTGTATCACAGATTAACAGAGTTTGTTTCTAAACTCTAGTATTGAAACCTACACAAACATTTGGTTGCATTTGTCCCCATGACAATTATTTTTTATCTCTGTTATTTAAAGTACAGTATAGAGAAGCATTGAAAGGAGAAGGAATTGATGCCCTGCTTCTGTTTGTTTTAAAAGAGGCAAGTGGTTTAAGAAGAAATGATGGGCAGAGGCACAAAAAGGGGGAAATAGGAAACTAAATAGCCTTTTCCCCTTCCCTTCCCTTCCCTTTTTTCTTTTTCTTTTTAATCATTGTTGCTTAATTTGCTGTCATTTTATTTCTGCTCAACAAATTAATTAATTAATTAAACAAACACACACACAGAGAGAGAGAGAGAGAGAGAGAGAGAGAGAGAGAGAGAGAGAGAGACCAATTCACTATTCTAGGCCTCTTACAACATTTAAAACACCACATAAAAACTCCACCCACCCCATCCATGCCAGCAACAACACAATCAAATCAACTGCTTGATTGGCTCCTTCTCCATTCATGCTCCCCAGGCCTGCTGACAAAACCGTTTTTAGGTCTTTTGGAAAAGCAATATGGTGGGGGCCAACAGTAATTTGTGAATACTGTCTGGCAGTAAGGCAAGAAGTAAATTGACTTCAGCTGAAATAATGAAAGATTGAATTTACCACTTAGTGATCTTTTTAGTTGTCTGGGAACCTAGAGATCTTTAGAAGTACTTGCCTTTGGACTAGAGATATGTTCATTTTTATTGGCCTAGATCAGGAGTCTGCAACCTTAAACACTCAAAGAGCCATTTGGACCCGTTTTCCACAGAAAAGAAAACACCGGGAGCCACAAAACCCTTCCCGTACCTGACTATTTCTTGAGCAGACACAAAACTACCATATGTAGTTGAATTAAAGGTTCTCTTCTGAAACTTTTCTTGGATTTATCCATGGTTGGCCTACCGGGGGTTGAATAAATCAATAAATTATGTGCTGGTGGGTGTCACACATTGGCGGTTGTGACACATATTTTGAGTGACAGGAGCCGCAGCAGAGGGATGAAAGACCCACATGCAGCTCCAGAGCCGCAGGTTGCTGATTCCTGGCCTAGATTATATTGGTACAAGAGGGCAACGAACAGAGAGAAAACATGTAATTAATTCAGAGCACGAAAAAGAATTCTGATGTCATGAATTCTTTATTTTAGAAATCTAGGCAGCAAGACATTAACCAGATTAGAGCCGTGGTGGTGCAGTGGTTAGAGTGCAGTACTGCAGGTCACTCCTGCTGACTGCTGGCTGCCTGCAATTTGGCAGTTCAAATCTCACCAAGCTCAAGGTTGACTCAGTCTCTAATCCTTCCAAGATGGGTAAAATGAGGACCCAAATTGTTCGGGTCAATATGCTGACTCTGTAAATCGCTTATAGAGGGCTGTAAAGCACTGTGAAGCAGTATATAAGTCTAAGTGCTATTGCTATTGTTACATGGATTAAAAAAAACTTTAAAAATGCTAAAATCTGCTCACTGTGAAGCTTAGGAATTTGCCTTATCTCCCCCATTGCTGTCCTTTAGGCTGCCCTGGTGAGGTTGGAAGGGGTGGTGGGTGTAGGCAGTGTAATGTACATGGTCAAAACAGCAGAGATAAGGGGAGCTAGGCAGGGGGAGTATAAGCAGGGGTGAGCGTGACAGAACAGGAGTGTGAAATCCTGGCCTAACGACCGCTACCGTAACTACCAGAACTGCCATGTTTAAGCAGTATAGTCACGTGATGTTTTGCCTAATGTCTGCATAGTTTAGCATCAGAAATTCCGGTCCCAATTAGGATGGTTAAACAAGGATATCTGTAACCTGGGAACATAGTCTCTCTAGCTGCTTCTAAAAATTTACTCTGGAAAATACGTTGATGATATAACAAGCTAAATAAATGAATTAAATGAATAGCTACGAAAACACTTAAAAGATCCCCTTGAAAGGAAAGGAGGAATGAAACACAATTGCAAGTTTAATCAAGAGCAACAGATTTAGGAACAGAATTGTGAATACTGAAGTTGACAAAGCTTTGTTTGGGTATTGTAGAAGTATTCTTGCAATTTTTGTAGAGAATTTGTACAGCTGAGGGTGGGGCATTATTTTTATCTCTTCCTTCCCATGCATTTTTCTGACTTCCTGGCATCACCTCTTGTTTCTTGTAATTTTATACCTGGTAGACTGATGTTAGGAAGTGAGCTTTTAAAGCAACATAATGACAAATATATGCAAACGCATTTGTCATGGAGAAATGATGACAAGCTGTTAAGATGCTCCCATTAGACTTCCCGGAGGAATGAACTTCAGCTCTTTTTTTCTTGCTGGTCAAAGCAGCTCCTGAAGAGATTCTCTGCTGCGGGTGCCTTTAATAACCTTCCACTTTTGCCCCTCAAAAGCTTGGGAAGGGTGCATCGGCTGGCTCAACTCTCCAATCACAGGCTTCTAAACAGTGCTCAAGCCTGGGTTGTCAAATGCTGGGTGTGAAACTGCATGCTTAATGAACACAGGGGGCAAGGATTGATTATGCCTTGGACTTGGAAGCCGCAGCTGCCTGTGAAACAGTGTTACCTCTAAGCTCGCTATGGAAAATATGAAGGAATGTTGAAGAAGCTTATTTGCAAAAGGATATGCTCCTGTAAGCAATTTTCTCTCTCTCTCTGTGTGTGTGTGTGTATGTGTATATGAAATTTTCCCCCTTCAGTGAGGAACAAAAAAAAAAAAGATCATTAAGCATTATTTAAAATTTGCTTAACTGTTAATAGGGACAGACAAAGGCCTCTTTAAACAAGGCATGTGTCTATGTAAAGCTAGACGGTCATTCATAAATGAGCTTTGTAGAAACAGAAGGAACAGCAGCAATGGATGGATAATGGCTAATGGCTAAATGTAGGGAGCTGTGTACTGTCTGGTTTAAAGTCCATTGAAACCAGTGGAAGGCAAAGCAGGTTTGGATATAGCTTTATGAAATGTGTTGTTTGACTTGCAAACCTCATCCTTCTATGTGAACTTATTATGTAGCACTCAGCTGTCATAAGGGGTGGATTTTACTCTGACTTTATAGTATAGATCTGACTGTTAGATTCCCATGTCCTGATATGTTCAGATTTTTAACCTGTTCTTTGTTTCTCTTTCTGCTCTGCACATGTGCTCTCAAAAACCTGATGTCTGGAAATGAATAGCTTAGATTGTTAACAGTGAAAATTAAGTGTGGAAATGTAATGTTATTCAAACTGTTATTTAGATTGATTTTTAAAAAAATTATCACAGATATTTAAATGCCTTTTTAAACTCTGTGAAATTCTGGCTGATTATATCTCATCTTTAAAGAGCAATGCATTTTCCTGGAGTATTGTTACAAGGAATCTTTTTCTTTGAATCATTTTGAAAAACAAAATGTGCTTCTCAAAAGAAACTACTGAAAATTGTACTTTCTTTAGTTAACACTTCAATATAGGAAGCCACACCCCTGAGGAGTGTATGAGAGAGAGAACAATCTTCTGTTCATCTGTTTATGCTATTTGTTTTACTTCTGATCTGCTCAGCAACAAGGTTTTGAACTAATTAATTCAACTAATTAAAGCTTCGAATTAAAACTCTTTTGCTTTGATAAAGACCTAGTTTGTACAATAATTGAATGTTTCATTTTGCTTGTAAAAATTTATCACGGTCCTAAGGATAAGAAGATACATCTTTTCCACAAGTGCCAATACAAAATTAGACTAAGATGAGCAGATAGCTTTATTGAAGCTCTAAAGGTGTTAGTCTGCACCCTTTTATGAGCGCATGGTTCAGTGATTTCATTGCTGATGACCTGCATTGAAATACAGTATGCAGAGCATGGATCTTCTTATTACTAATAGTTCACAGAGTCACTTTAAAAAAAAATCAGAGGGTGTGGTATTATAGCTAGGTCTGTATCTCCCACATGTTTCACTCCTGTAAGAAGGGAGGTGTGTGTTGAATATGTTGTTGAGTAGAAATAGACTGAAACAAAGGCATTTGGTATGGTATCACTGTCAGCAATAAATTTTAAAATGTGATGGATTTGTTAGGTATCACACAGACATTTATTCCCAGTGGTCAGACTCCAAAGACCTAGGAAATTAGTTTTGTAAACCCTGTAGCCTTACGCTTTTGACACTGGGGAGCCTTCCAAACTAGGTTGTGATATGATTGTGAGCGTTAGCCATCAGAATAAAAGTATTCCACAAAGAGGCCACATTTGAGTATAAACAAATGTGTTTACCGTGTTTCCCCGAAAATAAGACCCTGTCTTATATATTTTTTTGAACCCTGAAATAAGCGCTTGGCCTTATTGCCATGTGCTCAAAAGCCCGAGTGGGCTTATTATCAGGGGATGTCTTATTTTGGGGGAAACAGGGTACTTGGAGCTCAACCTATATTTTATACGTCATACTTTTATAACAGAGGAACATCCAGAGAAGTAATATTCAGTATTAGTATAAAATATTCATCAAATAGATGTTTTTTTTAAAAAAAAATCAACACATAGAAATACTAAAATGCTTAATAGAAATCCAAAATTATTTAGTTTGAAAAAGGAAAATTATCAAACTAATTTGGAAATGTACATAAGGAGCAGTAACATGAAAGTTGTTACACATTACATTTATAATAGACACATGGACTTAACTCAGTTTTTACATAATTATCTTCTGAAGCCCTCTGTCTTCCAATGGTCATTCGAAAGCAATATAATGTATGTTTAGTTTTAAGTGGCAGGGTCCAGGCAGGCAAATATCTCCATGTTCATGATACCGAATAACAGGTTGTGTCCTGCTGTAATATATGTATTTCATTTGTTCATATTTGCAGAGCAAACTTGCTCCAAAATGGGCAATGGTTACAAGTAACTCTCTGAATTTTATGTTGTGCTTGCTTTATAGATAAACATTTTGATGATGATGACTCAGTGGATGGGAACCGACCATCCTCAGCCAGTTCCTCAACCTCTTCAAAGGCTCCCTCATTATCTCGAAAAACTGGGACGGGCACTGCTCGAAGGGTAGGAGCAGTAGCTTTAGTCGCAAAAACTCCAGGTAGGTCAACCCCCTGCAAACACCTAAACATTACTTCTTTCAGTCTTTTTTGCCCTTACATTTTTTATGCATGGTTGGAACAGTAGAACCTAACACCTCCCTTTGTGCACCTATTTGTTGATTTGAGGAATGTACTAAAAGTTTTATGTAAAATATTTGAGATTGTGTCATGTCAACAAGCATATTATCAAATACGTTTATTGTAACTAGAGGTAGTCCTCGTTTAGCAACTGCTTCATTTAGTGAGCATACAGAAGTTGTGACCCAGGCCCAAGTAGTTAGTATTAAATGCAAACAGTTCAAAAACAAACAGACTTTATTAGAACAGCTGAGAATTAACTCATTCTCAGCGTAGTCCAAACTAAATTAAAGCAAATTCTTCAAAACACCATTCCTCAGTTTATCACTGACTTTGGTATAATTAGGCAAACTGTCAAAGGCTTTTCTTGGCAAAAGTTCATAAGCAGAAGACGCCAACAAGAAATGAATACAGTGAAACAAGAAGCAATTCTCTCAACGTTGTTTTCCGGCAAAGAGGCCAAGAACTGTTGCTGGTCTTTTAAGCCTTATGGGAAGGGCCGATCATCTCTTGGCCCTATTCCCGAGTTGTCCTCTCTGCTTTATCTGCTCCTGCCTTCAGGCAGTTCTTCTTATACGTGCACTAGGAACAGGCTCCTCCTGTTCCTCTGCCTCTCTACTGTCAGCCTCTGGAGGCTCCGAAGTCCACACATCACTCCCCGATGGCCCATCTCTGCCTCCGACGCAGAGCTCTCATCCGGGCCTTTCCCAGCCTCCGTGACTGGCCCATGTTCTTGCTCAGCCTCATCACTGTCCGACTCCGCTGCCAGCTCCGCAGGCTGCTGGCGGACCACAACAACACTCTTACAACAGTTATAGTCAAGAAATTTCATAATCAGTTCTCGCATTTAGGATCCTTGTCGCTCTGTAAACATAGGAAAGCGGAAGTAAGATCATTTATTTATTTATTTATTTATTTATTTATTTATCATTCATCATTTATTTATTTATTGAATTTATATTGCCGCCTATTTGCCCATGGCGACTCAAGGCAGTTTACAGAATAAAAGACCACATTTAAAACAATAAAAACTAACAAAAAGAATCAAATAAATTAATATAGTACAATAAGCACAGTCGTAGTTTCCTTAGTGACCAGGTCACCTAACAACCAGGTTGCTGATCCCAATTGTGATCATTAAACAATGACTACCTGTACATCACTTAACAACTTTGCTTAAAATGTTTAAAGAAAACTTTCTGACATTTTAATAGGACAAATTCTTGAGTTCAGATCTTTATTCAGATGCAATTTTTCTCTGGCACTTCTAAAGCCAGTAGTTTTTTCAAATATTGAGCCTAGTTTATGGGAATGGAATGTAATAAATCCAATGATGGAGATGGAGAACTATCTTAATAAATAAACAGGTAATCCTTGACTTAAAACCATATTTAAGCCCAAAATTTATGTTGCTAAGTGAGACATTGGTTAAGTGACTTTTGCCCCATTTTACGACCTTTCTTGCCACAGTTTTTAACTGAATCATTGCAGTTTTGTTAGTAATATGGTTATTTTTTTTTTATTGAAAAAGTTTTACAAATACAAATTTTTCCCCCTTCCCCCCACCTTTCCCTCCCTAACCCTACCCTCCCCCTGTGGCTTCCCCAGAATGAAATCCAATTATACATTTCTTCCTGACATTCTAGTATACTATCCCCTGTAAACTATACATTTCTAGACAACATTCATCTAAAAATTATCTAATACTTCTTAGTTTAGTATTTATTCTATACATAATCTATCCCTATCCTCCACTCCCTTACATAAATCTCTTGTGTCCGGTCTTTTATATATGCTGATAACTTCACCATTTCTACAAGACTAGCCAGCTTCAGAGTCCATTCTTCAATAACATCCCTTTTCCAGTATAACCTAATCTATCACCATATACCCTATCAGTTTTGTTTCACCCACTTTCCCGCAGGTCCGCCATATATAATTATTTATAAAATCTAAACAATCACACCAGATGTAATATGGTTATTAAGTGAATCTGGCTTCCCCGTTAACTTTGCTTGACAGAAAGTCAGAAAAGCTGATTATGTGACCTTGGGATAAATATGAGACAGTTGCCAAGCATCTGAATTTTATTCACATGACTATGGGGATGCTGCAATGGTCGTGTGAAAAATTGTCATAAACCACTTTTTTTCAAGGCTGTTGTAACTTTGAACAGTCACTAAACGAACTGTTGTAAATCGAGGACGACCTGTACTTTACAGTAGTACTTTCAGAAAGCTTTCAAAATTAAATAAAGAGTCCAGTCTAACTAATGTTTTAAACTGCTTGATTCATTCTTATGGCCCAGTGAAATATATCACATTTACATTAATTATACATGAATGTATACACAATGTATACACATATACATTAATACATTAATACACATACTTTACTTATAATAAAATTATTTATAGAAATATATTAACTTTTCTAAACTTCGCCATTTTAGAAAAAACAAATTCCATCTCTTTCAGGCAATATTCTGTCTTCTTTGATTGTTTCAATCTTTTCCTTAAGAAAGTCTTTTCCTGAAGACATTGCATGCTTCGCCATTTCTTTTCTTTACTCTTACTACAGTAAGACCTATTTTACATATATTTTATATAAATTTATTTCATCGCTATTATTGTTGCCTCCCTCTTACATTTTCTAGCAACTAAAGAAGGAGCTGGTGCCATTGATGAGGAGGATTTCATTAAAGCTTTTGAAGATGTCCCAACCGTTCAGGTAAATGGCTCATAGTGTGGTTAGAAATGAAACACACTGGAATGTCAGGGTGGAGGTAGAATGCATTTTTTAGACAGACACTGTTTGGAACTTTTGCTTGTATCTCAGAGAAGGACAAAGACAAGATAGTAAAGTTGATTGGATTGGCAAATCATTTTTTTTTTTTCAATATTGCCAGTGGGACAGCAGGTTGGTTTGAGACTGTAAAGCAGAACATGCCATGAGAAGTTTGGTAAACTAAACAGAATGAAATGGTGAGGAAACTTGTTTAATGAGGAACACTCTTAAATCTCAAACGGTCTTAAGTAATGGATGATATTAACAGTAATTGTATTGTTTAACAAGAGGCATAAAAGACACAGAATATAACATTGAGGCATGTTTCTTTTGTTAATGGAAGCTGGGTGGATGTAGTGGAGACATTCCTAAGTAGAAAATGGGAAGTTGTTTTTCTTGGATCCCTTTTCTTTGTAATTCAATCCTATCTCCATCTGCACTAGAGGAGTTCTCTTTGGACCACATGAAAGATAAACAGGATGCTGCAGTAAAATAAGGACATTTTATTTATTTATTTTAAACATTTATAGACACGCCCATTGTTCAACCAACTCTGGGCGGTTCCCAATCGAACAACAAAAGAAACATAAAATTACATTTAAAACTATAAAGCCAAACCATTTAAAATATTAAAAACACTAAAAACCTGCCATTGATAGATAAAAGAAGTGCACAATTGGATACAATTCATGTTTTAAAGCATATTGAGCAAAATTAAAGCAAATTGATAGCTTACTTTTATATATCTTTTTCTGGGTAATGTGGAATTAGAATATTTGGTTTGGTATATATAATAGTAGACTAGATCAGGTGGTAGTGACTACACCGCTTTCAGGAAGCATCACAGAAGTTCAGCTGTGTCTTACCATCTCAGGGACAAATTGGTCTACTTCAGTGGTGGGTTTCAAACTTTTTTACTACCGGTTCTCTGGGTGTGGCTTGGTGGGCGGGGCAGGGGAAGGATACTGTAAAGTCTCCATTCCCACCTCACTCCAGGGGAAGGATACTATAAAATCTCCATTCCTGCCCCACTCTAAGGGAAGGTTACTGCAAAATCCCCATTTCTTTCGGATCAGCTGGGACTCTGGAGGCAGAGAATAGATGGGGGTGGGGCCAGTCAGAATTTTTACTACTGTTTTTCCGAACTACTCAAAATTTCCACTACCGGTTCTCCAGAACTGGTCAGAACCTGCTGAAACCCACCTCTGGTCTACTTGTTCTGAGTTTAAAAATTAGGGATTCTCCTACAAAGCTGCCATGTTGTATTATTCCCTGTGACTACAACAATGAGGTTTTTAGTAACTTCAATAAATTTGAGTTTTTAAAATTTTACATGATATTTACCAATTTATTTTATTTGTTAAATTTTTTTATCAGATGCCAAATTTTAGATTATATCTCTACTTTGCTATTTGGGGGTGGGTGGGGTTTTTTTTTTTTTAAATTAATGTTTGGTTTTCAAAAAAAAATAAAAATTAATGCCTGGTAAAATAAAGTTTCAGACATATCTCTTGGTTCCCTGGTAACCCAACATATGTTTACCTTCAAGTAGAATAAAAGCCGGTATCTTTTAATGAAATAATGGGGGAGGGGGAAACGAAATATATGCATTTGATATCCTGGGTTTAAATTCATATCTTCTTTTGAATGTTAAGGAAAATGATTTGTCTTTGCATATCAGGAGTCCCTCTTTTTAGTAGTTTTCTGCTTCTCTCGTGCACTTTTTCTGAACGATCCTCCTAACCATCTAATACATATTTAGAGGTATACAGAAGATTGTGATGAGGCAGAGATAATTTCTTGAGTTCAGTGAATTTTTCTAGCTTAGTAAAATAGTTTTTATGTTTTCTTTACAGATTTATTCTAGCCGAGACTTTGAAGAATCCATAAACAAAATCAGAGAAATTCTGTCTGATGATAAACATGATTGGGAACAGAGAGTAGCTGCAGTAAGCATTTGATTTTATATGAACTCTTTATGTAATATAACCTACCTGGCATGGGATTTTTCATTGTGTGATATGCTAAAAAATTGAATAATTCCTACTGTGTCTGTATATTTTTGCAAATTGGAAGTTTCTTATGTTCAAGACATCTTGAAAATTCTTATTTCCTGTTGAAAATAACAAAAACCAAGCAAGAATTGTGAATGCTTAATTTTCAGAGCTATAGAGGGTAGTTTGAGTAAGATCACTATGGTAGATGTCATGTTATAAGAAGTTGCCCTTCTCTTTAAGTATGCTTCAAAATTGGTTAAATCAACCTAGAACTCAATTTCATTTTTTAAAGTTGTTTTAAAAATATATGTTAGGGTTTTAACATGCTTGGATTTTAGCTTACTACTTGTACCCAATTTGGAGGCTTAACGAAAATGGAAAATACAAATAATACAATTTGACAGATTTGTACTCTGCAGATGATAACTGATAAAATAGTTAATTTTGTTTCCTTAATTTTTGTTCAGCTGAAAAAAATCCGGTCTTTATTATTGGCTGGAGCTGCGGAGTATGATAGCTTCTTTCAACATCTGCGCTTACTTGATGGAGCCTTTAAATTATCTGCTAAAGACTTGAGGTCCCAGGTAGTGCGAGAAGCTTGTATCACATTAGGGTAAGGAGCACAATCTATGTATTCTACATTATGTTAATTATTGTCAGGGTGAAACTGCAACATGTTTTTCCTCTGATCATCCTCTTCTGAGGCAGGAGAGTGAAAGTACACTTAGTTGAATTGCTGTAAATCTTTGTCTCTCTGATTTATGAAAATGACACCATTTGATTTCTGTCTTTTCTGAGGAAGGAGAGACTGAAACCTGCCCTTTCAGGTGAAAACGGGAATCCTTATGCTTAATTCCTGTGGCATTCTCCCATATGATTTGTGTTAACACCACATAATGGGACACCGGTGAACATTTATGGGATGGGTTGGATTGGGTCTTCCTATGAAGTGGTTTCTGAATCCTTCACCCACAATCCTATGTACTCTCTCATATTCCTGGGAATAGCCTCTTTGATGGCATTGCCGCCAGTCAATTTATCCTAGAGAAATTATTCCTGTCCTGGTTTACTTTGAGGGAGGAGACAAATGGCAATTTTCTTGCCTTTTCTTCAGTAGCTGATCTCCAACCCACGCTTCAGGGTGAAGGCACATTTTTCTTACTTGCCTTCAGTCAACCCCTGGAAAAGAACTAGTAAAGGAATAACGGACACAAAAACCAAGTACTGCAGAGGAAATACCTGTGAATTGAGGATCAGTGCAGGAAGTTGTTACTAAGAACTCATTTTCAGTGTAAACCATGTCTTTATATCATTCTCATTTCTGGACAACTTGGCATTTCTCTGTCTGCTTATCTTAATAATCATGAAACTGAAAAAAATAACAAAGAATTATTAGGTCATAAATACCTAATTGGTAACTCTTGAGTATTTTAGTAGTGAAAAAGCCATTTCCCTGCCTCAAAGAAGTAGTAGGATTGCTGGGAGAGAGAAATCCATCTCTGCTGTTCTTAAATACTGTTAGTTTATGAATATATTTGCAACTAAGCATGTCAGTGACTCTGGCTTCGTGTCTGATACAGTAGTGGGTTTCACTTACCTTTGCTACCAGTTTGGAACTGCGACCACGTATGTGCGCTCGCTTTGCATCCGTGTGGTGCTTCTGCGTATGCACAGAGCATCCATGATGACGTCTGGGCGGGTGGGTGGAGCCTCCCGCCACTGCCGCTACCGGTTCGCCCAAACCAGGGCGAACCAGTAGAAACCCACCACTGGTCTGATATGTCCTTTGTGCTACAGTGATTGTTTACCCTGATATTGATAGTATGAATAACCTATACCACATCTGTGAAAAAGGACTTAACAAGAATTATGCAAGTGAAAAAGCCTGCTTTCTTGACCCCTGCATATATCTGCATCATGGTTACTTAGTGTCATTTTGCAGTTACCCTGCATGTTTGTTCAGAAGCTACTCTCATTGTTCCTCAGTTAGGGGATATAGGATTGTAGTTGTTCATTAATTATTTTCAGCAGTTTTTATTTGTGAATGTCTTGGTTATTAAAGAAAAACCTATGGATAGATGCTACAACAAATATATATATATTTAAATAATGTGATAGCTTGTATTTCTATAGAAATGGGAAGATGAAAAACTAATTAATCATACTGTAAGTATCTTCAGATACACCAAACATTCTCCTCTCTGTCCTCCTCCCATTGTTATAATTGAGAAATGTCTATTGAAACTTCAAAATTTTTTATCAGTACTGGTATTTCTGTAGCCAATGTTTCAATAATTCAGTGATAGATTTAAGGAAAGCCCGAAAGCTTTCCTTATTTCTTATTTTATAGGATTGAATACTTTGTCTAGGTTCAATCAGAGTTCAGGGTGAAAGTTCAGGTATTTAATTTGCCTTGGCAGTTTCATTCTGTACTGCAGTTTGCTGGAAGGACTGATTTTAAGAAAAGGGCAAGAAGACTTGTTAATAGCAGCTCTAAAATTCACAAATGACAAGGCGAGGTGGAAAGCAGAAGAGAAGGTCTGACTAACTGATCAATCAGTTTAATAGTATCCTTTAGCCTTTCCCTAATAGCTTCACAGTGATCTACATAGACTGATTCCTTGCGAAAACTGACCATCATATCATGTATTGGAAAGAAAACTGAGAATACTTTGTTAACACACATGCTGTGTTTATAGACAGTGAATATAATAGCCTTGCCTACCCTGCTCTTTCATTATTGTAATCTGTTTTCTTGTTGTATTTCAGATATTTGTCATCGGTATTGGGTAACAAGTTTGACCATGGGGCAGAAGCCATCATGCCAACAATCTTTAATCTCATTCCCAACAGTGCCAAAATCATGGCCACTTCTGGCATAGTAGCTGTGAGATTAATTATTCGAGTGAGTATTGCTCAATGCAAATACAAATTGTTCTCCCATGTACTCCTGATGAGAGCAGCAGAGGGATATAATAAACATGAAAATCAGTCCAATTAGCAGGCTCTTGCACAGAATCTTAAATAGGTCTAGTAGTCAGCATGAGAGATTCACTTACTGTTTGCCATCTGTGTTTGTATAAACATTACCACACTGGCAATTCAAAAAGCTGAAATTAAATTGTGTTCTCTGGAAAGTTTTCTTTATAGTCTGACAGTGATATATTCTACATTTGTTACATGTTTAATACCAATGAAGAATAGAACACATCTGTTGAAGAATATATGTGTGTGTGTGTGTGTGTGTGTGTGTACAGTTAATATTTCGGGTTTCTTCCCGTGTAATTGTGAACATATCCCTAAAAGGGGATACCCCCTTTTTCCAAATGGCTGGTAGGGTGGTAGGGTAGACAAACGGGTCCCTAACACGACGAATGACACCAGACCCACACTCACAAGAGCCACACAGGATGTCACCACCACACATCCACGCAGAAAGCAGACTCAAACCCACACTGATAATGAGCCACGACCAAGGACCAGAAGCCAGACCGCAGCTGCATCATTAGCCACTTTAAACCCCTCCAATCCATACATGAAGCAGACTGACACCCACCACGAAGAGCTCGCACGGCCACAAACACGAAGCCAAACAACAACAACGCAGCTCACCAGCTCAAATCCCCCTGCAACTCAGACTAAGCTGAGCACAACCAAGCCCCCACCCAAACAGAACACACCCCCAGCCAATCAGAGCACATCCAACCCCCCAGCCAATCAGAGCACAGCCAAGCCCCTAACCAATCAGAACACACCTCCACCCAATCAGAACACAGCCAAGTTCCCACCCAATCAGCTCACACCCCCACTAGCAGTTAAAAGGAAGAGACAGCTACGATCTCACATTGCTCCTGGAAGCACGAAGCCGAGAACACCAGCCTGAAGATGACGAATGAGACTTCATCGAAACGTCGCCAAGAAACCTCCAATTTTACGCGGGAGAAAACCCGAATAACCAAAGACCTACATACAAACACCCGCGAAAACCTCAGAAAACAAATATATATATATATATATATATATATATATATACACAAATACACAGAAAGAAACACATATATATATATATATATATATATTTATCTTTGTATATGTATTTGTATTTGTATATATATATAGGAAAGCCTGTCTCCGCATTAAAAACAGACCTTCAATTTGCATTCAGATGTTTTAAATTGAGGTTTGATTTTACCAGTGCTGCTTTTTAGTTTAACATTTCTTGATGAGAAGGAGAAGCAAATCTGTGTTACATTCCAAGGAAACAGTATTAAAAGGCCATTAGGCTTTATCTGCAAATCACAGCATGTGAAAATTCTTCTAAATTTTTCCATTGATCTAGTAGAATGCTAGTATCCTTTTACTAGCCACAACTACACTGTTCTTTCAGTGGTGTGCCAAGAGAAAACCTAAACTAGATTTGATGGATTTAGCTGATATATAAATTGCTTTGGTTTTTTTTTTTTTTTAATGTATGGCTTTAATATCCCATCATTATATTCAAGCAAGTATTTTTTTAGTATCTAGTAACTTCATTTCTACCACATTCAAATTGAGTTTGAGTTCCACTTTGGGAGGATGTCTGTAAACTGCATCCTAGGTTTTGGGATCCATGTAGAGACCAGGACCCTACGTGTATTCGTTGTTTAATTGATCTCATTGGCAGTAATAGTCAACAAAGAGCATAAAGTATATTTATGGTAAGGCAAAATTCTAGTTTGATATAACATATAGTTGGAATCGTTTTTGGATAACTAAAATTTTGGAGATGCAAAATTAAAAAACATAGAGCTAGGTTTATTTATAAATTGTTGGTAAAGTATGATTCAGAAAGTGAGCAAGTCTGTGTGATTTAGTAGGCACAGAATTTAAATAGAACAATCAATGTGCAACAGTCAAAGTATCAGTGGAAAAATATAAGTCATACATTAAGTTTTATATTTATATATTTAGTATAAGATATTCTGCTGATGTTTTATTACTGCAGTACTGATTACTAAAATAGAAAATTGGTTCTCTTAAAAATTGTTGGAAATTCAGTAAGTAGGTTGATTATTTTTTCATATTTGGTGACTGTGTTGTAAATTCAAATTCTGAAAAGTAATTTGTAACAGCATGAAACACATTTTAAAGGATTATTTCCTGTAATCTTTCAGTTTTTAATTAAACATTATCAAGCCTTATATTTTCATTAAATATGCTGAATTAGCTTTGTACATGGTAAAAGCTGCAATAACTTTTTATGCTATTCATTGGAAATTATATGGAAGTATGCTTTGATATCAGAATTAACTTCAGATTTGAAAAACAAATTTAACAAAATGTAGAAGCCATGAAAATAGAACTATATTCCAAGACCATTTTTTTTAATATGAACTTTCTGCTCCTTTTAGCAATATAGCAGGCATGTTAAAAATATATTGATTTGCTTGTTTTGAAAAATGGATCTTGCTAGCCATGGAAAAGAATAATAAGATACTCTGGTACTACAGATCTTTGTGAACCCTCTCAAGCCTTGTTCAATGTTTTCAATTTGATAATAATTTGTTTAAGCTATTGCTTTTTACAATATTTTTTTTATTCCCTAGCATACACACATCCCTAGACTAATTCCCATCATCACCAGTAACTGTATCTCCAAATCAGTTGCAGTTAGAAGGTGAGTTATGCAGTTTGGCATCTAGGGTCTGCTTTATAACTTACTTATACAATTATATGTTTTTATGGAATAATTAGTTATGAAAAACAGCCTGGTTTTAAGAATATTTAGTTATAGGAATTTATTTACTCCTTTTTCCTTTTTCCTTTCCTTTCCTTTTCTTTCCTTCCGCCTTACAGTTATTGATGGAAAGATTGCTATTGTTAGTTTTTGAGCTTTGGAATCATCCTGGTTCTGACCAGCAGGGGCGGATGTGGTGGAAGAGGGCCTTTTTGTAATCTCCATTTAGTGAAGAATCCTCAAAACTCTAATTCATATCTTTGTCATTACTGAGCTCGACAATGCAAATATTGGCAGCTGCTCCTAATGACTGAAAGCTGTCAATATCAATCTTTTTTGCTTCCTGTACTCTTGCAGATTTAAGCAGATTGTACAGGTGAAATCCTCAATAGTATTGATCCACACACATTTAAAGAAATGTCTCTTTCCCCCTGATGGGGTAGGAGACCATTTTCAGATCAACCTATTTGGGAATATCTTCCCCCCTTCTTGTTTGATCTCTTTTAAGTCAGTTTGGACTTTAATCAGCCTGCTGTTTTCTTGGCAACATTTTTGGTTTGCCCTTGCCTTCTTCCTAGGGTTGAAGGAGAGCAATTGGCCCAAGGTTACCCAGCTGGCTTTCTACATAAGGCAGGACTAGGCTTCACAGCCTTCTGCTTTTCAGCTTGATGCCTTTAACTATGTCACCAAACTGACTCTTGGGAGCATCAGGTAACTGCAAAGCAAAGTATGATTCTCACCTCATAAAATTATCTGCTATATCTGATTCCCATCCCCCATTCTATTTACTCAGCTCTGTCTACCAGTGCTAATAGGAAAATAGAAATACTACAGGTTATAGAATAACAGCTGGAAGGGATTTGTAGGTCATCTAGTCCAACCCCTTGCTCAAGCAGGAGACGCTATACTATTTCTGACAGATGTCTTCTTGAAAGCTTCCAGTGATGAAGTACCCACAGCTTCCAAAGGCAAAGCTGTTCCATTGGTTGACCCTCTCCTCTCTCTGGCAACCCCTCAAATATTAGAAGATTGCTATCATGTCACCCCTGGTCCTTCTCTTCACTAGACTAGCCATCCCAGTTCTTGCAACCGTTCTTCATGTTTTAGCCTCTAGTCCCCGAATCATCATTGTTGCTCTTCTCTGCTGTGGGTTTTTTTTTTCTTTGATGTACCTCTTTGGTATTTGTATTAATCATACCACCTCTTGTAATTATATTTCAAAATTGTCATCTGTAAATCTGGAACAAAGTTGGCTGTTGGCCAGAGGCTGTTTTTTCCCAGAAAAACTATGCATGCAGCACTAGATAATTTCCAAAAATAATGCTACTGTGTGAACTTTTCCCTGAAATTAATCTGCTTAGATGAATAGTCATATCCTATTTACTGTTGTTTTGCAGTTCTTAGACCTCCTACTGGGGTTGTTTTGGTGCATCATCTGCTTTTACCCTAAAATAGGTCTAATTTCATTTGTTACACTTTTTGGTTCCTTACTGAGCACTGAATTGTCCAGGACATTTGTGGAATTTTTAGATGCTGCCCAACTGATTCAGGGTGTTCTTGGGTGATGGAGTAAAACCTGCTAGTTGTTATTCTTTGTCACCTAAGTTTGCAACAACTTTGTATCAAAAAGCACATTAAAGTAGAAAATGCCGGGTTTTGTAGCATTAGAAATATTTAGCTCCATAGGAAGGGTATTAATGGTGAGTTACAAGAATTAGACAAAATTTTGATGGGCCAAGAAAAAGGCATGATTTCGAAAACTTATAAGTTGTTGATGAGAATAGAGATAGGTGATGAGATGATTAAGGATACAATGATCGCCTAGGGAAAAAACTTTGGATATTCAATCCATTTAGAGAAATGGCAAGAGATTTGGTGGGAGAATATGAAATTAGTAGTTTCCACGGCATACAAAGAAAATATCTACAAGATGATATACAGATGGCATCTTCCCCCCGATAGGCTAGCTAAATGTTCACTGGACAATCTGCGGAATGCTGGAAATGTGGGTGTGAGCCTGGTACCTATTACCAGTGGTGGATGTGCCCGAAAGCAGTAGAATTCTGGGGGAAAATAAAAAAAATGGCTGAATGAGATTTTAAATCAAAAGATCGAATGGCGACCAGAGACATGCCTGCTCAGCTCCAAACCGGAAAGTATTAAAAGAGATTTATGGTATCTTGCACTACATATTATCACAGCAGCGAGATTGGCGTATGCTCAACTTTGGAAAAATCAAAATATCCCATCAGAGGAAGCTATTATAAAGAAGATTTTAGACTGTGCGGAAGCAGATAAATTGACCGAAAAATTAAAAGATAGAGATCAAACACAAATATGTTTATCTATAGGTGGCTAGAGAAGAGGAAAATATAACCCAAATTAGAAGAGGAATTATATGTACTGAGAAATTTATATTATACAAGTTAAGTGAGGTCGGATAGACTTAATTGTTTTATAAAGATATGTAAGATGTTCTGTCTTCTCCGATTATAATATAGATATACAGTACCGAGTACTAGGTTATTAAGGTACTGCTTATAGATATGCTAGTTTTGTTGGTTTTTGTTGTGTTGTCTTGTATGTTTTGTTTGTTATTTATATAATGTGTTGTTCTTTTTTTGTTTTTAATGGAAAATGTAAATTTTTTTTAAAAAAAAGAAATATTTAGCTCCAGACTAAAATTCCAGAGCTGTGTGTTATGATATCTGCTGTCACCTCTCGTTCAGTCAATGCACTTCAAAAAAAATTTTTAAAAGGCAACTACTTATTTATAAGTAAATACTTACCAGGAAACAGAGCCTGGTTACTTAAATATAAAATTTACTTACAGACAAACTAAATTCTTTGTGAAGAAAGGAATTCAGTCCTCATTGGTCTTTTAGTAAATGACTGCATAATAAATAATCAAGCAATAACCACGATCAATTGTGATTACCTCTTGAGAAATCTTGAATTGTGACTAAACAGAAATTACAATGAAAAAAAAAATCCTGTTGGAATCTCGGAAAGCAATGAAGATTAAAAATGTAACAAGATAAAAAAAAAGATGTCTGAGCAATTACAAAGAGCTTCTGGAATTAAGACAATAATTTAATACAGGCATTCCTTCATATATGACCATTTATTAAGTGTCTGAACTTACAGTGGAGCTGAATAAATAGTGGTTATGACCAGCCTTGGAGTTCCAGCTATCCCAGAGTCCCTCCAGTTATGCGATTGCAATCTGGATACTTGACAGCCAGTTGCAGTACCCCACAATTATGTGAATGCTATTTGCAATTTTCCCTCCTTACTTCCCCAAAAAGTTAGTTGAAAAGCTGGCAGGGAAGATAGAAAATCACTGGGGCAAGTTTCTCCCAACTGCACACCTCCCGCCCCTCTGTTTTTCTTGCATTGGCTGCTTCTGCACCCCTGCACACCCTTCCTGACCCTCACCACACTTCCCTTCTACCATCGCTCATCTTCTCCAACCTATGTCCCATCTCTTAGGCACCCCCAGCACCATCCCCTACCCCTGCACCCCTTTCTCTGACTCCCACTCAGGAGCAGGCCTGCCTGCTGGCCTTGGAAGTTGCTTCACCTAATGCCATGGGATTTGGTTAGGACGACGATCGTGATTGCAAGGGATTGCCATCATTAAATGACGCGGTCATGGTTGATGACCAGACTGCTTAGCAATGAACATTGTGGTCCCAAGTCTGACACAAGTTGAGGCTATCTGTACAATGCCAATGCACAGAATACTGCAGTTCCTGCCTACAGCCATGAAACTTAACATTATTCAGAAATTTTGCAAAATCCTGAGGGGGGCTGGGGGGCGGCGGGTTAAGAAAAAATAAAATGAAAAGATGGCCTTGACAGCATAATTGAAGCCTCAGCCCTTTTATGTATGTCATGTGGCATAAAGATAAAAGAGTGGTGCCTCAATTGCACTATCACAGCCATCGTTTGAACATTTCTGACACCCCCTCCCCCTCTGCTCATGCCAATGTCCTAAGCCCTGACTAGAAGCACATGATTTTATTTAAAGTTTTTATTTAGTAGCCTGAATACAGGATTCCTCAAGATACTTTTGAAATCACTGTTTCATGTGAACTACTTCTTTGATGTTAAGCAAGTTGTCATTGATATAGCCTCTGGAACAATATTAATGACAATTACCTCTTTTTCCTTTCTCTCAGGCGGTGTTTTGAATTTTTAGATTTACTTTTGCAGGAATGGCAGACACACTCCCTGGAAAGGTAAGATACAAACATCATGATATGTCACATGCTGCTCCTCTGGCTGCATTAGGGGGTGGGGGGGGGTAGATTCTGTCTCATGGAATTGAGGAGATCTGGAATATGAGTTTAATGTGGCTCCTTTCTCTCCTGCCCTTGCAAAGGCAGACAGACATTCCCTCTGACTCCAACAGAGCAATAAATAGAGACAGGTCTGGCTTTACCCGGGGGGGGGGGGGGGGGGGGGGGGAGAAAACCAGTTTCTTTTGCCTGACTAGTGTCTGAACTGTTTCCATCCCAACTGCTCCATATAAGAATTGCTATGTGACTTGCACAATTAGTGCTTCCATTTTGATTGCTTTGTTTCGCCCTTCTTTCACCCTTCATTCGGGCCACATGTGAGCTTTTGCAGCCTGTGGGCAGGCTCTCTTTTGTCTTTCTGGATTTTAGTAAGCTGCTCTTGAAGACTTCTCAAGCCGAAGAATGGGGTAAAATGCTTAAATAAATGCAAGTGCAGGAAAGATGAGCAGAGGAGATGGAAACTCCTCATTTTTAACCTTTTTATTTTTAAAGGTATCTCTTTAAAAAAAACTTTCTTTGGTAAAATTTTAAATAAACCTTTTTGTTTGTATAGGTATCTACTTAAAGAATGTTTGTCTTACCCTTTCTACTTAAAAACCCTTGAGAGATATTACTCTGGCCACTGGAAAAAAATAGTGATTGTCTCTGTGTAGGCAAAAGGCAAAGGCATTCAGGGTCTAAGGAAGGAGTTATAGAGAGAACCCTCAAATTGGAATATGTGAATATTTTTCTTGACCCACATAAGCTGAGCAAGTTGGTGTTTCAGAAACCCTTTTGTATAGATCAAATGTTTGGTTTATAGCCACTCGATTATGTTCTTGTATGGGTTCAGCATCTTAATTGCTATAGTGTCTCCATGCTTCTGTGGTTTCCACATACAAAGGAATGACCTCCAAGGAATGTTTCTTGGTATTTCTTATAAAAGAGAATGAAATGCAATAAAGCTCACTGGTACAAACAAACACCCACACCTTCCAAAAGGATATTGTGTATCCAGTTCTTTCAAATTCTGGGCAAGCGGATAAACGTCCTTTGAATTCCAAATGTAATGTTGGAAGACAGTTTCTTCTCTCCTTCCTCTGACAAGGTAAATAGTGATGTGTTCTAATTTCAGGCATGTATCAGTATTGGCTGAAACCATCAAGAAAGGAATCCATGATGCTGACTCCGAAGCACGGATAAAAGCCAGAAAGTAAGTGGGCATCTTTTTGCTTTAATTGTTCAGTCCATCAATAATCATAGGCTTTATAATGCTGTTCAGTGGAAAATTTATCCAGTAACTGATATTCCAAGGAAAGAACAGGACCAGACCATTAAGAACTCAGGAAATGGACCATGCTATGCTTAATAATGATTCTAAGCGTTTTACTGACGTACTTCAGAGTAAATTATACATCATCATCAGAAAAAATACATCAGACTCATTGGAACTTTTTTCTGCATAAGCCAAATAAAGCTAGTCATTGTTTTGGCTCTGTTTAATATGGTTTGTTCAGAAAATTAATGTAATTTGGAAAGAAAAATCTTAATTTCAACATTTTCATTGCTTAATACACATGAAATTTCAGGCTTTTGCATTATATAGGGTTCTTGATATTCTCTTCCCACTTTGGAATTTCGAACTTGGTTTAATTTAATATAGTGGAGAAATCCACCTCTTTCTATGTTCAAAATATCGACAATTAATGGCAAAGTGGAAGCTTATTTAAGTTTGTAGTGTGCTCACTTCTTTATTTGTTTATTTTGTAATAGGAAATGCACTGACACTTAATTTTCCTGTTTCTGCAGTCACTTTCCTACCAAAATGTTAAATTCTTTTAAACAATGTTCGGAAGTCCAAATAATATATGTGAAAATAAATAGGCTTGTTACAATTATACAATTGATTTTCTCTGCTATGTTTTCCAGTTTTTTTTCCCTTAAAATCTATTAGGGCTCTCTGAACAGTTAGAATGTGACACACTAGTATACTGTTCAATGATCAGTTTAAACTTTTATTTTCAGGTGTTACTGGGGCTTCCACAATCATTTTAGTCGAGAAGCGGAACATTTGTTTAATTCACTGGAATCCTCATACCAGAAAGCCCTGCAGTCTCACTTGAAGAATTCTGATAGCATAGTGTCTTTGCCTCAGTCCGATCGCTCCTCTTCTAGTTCCCAGGAGAGTCTCAAGTAAGTCTTCCTTTCCACTAATGTATTGCTATTGGATGAACTTAATACCTTCAAGTTATCCCTTCCTCATCTATAAATTAGAGCCTTTGCTTTTTGGGAATTGTTATTTTCGTGAATATAAAATCAAATATTTTACTCTTACATGGAGTCTAAAACTGATTTTGCTTCCTTATTTATTTTTGTTTCTGTACAGCATTTTTGTAGGAAAATTAAAGTAAAAAAGTATAAATACAAATAATATAGAATAATTCATCAATGTTGATAAAGAAGGAGTTAATAGTTAATATAAAATTCATTCTGAAATGAAATCCATTAATTCTATTCCTTTTTAGCCGTCCATTGTCTACCAAAAGAAGCCCAACTGGAAGCACTACTTCACGAGGTAAGAAGCCAGGAGAAGAAATGGTCAGGTGTGAGGCAAAACAAGCTTCTCCTTCTTGCAAAATAAGTAATTTTTACTCATATTGCTATATTAGTTTTGCACATTACTTTTATAAATTAAACATTTGGGGGCCTAAGACAGAATGGTTCTAAATATAAAATGGTTGAATACTTTAAATTTAAACCACTGGGAAGAAATATTGAAATATGAATTACTTTATTCTTAAGCACACTTCGTTCTTGTATGTAATGATGGACGATGGTGACAGAATACTGAAAGCAAATTCTAAGCTCAGATATGGAAAGTGTATATGAATTCTCAAAATATTCTTAATATATATGTGGCAAATGTTGTTTTAAGATATAAATGCCACATTTGATTAGAAAATCGTGTCCAGCACGGTTGTACTAATCCCTGCATAATGCTTGCTGGATAGTACAGTCATAAACAACAGAGGAGATCTGATAGCAACCAATAGAGATAAAAAATCCCAATGCTTGCTGAGCATAGTCCTGTCAAGCAAAATATGGGACATGAAGTAGGTCAGTGTCTTGCCCTGCTGTAAATTCACAATGTTGCTGTGGAGAAAAAACTGTGCTATACAAAATTATAAAATGTCTGTTTGGGCTCTAAATATAGTATGTCTGTCAAATAAAATACATTTTTACAGTGGTAAACTGAGGATTTATGATGGTGTTGTGAGTTTCCAAATTGTTGAAAGATGATGTTGGAATATGATGGATTTTGGAAAGGCCTGTGATTGCATTTACAAGTGTTAACCAGAATTTATTGTTTTGAAATTACATTTTTATTAAGCTTAAATGTTTATGTGCTTAAATATAAATTGAGAATATTTCCTCTTCATTCAGAATGAATTGAAAGAATATTCTGAAAAGATCATGGTAAGAGACTCCTGGGATAGATTTATCTATGACTGTGGTTTTTCTCCTCCCTTAAAGCTTCTGCAGTTAGTGTGAAATCTGCGTCAACATCAGGGTCTCTCCAGCGTTCTCGCAGTGACATTGATGTGAATGCAGCAGCCAGTGCCAAATCCAAAGTAACATCTTCTGGTTCAGATTCCCCCTTCAGTTCTGCTGCAGCCCTGCCTCCAGGCTCATATGCATCTCTTGGTAAGTGTACTTTGGTTTTTACAAAGAAGATACACAGATAATCAGGACATCAGGAGTAGGAGGGAAATTTTGTTATAAGAAATGTAGTTTTAAAGAGGAATATGGTTTGAAAAACATTTCTGGGCTAAGCCCACATATTGCACTGCATCCATAAATCGAGGTTTACAAGCCTCAGTGGTTGGGGCCACCCAGTGCAATAACCCAAAATGAAAGTTTTGTTCTATATGTCACATCAGATGGTGTATAGTATGTGAAACAAATGCATTGTTTAATAACTTTTAGATAACTAACTTACTTAGTTTTCTAAAGCAACCAATGAATTTTGAGGGAAAAGGTATTTTTGGTGGTGTTTATTAGAATTCCCTAGCAAGACTTCAGAATTCTTTAATAATTCAAGAACATCATAATCTGAAGTAAACTTTTGTTAAAAAACTGCAGTAGACATAAAATGGGAAATATCCTATTCTGCCATTTTCAGAAAAAAGTTCATTTGAACTCACCATCTAATCCAAGAATAAAAATATGTATTACAAAAAGCAAATAGATTCAATCGAATATAACTCAACTACACATTTGTATTGCTTATTGTTTATGGCCACCTCATTAACCATTTCTATTAATGTCTGACATTAACAAAGTCTTAAATTTAGTTAAAAGACAATAACTACTTTTGTAAGAAGCTGTTCTTACAGCTTGGTCATTATATCAGTGACAACATGGTGTTTGAACACCCAGAGTCTAATCTTCAATAACAACTCTAAGGGGAAGAATTATCCTGCTCTCAGACTGATCTTCTCCAAGGCCTGATTTTCCCAACAAATGTGGGTCATGTTTGGGATGTGAATTAATAGCTTAAAAGATTTCTGAGGCCGTGAACGTTCTGCAGCAAAGAAAATGGAGCAGGTCATATCCCTCTCCCATCCCTGGTAAAAAAGTGCAAAAGAAAGGAGAGAAGAGGTTCTGATTCCAACAAGAGTAAGAAAGGAGAAACGAGTTTACAAATCTAGGAATTGTTCCTGTGGTCCTTCCAAATTCATTCTCTTTCCAATTCTCACAGATTCCCAAATTTTCCCTTCCCTGAGAATTTCTCTTAGAAAAAAGACCAGAAAAATAAATGCCACAAGTGCTTTTTTTAAAAAGAGAAAATATGTTAGACAGAGCTTTTCATAATAATTTAAAATATCGTCTAATCCTAAAATTTTGGAGGTAGGGAAGCTTAAAAAATCTCTTTTAAGAAAACTGTTGATATTGTCTTAGTAGAAACAAAAAATAAAAGGGTTTCCTAATTCAGGAAAGGATAAATTTAAAAGTATAGATGTTACTATTCTTTTGCCCAATCTGCTCAGATGGTCTCAAGGAGTAACCAGATCTAGATAGTGTAAAAATTCAGGGCCTCGGGTAAATCCATTCTCTACTTAGTGCTCTTCCAAAAAAAAAAAAAAAAAAACAGAGGTCAGAAGAAAACATCAGCTACAGACTTCCAGAATTCATTTATATGATAGGGAAGAAGCATCACCATTTAACAGTGTCAAGGTATCAGGATTTTCTTAAGACTACCAGCATTTTCTGTAAATCGGTGCAACAGAACAAGTGTAAAATTCCACAAATCTGGAATTTATTTTCCAAAGTAAATGGGGGCATAAGGGTTACACTAGATCTGAGGTTACTCACAGACTATCTAGGAGAGAGGTGTTTCAAAAGAGATATACTAAGGTCAGTTTTGTTGACAATCAATATGCAGTATTTGGTAGTCTCTGCATATCTAGAAGAAGCTTACTTTCATCACTTGATTAAAAAAGGAACTGAAGTACTGCTATGATAATATCCCTCTTTGTATTAGATCTTTCTTTTCTAGTTAATTCAAACACCACATGAGATTAGTAACAACAGTGGCTCATCTACAGATTTTGTTTCTCTACTTAGGCAGCATTTTGATTTCAGCGTCACCTGGACAAAAGAACCACCTTCTTCACGACCCAATTGTCTATCCTTGGAGTTATTATGAGCCATTGTGGCACAGTGTTAGAATGCGGTACTGCAGGCTACTTCTGCTGACTGCTGGCTGTCTATAGTTCGGCAGTTCGATTCTCACTGGCCCAAGGTTGACTCAGCCTTCCATCTTTCGGAGATCAGTAAAATGGGGACCCAGATTGTTGGGGGCAATAGGATGACTCTGTAAACCGCTTAGAGAAGGCTGTAAAGTCTAAGTGCTATTGCTATTCCCAACTGTCTACCTGAAACTGAACAGATATGGTTACGCAGATATTCAGATAAAATCCACAAAAATTTACTTTCCTAAGGGAGAGCTTCTACTAATAAAATGTATAAGAAACCTTTTTAATTAATAGAAAAGTATATACAAGTCAGGATTTTTCAGTGAAATACCCTAATTTCACAAAATGTTTGATAGAAGTGGCCATATTTAACCTGTCCACAGTTCATAATCTTCTGATCTGGGAATCTAAACTGGGTCTTGACTGTGCCCATTTTCTTTGTCTTTTGCCTATTTGATATTTTGAAATTACTTACCCTATCTTGTGATAACCAGAATACTTTTAAAATATTTAGATAGATCCTTGATATCACAGAAAATGGATGATAGTCCTCTAAAGCTTAAAATTGTGACTGATTGGCAGAAGCATCCATGGGGAAATGGGGGGACAAGTAACAAAAACATTCTCATGTTGCAAGTGTTATTTTTGTTAACTTGCGTTGTCATCTTGCATGCACTCATGAAAAGGGCAGAGCTTATAACACGAAGCTGCTTTTGTCATTTTGATGAAAACCTTCTGTCCTGTAGATATCTCTAATGACTAGTTTTGTTTCTCAGTGTTCAGGTATGTAAGATGTCTGGGTGATATTTTATTCTGATACCACAGTAGCATTGGAAGCTTCAACACCTGCATTTTCTTAAGCAGCCCCTCCAGTGTTTCCATAAATTTGTATTCATGGTAACAAAATACATGAAGAAAAATGCACAAACAAACAAAAAGCAGGACTAATTTAGGAGTTGTTTGTTTCTTGTTCAGACCTACTCATACTGGAGTATTAAATACTCTGTGCAGCAGCATTAATACAATAAAAGGAGTGATTATGTTAGCTGCTTATATTAACAGTGCATTATGTGGTAATTTTTAGTCAGCTGGAGCTGCTGTTACGATTTGGTCTGTGGTGAAGAGATATCTGCTAAATTAGTAGAAGAATGAATACTTATTTATAGTTTACAGGGTCTGCTAAGTAGCATATATAATTCTAGAAGAAATGCATCAGAATGTACCTTGTGTGAAAACAAGAAAATAGGCGAAGGAAATCTTTTTATGGTTCTGCTCTATTAACTAATTTATTTTACTTTGTTTGACTGATGTGATTTTCCCCTCATTTGTGATACTAAAGACACCCTGCCCACTTTTGCTGATATTACTAACTATTCCCTCTTATCACTCTCCTTATTCTTTTAATTTGCTTAAAGATGGTACTACCAGTAAAGCTGAGGGTAAGCTGTCTGTATAACAGGTCTGTCTCCAACTTTACCAGGTCTCTGTTATCACCCAAGTGCTCCCTGGTTTTCATCCGTGTCTGCTGGTACCTCTTGCATGACTCTTGCATGGTGTTTTGACTCTTTCCTCATGTTGGAACTATTGTATGCCCTTTATTGTCTCTTTCTCCTAACTCCTAGGCACAACTTAATTTAATTTATTCAATTTAGGCAACATCTGACTCCAGACTCTCTGGGCGCTCACAATATAACAAAGAATAACATACAGTGTGTGAATAATAACAAACAACAAATTAAGAATAAGAAAGATAAAGAGCGAAAAACAAGATAATCAATTACACAATATGTCCCCCCTCCCCAATAGGTTTATTAGACATATTTGAACAGTGTAACTTTTAAGTCATTCATGAATGTTATTCACTATACCATTAAATATAAAACAAGAAATTTATATCTCACATATATTTTTACTCAGATTTAAATTTATAAACCAGATAATGACAGTCCAAATAACCCTGTTACCCCCACTGTCAGTAACAATGAGGGGTGGTGGTGGTAGACAATGGTGTTGAATTGTCTTCATTATCGGTCTACCTAAGAGTCCAAACTCTTTGGAAATAGTTTTGTAACTTTTCCAACTGGTGAACATCAACAACTCTTCCTGTTCAAGTGGGTCATCCCAATTACTGAAGACAAAGGTTCACAAATTTTATCCCACAAAAATAAGTATCTTTGGATTATTTTCTTCAATGAATAAATGAATAAGTAGGATATTTTTGTCTCATTTGTTTAATTGGATTCCCTTTATCTAATTTTAGGACTTAATGTGAAGAACAAATAATCTTGAGTCATATTCCGAAAGGGTTTGCAAGAACCAGAGTAGGTTCAAAAATTAACAGGCGCTTAATCTTCAGATCCATAGTTGTTTCATTGAATAGTCCAACATTTACTACAGATCAATGGGGTTTTCAGCCAACAGCACAATATTGTCTCCGTATGAGACCATACACACCTTCATGTCTCCAACCACCACATCTCAAATGTCATTCTAAACGTTCTTTATACAAATATACAGTAGAATTTGGAAACAAATTAACAATAAAGGAGATATCACACATCTTTGTCTTACTCCCTGTTAGGCTGGAACCAATCATCTAATATTCCATTTATTCTTATATGTGCTTTGCTTCCATCATCTATCACTCTTATGGCATTTAGCAATTAACCTTCTCTGTATATTCATACAAAGCATTTCATAATTCAGTGCTATTAATCATAGTAAATAAAAAAAGATGGCCTTGAAGGACAGAGGGATGATCTATTACCAAGGCAACAGTCAGATAAACTTGAGCATAGGCTAAGAAAGTAGTTTATGAAAATGCATCAGACAGTGTTCCCACCCCATCCCCAATTAACGTGAAAATAAAAGGAGGAACCATAGCACATTTAGATCTGCAATATTCTGTAACTATAGCTGCTCTAATAAAAGTAGTTTTAGATTTGTATGGCGTCTGTTTCTTAGTGTAATCCACTAGGTTAGAGCTGGCATTAATTTTATCTTCCAGTTGAAAATTATTTCTTGTTATACATATCTTTTTTTACTTGTAAGCTGCCCAGAGTTGCTATGGAGTCAGGCAGCCTCAAAATTGGATAAATAAATAAAGCTTTCTCTAAAACCACAAATACACAGTCGTCCCCTCCCCTTTTTCCTAGTGACTTGCTAAAGAACAAAAATACGATCTGCACAGTCTTGCTCAACAATAAAGCCACACTGCACTTATCAAATTTTCTGTCTGTATGTTTTCAATCAGAATTACCTTCAACACATTCCCTGATGTTTTTATTCTTGTTATGCTTCCCTTTGAATAGAGAAGAATCAAGAAGTTGCACAACCATGCCATAAATCAAACATACCCATGTTTCCAGTTACACTGTCTTTCACCTGCAGCTTTACCATTTTTCAGCATCATTGAATCATTTATTGTTTCCTTTTCATTATTTTTTTTTTCTTGGACACAAACATTTACAGTAATGATTTCACATTCAGATCTCTAAAATACTGCTTCTAGAATTTCTTCCAGAATTTTTTGGGTTTTCTCACAAATCTTTTGATGATTTTTAATATTGAATTCCATTCACTCTGGTGGAACTTTTTTCACTTACTTCTAAAATAATCTTTTTCCGTCAAAATTGTACTGTATTTTATCTACCGCCAATAATCTTAACATTTCCTTGCTACTTTGGTAATTTTTGCATCTTATCTTTTTCTCTCTGTATGCATAATCTAAAACCTTTCCTTCAATTCATGAATTTTCACTATATATACCCAGTTCAGTTGGTTTCTCATATCCTTATTTTTTTTGGAGCAATCATTCTCTTACAATCATCTTTTTCTCCTCCATGGCATTTATTATTTCATCATTCCACTAAGCATTAAAGTAACTGCACACATTTCTATGTTACTCTATTCCAAGAAGTTTTTACATTATCCTTATTTGCATTATTTTAATGTAAAATATTTTACATTATTCTTAATTATATTGGGAGATATTGTGTATATGTGTATCTTCTAATACTTTCTTCATACAAAACTCATACTTCCTTTTCCGGCCACGGTTCTAATTTTACATTATTTCTTTCATATATTTCATGTAAAGTTCTTTCCCAAGATCCACTTTAGACATTACTAAATAATAGTCTGTCCCTCATGTATAACTCTCTTACACTTGTATATCTCACTTATTTTTCTGTGTTTCTTCATAAATAATCAAATTAGTTATGTTTCCTTATTCATTCCTATATTGTATGTACATACTAATAGAAATGTATTCTTAAACTTTATATTAAAAAATAGTCCTTTTCTAAGGAAATATTTGCCAAACTGTCTCACCATTCTGATTCATTCTTGGGTCACCAAATGGCTCAATCTCTTTTTCTGAATTATCTCATCTCATTCCCGCCCTACTCATGTCTCCTAGTTCAATACATGTAGTTCTTGACCTAGTACCACAATTGAGCCCAAAATTTATGTTGCCAAGTAAGACATTTGTTAAGTGAGTTTTGCTCCATTTAATGACCTTTCTTGCCACAGTTGTTAAGTGAATCAATGAAGTTGTTACAGTAAGTCAATAACACAGTTGTTAAGTGAATCTGGCTTCCCCATTGATTTTGTTATCAGAAGGTTGTAAAAGGTGATCACATGACCCCTGGACACTGCAACCATCATAACTACAAGTCAATTGCCAAGCAGCTTAATTTGGATCACATGACCATGGGGATGCTGCAGTAGTTGTAAATGTGAAAAATGGTCATAAATCTCCTTTTTCAGTGCCATTTTAACTTTGAACGGTCACTAAACAAACTGTTGTAAATTGACAACTACCCATATTTTTCCCTTAGATTGCCTTCCTTCTTAAGGTTTCAGAGTTTTAAACAAAATTCATCCCTAATTCTTCCATGATTCCCATCTATTGGACATAATATGTATCTGTAACCTTCCTATGGGTTTCTGCTTTTATACACCCCTTCCCCACACCCAGCAACTTTCTGGATGACACAGTTTTGTACATTCTAACATACAGTTACATCTTTTTGTTCATGAACTTTTACTTTCACTTTACGGCATGTATTTAGCAACCATTCCTTAAGAGTTCCTTAAGATAAGACCATCCTCATCCAGATCCATTACATTTTTAGCTTTTTCTTAATTTTACATAATACACAATTTATTATTTTTAATTCAGCTTTTTTCATACTGTTTAGTGTTAGGCTTCTTGTATAATCCAAATCATAATCTTCCACATATCATAGTTATCACCAAAGGGGCCCACATGTTTTCCCTATTGCCTAGTCTGGCTTTAGTCAATCAAGACTTTTACATAATACTTTCTGATAGACTAAGTTACCATTATTAATTGCATCTGTGCCACATGCATCATTTCCTACTAATGGTAGTTTTGGCATATTTTGATTAATGTGCCACAAGTTCAATCAAGCACCAGTTTTTCCCCAAACATGTTAATGCTATGCTATGCAAGCTAAAATCTCTTAATCTACAGCCTATTATATCGGCCAACATATAGCTGTGAACTTAACTATCCAAGAAGAACTTGTGTGCAATATATTGAAACTCATATATGGGTACTAATATAAACCCTTTTGGAATAAAACTGGTTATTTTACTCCAGTCAGATTGATATTTGCAAACTATAAATAGATTCCCAAAATTTATGCTCAAAATCTGATCATTTATTTGGTTAAAGAGACCAGAAGGAATCAATAAGAATGATAGTGGAAAGAGACACGTGACTTCATATTCCTTTCCTAATTGGGAAACCTAGGTTCAAGGTAAATACCAGTTGCATCCAACTGAAGGGACCTATCTACTGAAAGATATTAACTTTATTTATATATTCAATGTTTTTTTTCAACTATTTGAACATGATGTAAGTAGTGCTGATTTCTAATTAATGGTTCATGGTGTTGAGATTTTTTGAACTATAATTATTACCATAATAAAATGGACCAGTATGCATCTGAAATAGCACTGTGGGAGATAAAGAAAAGTGGGTGATGACTGGTCTGAGTAAATCTAGAGAGAATATTTGTGTTAGCATGGCCATTATTTTAACGGAGAGTAACAGAGTTATTTATTTATTTATTTATTTATTTATTTATTTATTTATTTATTTATTCATTTTATTTATTTATTTATTTATTTATTTATTTATTTATTTATTTATTTATTTAATTTATATGCCACCCTTCTCCGGAGACTCAGGGCGGCTTACAATGCACTTAAGAGTTAGAGGTACATACCATAAACTATACTGGATAAAGTATTATTGGCCATTGTATTCTTTACTACTTTATCCCTCTTTTCTTTTAGACAAAAAGGCCATATCCAGTTTAGATAATAGTATGCAGATAAAATCACTGTAATAAAAGCTTACTACAGATCCTGTCTAAACTATTATAAGACAGAATAATTTGGGGATGAGAAAACTTTTTTTTTATTTTTTATTTTCTTACCCTTATCCTCAATAGGCCCATTCATAATTCAGCCTTAACTTTATCCTTTTTTCAACTTTCCAAAGGACCATTTTATTAACAATTCAAGCATTCTTCTATACCTTTCATATTTGGCTCTTAGTTAAAGCTATTTGGCCCTCAAAGTATAAAATGAGTTTTTCTTTTATGTTTTTTACTTGTTTAAATATCTGAATTCTGACTTCTAATAAATCTGAGGCGTGTCTCAGAATTTGTCAATAAATAAATACTTTGCAAGATCAGGCTGTGAGTGGTATTTTTGCTTGCATCCAACTCTATACAAAGGTTAGTGGATGCTAGAGAGTCCTTTTGGATAAGCAGGCTAACTAATGACATTATTTTAATATAATAATTGAAGTTTCTTTTTTGACTCTGAAGGGGGAAATAGGCCAGTATGTTTTACTGTTCTTCATTTTTATTATAATACGTGTCCTTTCCTAAACCAATTTACATCCTTAATATGATACCATTCACAACACCAATTCCAAACTGTTTTAGACAGATAATTGTCAAGAGTACTAAAAAAAAGTATAAATGTAATGGAAAAAGTCTTCCTAGAAATTTTTTAATTTATGTGACTGTCCCTGAAAGAAGACAAGACTTCAGCTTATTTAATAACTGTACTATACTGATGTTTTTAATTGCCTTGTTATATATTCATGATTGGATTGAATTGCATTGAAATGAATAGTATCCTGCATAAAAGTAATGTCCACTTTATTGTGGAATAGATCTAATTGTGTGGCCAAGCTCCATGTGGTTTTAAGTAATAGCAGAAATTAGAACATTCAAAAGGGTTCACAAACTTAAGCACCACTGTATTCCCTGATAGTGATAGCCAATAAAAGACTTTAGGAACCTTTTTCTAAAAATAAGGGAAAATCTTATAATCTGGTCTTGGTAGCTGCATAATTGGTATCAATATGAAGTGGCCTTATGCAGGTAGAAATGTTACACATTGGTCTTTCTTCATGTTAGCTTGAATTCTGATTAGTCTCTACATATATAGGACCTCTTTATTATGATACCCTCAAAAATGATTTACTGGGAAACATATCTGATGGGTGATATTAGGCCTGTGGAAGCACCAGAGAGATTCATATAAATTAATTATAATAAATAATAGTATGTGATCTGCAGGGAAAGGAAGCTCTTTTTCTCGTCAGTAAAATAAGAGTCATGTTGCTTAATCCTATTTAATATTAATTTGAAGAAACTGCCATTCATTTCTTCTTAGCATATGTTCCTGTGGTTCTTTCCTTTTTACATTCACACCTATTTCTGTCTCTTTAATCCCAACTTTGTCTTCTAGTTTTGTATTTGCCTTGATAACTTAAGCATTATTAAGTTATAGGACTATACTTCTTTTTTTCCCCCTTTTCCTGTTAGTTCTGGTGGAAATTGATTTTTGTTTGCAGTATGCTTTAAAAATAAAGTTATTTTATTATATAATTCTTTCCTGGTGTGTTGAGTCTGAAGTTCCAAATGCATTAATAAGATAAATAATGTGTAAGGTTGAGCATGATTCTAAAGTGGTTTGGAAAATATTCTTTAGATGTCATATGAACACAGTGTCTCTCTGCTACTCATTGAGGCAGCCATGTCTTTTTTCATATTTGTTCAGAAGTCTGAATAAGATAGGAGTTCTTTAATGAGCTTGTACGAATTCCCATCTACTTCTTCAGAATCATTTTAGAACCATGCCCAGCTTTCGTGATTGGTATGTTTTGCACTAAGTAGATAGCTTCCATTCTAATTAATGTATATAAATGAGGGAATAACATCAGATTCCTAATTTGGGGAATCCAGTTTCAGCCTCCTGTTACAATTTTCTCATTTTAGTCAGATTGCAGAACTATTAACTGAGGTGTGAGTGAAAGCAAATATTAACCACAATCACATTAAAGTTTAACCGTCACTTTTCTGTTCTTTTTTTCTGTTCTTTTTTCTTTCCTCAGGTCGAATTCGCACAAGGAGGCAAAGCTCTGGAAGCACCAGTAGTATCACTTCAACACCTGCTGACACTCGAGGCCGCAGTCGGGCTAAAGTAGTTTCACAGTCCCAGCGTAAGGAACCATTTAGTGTGCTATTGTGGAGCAGACACTGTCTTTTTCAAGTTTGTTTTTCTTGTCTACCTTATTTTCATATACATCAGTGTTTCCATTCAGTGCTATGAATATTCTTCAAATGCAGTTTTAAAAATTAATTCCTATAGTTAGGTCCTGACAAATTAGGTATGATACACAGATTTTTTTTAAAAAAAAATACATTTGGGACTTAACTCCTCAGGATATTCATTGCTCTAAGCATGCCTATGAAATTCTCATTTATTTTCCCACACAGCTACTTGTTCACATTTTCTTACATTACGAGCACCTCTTCTCTTCTCACCTTTTCTTCCTTTAAGAAAATGGGGTGGAGGGGGAGCAAAAGGAAGCACTGGGCTGCAATCACCTATTGTTTTCATTTTTTAAGACAGCTTATGGAATCCATAAATCATTGGTTTATAAAGATGGGATGGTCTGGAAATGAAGACACTAGAGATCAGCACTATGTTTTGCAACACACCTTTTCTTGATTTCTTTTAATTTTTTTTTAAAGATTTAAACGTAAAATGTCAGGTGGGACAAAGAATCCAGGAAGTAGTAGACAGAGTCTCTGTAAGCACTCCATCCCCACATGGAGCCATTCAGCATCATGTTAGTGATGTCAATAATAGTGTTTCACATAAGCATGAACTCCTGCATACAGAGGTAGTGACTTGGCTCATACCACATCGGATGCCTAAACCAGGAATTATATTGCCAATTTGTGCCTTATTTGAGTTAAGGTAAAATATGACTAATTTAGTGACAACAAAGCATAATATGAAACTATGACTTGCTTTATTAATTTTGTTTTCTTTTTACTATGAGTAGTCAATAAGTAATCATTGATAACACCAGGTGGTTTATTCCTGGTTTATTTTTGAGTTTCTACCAAGCTTCTGGCTAATCCAGTTGTACAAGATAAGAGCAGCTGGAAAGTCATTGATCCTCAAACCAAGCTGAGGTTTCTTGGTTCTCTTTCCAATGTCTTTTTTCTCTCTCTCTGGTAACAGTTTTCTTTCCCCATTCGTTTTTTTCTTCAGCACATGGCAAATAGGGGGAACTGAGTTTCATATGTTAAATTACAGTGGGAAACTAGTAACACCCCCAAAACTACATACTGTTTGGCAAAACGTACACTCTGACTGTCTGTTGTACAATGTTTATCGAGAACCAGGATCATTAATTTATCCTACATCATGGCACTATGTCTTCCCAAACATGAGGTGAATAGACACTCAGTTTCAAGACCTTGTTTGTGAATTGTAAATAGACAGTGAATTTGGAGAAAGATTTTCATTCATAATGACCATTAGAAGGGGGAAAAAAGTCTTCATGCTATTCAGAATTGGCTGTCTGTCTCAATGTGTTCACTAATTACTGAGGAAAGGACATAAAATATAAGTTACATGCCCTCTTCAGATCTATAAAAATTTGAGTAGTAAACATTAAAGATATTCATCTAAAATTGCTGCTTAACAGCTTAGTGTAAATGCCTGTGTAAAACTGTATATTCTGTGGCAAGGCTGCTAATTTATATGGCACAAACATGTCCACTGGTTGTGGATAATTTTTCCCCCTGATTTTTTTTCCATCGTACGCAGACTTCTATTGATAATCCTTGACTTACGACCACAATTAAGACCAGAATTTTCATCATAAATTAGTATAGTCCTAAAGTGAGTTATCCCATGACTGGCCCTGATTTTACAACCAATTTTATCATGATCATTAAGTGAATCAAATGATAGTTAAGTGAATTACATGGTAATTAAACAAATTTGGCTTTCCTAATTGACTTTCTTTGTTGGAAGCTAGCTGAGGTTGCAAATCATGATCACATGACCACAAGCTGCTGCAGCTAGCATAAATGCCAATCAGTTGCCAAGTACCCAAATTGCAGTCATATGACTGTGAGGTGCTGAAATGGTTGTAACTTCAAGGATGCGTCATAAGGCACTTTTTTCAGTGCCATCATAATTTTGAACCATCATTAAATAAATGGTTGTAAGCTGAGGACTACTGTAGTACCTGCACGCACACACGCACACAGAAAGGAAGAGTGTTAGTATTCTATTTAACAGAATTGATTTTCAATCTTTGTCACCACAGAGAAATGCCTGAATTTTTCCTGTGTTAGGTTTTCAAACAGAAGTAATCTATAGGCCTTCAAAAAATCATGTCATGCTATTGATTAAAGTCTTCTGTGTTTCAAATACTTTAAAAACACTTAACATTTTAGGTATAGGAATAAAGGAACTATATTTTGTAAATTTTGTGATTCTAATCCTAAAAATAGTATAAAATATTTTTTCTCTCCTGTTTTAAGGAGAAATGCTGTGAATATGCCATTACTTTAGGGAACATCAAGATGGCTAAGCACAAAAAGATCTAGATTGGGAATTGCAAGAGAAAGGAAAAAAATATCAAGAGACTAATATTTTTCATTTGCTTCTAAACTGAGGGCCATTTCACATATTAAATGGTTTGAGTCAGATAAAGTGTTTTTAGATGTTGCTAAAACTGCAAAATCATGAACAATATTTTGAAATGAAGCCAGTCAAAAATTCTTCCCATCTCTCACTTCCACTTTCAGTACTCCATATTCTTGCTTTAAACGCAAATAAAAATGCTGAACCTTACACCTTACATTGAAATAAATATTTCACTTTTTTCTACAATACACTATAGCAAAAGATTAAAACGCTTGGTAGGGCTGGCTTTGTTGTTAGAACCAATGAACTTATTTTCTCAATCCCCAAATGTTACATGCCGTAGTCCACAAACTGACATTCAGAATTTTTAGCATTATTGATTGCTCTGCGTTTGTGCCTAGGTATGCGATTTGTGCCAACTGAAATGGTTGCTAGTGAGTAACATTTCTGACGCTTATTTTGTCTTTAAAAAATAAAGTAATAAATCATAGCCAGAAACTGGAACTCTTTAATAGATAGAATGCTAGGTTTAAGGTGACTGGTGCTTTTTTTGTTTTGTTTTGTTTTGTTTTGTTTTGTTTTGTTACTAACCTCTACACTATCTGGTCATTCTGCATTATAAGCACAACCTTTGTAATTTTTGTCTTGTTTTTCTGTGATATCCTTGCCTATTCTGCAACATTGCATTTGTAGGATTGCTATTCCCAGGATAGTAATGTTACCTGTTTGTCCCGTGCCCCACGAGCCTCAGCAGGCATAAAGCTAGAATTACAGTCTATTCTACTCTAAATAGTTATTTACTACTTGGCAGAAATGTTTTCATGAACCGTCTTGCCACATACTAATCCATAATAAAATGTGAGCAAAAATGTGCTTGTCAAAAAGGAGTTTGTATGCAAATAACAATGCTTCTTGAACTCTGTATTGTCTCGCTTTCTCTGCTTCACTTTCTGCCTGTCCTTTCGTCTGCTGTCATAATCCAGGATCCAGATCAGCTAACCCTGCAGGTGGTAAGAAACACCTTTTTGTTTTTCACTCTGTTTACATATCTGTACTGTCTCTCATGCTATTGTTTTTAACTGATTCAATGTCTGAAAGTCTAGTATTCCCAGAGGCTTAAAAAAAAAACCTAGTGTTTTTAAATGAAAGTTTAGCTAGGAAAAAGTTTAGATATATGTACGATGTACTTAGACAAAGTACCCGTGTGTACATTCAGTGAGCAGTGGGACTCACTCCTAGGTAACAGGATGTTAGGATTGTAAATTTGAAGAACTGAAAAGGATTTAAAGATGTCTTCAAATGTTTATGGAGATGTTGTAGATGACAGTAGCAGGGACAAGCCTGACATGCTATTTTTGAAACTAGAAAATCTCAAAGATAGGTTTTCATAATACAGATTGTCTTGTGACAAAAGGAAAAATTCCACTGGGTGACTTCACTATCACTTGCATTATTTCTTGGATTTGAATGCCTTTTTTTTTTTTTTTTTTTTGGCAATTGCTCAGTCAGTGTTGTGGTTGGAAGATAAAAGAAAATTTCAAAAAGGTTTCCTTGCAAGATGCATGAGAAAAAACAAACAATGGGACAGAGAAATTGTGTGTATGTGCGTGCATGTGAGAGAGAGTGTCCGTGCAAATGATTTCATCAGTTGCTTCTGTGTAAAATATAGCTTGCTGGTATGGCTGATCCTATTTGATCATTTTTAAGGTGAGTAGTATCATCCAAGGTTGTGTTTCCATTCATTCATTCATTCATCATCAACATTTCTTATTGTTAATTTATGTTGTTAACCCCCTTTTTAAACATATCATCATCTTGAAGAATTTCTGTATCCTGTTTTATTTTTAATTTACTATTAATTAAACTGATTTTTTAAAACATGATTAGTAAATTTAATGGTTTGAAATATTCTGAAGATTTAAGAGCATTTATTTATTTATTTATTTATTTATTTATTTATTTATTTATTTATTTTGTAGCTGGTAGTCGATCCAGCTCTCCTGGCAAGCTGTTGGGAAGTGCATATGGTGGGCTTAGCAGTGGAACAACCAGAGGACACCCAGTGCCAACACCATCCTCATCTACTGACAAACGCAGTAAAGTCCCTCGAAGCCAGGGCTGCAGCCGAGAGACCAGCCCTAGCAGGATGGCTTTAGGTAAGAGTTTTCTTGGCTGCAATATAGAGCCAAGAGGCTGATTTCTTTTCTCATGCTGATTGGCCAAAAGAATTCCTGAAATAAATTACAGTTTTATAATGCTATAATGATTTCATAGTGATGGTTTTCTGCTGAGTTTGTTAATAACACAATAGGCCAAGAGAGCAGATAATGTTGCCAGTGGGGTTAGCATAAATTTATGTTTATGCTTATTGTTTTAATTAGAAAGGAATTGCTTTCTAATTAAACCACTTATTGTTTTAATTAGAAAACAGTTCTTCCTTCAGATATGTTTTATTTCCATTTTCACTTGGCATGGTTCAGTGCCATTTGATGATACCAAATGTATTGTCTTACAGGTATAATACAAGCTTCTCCTTTAACCCTCCCTTTGAGTTTTAGAGATACTGCTCTGATGTTGTTTTCTCTGATCAAAAATTGCACCTATTGCTTTTAGGTTAAATACTAAACTTTATATGTAGAGTTATTTTCTAATGAACTTGTAAGTACTACTATAGATATATGACTGAACCTGAAGAACTGTTGTGTCATCAGATATATTAATTATGCAACTACACATTATTAATATAAAATGGTAGATTAGAAGCTCTAATCTTATTTCAGAAGTTGAAATTAGGAAATGCCAATTTTGAGATATACCAATTCAGATTTGGAACTGGGGCCTTCCGATGAGCAAGCACGACAGGTTTAAATGTAGCAGCTTTAAAATCTGTTCTCTGTTTCAACAATGAAAAGGTGTGAAAAGGATCGCAAAAAAAAAGGAGGGGGGGAAATGTGAGAAGAAAAGGGATTTGAAGCTTGCATCAGAGAAGGAAAATGAGAATAATCTCACAGACATTTGCACAAATAGGCATGGCAGAATGCATGGAAGAGAAAATAAGACAATTAAATCATAGATATGCTTCAGAAAAGGATCAATGGACATAGCACCAAATTGTGGCCAGTGAGGTCATTCACCATTTTGTGGTTTTCAAAAGAATTTTCGCCCTTTATGGCACAACATCCCCTATAATAATAATTTTATATGATCCAAACTCTGAATAAATAATGACTTCACTGGATTTAAGACTATGGCAAGAAATAAATATATTGTTTACTTTTAATAATTAATTCTTGTCCAAATAGCACAAAAGGTCTCAAATGAAATCTCAACCATGTAGGCAATATATATATTTCTATTGAATAACCTCTAAGTTTCTCACAGTCCTCTTAAGACATAATGATTGACCCTGGAAAACTGTATTTTTAGTGAACTAGAAGATCTTTAATTAACATGTGAGTCTGAAACATGTTGTGTTGTTTTTTTGAGCTAAACATTTTATGTGGAAAGAAAAAAAAATACTTGCAACAGGAAGTATACATATTTAAATACTGAGATTCTCCCCTCCCCTTTAATTAATATGGGAACAGAGTTTATTAGCCAGGTTAAGGACTTATTTAAAGAACAATTTAATTATTTTTAAAATATTTTTTTTAAAAAAATTATAAGCAGTTGTACCACTCAAATGAAAATAAATATATTCTGTCCTGTAGACCATCTTTTCTAAAAATCATTTTGATTTACATTTATATTTACTTGAAATGGTTAACCTAGAGCCATCTCTGGGAGAGACACTTCTGCTCTTACACTGCTCATATTTTCTACGCATAATTCATAAATGTGTGTTCATTTGTAACATAGATCGGCATTTCAGGCTTATCTTTAACTATTGTGAACAGGCAGCTTTTTTGCCTCTGTATATGTGATCAAGTAATATCAAGTAACAAAGGATAGTTTATTTTGGTGCTTGAAGTTGGAAAGTGATCTCTTGCTTCCAGGGGGATCAAAACTATGAATGAAAACATTATTTGGAACTGTTTTACTAACTTGGTTGGTTTGGTAGCAGTAAAGCAGGAGGACCTCAGACCCAGATAGCATGCTATATTGTTCCTACCTACCGGTAGTTAATTTTTTCTATCTGCATGAAGAGAGAAACAAGTCAAGAACAAATAAGCTATATACTTCAAGCATGTTGCCTTTTTACAGTTAACCAAAAGAAACCCGGAACCCTATGTAGAAACATTTCTTTCTTTATTGTAATAACGTATATGTGGTCTAGTTATCAAAACCCGGCAGCTCATGATATTAAAACTCTACAACATGGAGGTTAAAAAAGTATACAAGAAATCACTAGTAAAGGACAAAAGCTTTGAGAGGAAATTGGCTGAGAAATAAGAGAGGGCATCATACCAGAAAAAAATTTGTTTGTCCATGGTTTCCAACTTCACTGTTAGGACCTTTCTTCCCACCATATGGGGAACAGTAGGCCTGGTCACCACAAGGTACTTGTGGAATGTTAACACTGCCTGCCCTATTCTGCCTTGGAATCAAAGCAAGTAAGCTAGTTGTAGATTTTGAATAGATATACTCCTCAGTTCTTGCCCAGCCATATCTCAGTGATATGTTGCTGATCGCCACCGACAGGTCATGGAGGAGCACATAGACCATTGAATAACATGGCCTGATTGAAACATTTTCTAGTCCACACTCACAAATTTATGCTTTTTCCCAAGCACAAACAGATGGAACTCTGTGTATTTCTTATTTTATTTCCACTTTCATATTCGACATTATGACAGCAGTATATGACAAATGCTGTCCCATCTCTGTTAGAGTTCTAAGAAGTTAATAGTGCAGTCAATTGGTTTTTCATTTGCCAATTATCATGCAGCTTCAGCTTTTAGATGATTGGTTCATTAATGGGTGAAGTAATTAATGGGACAGATTTATGAAAGTGAATTAAACAACAGTTTGTACACTATTTAGACCATATTTCTTATTCTTATTGAAAAGTTTCATACTATCGTATATAATTGCTTTCAGGCAGGAACACAAATGCACACTAGGAGTATTCATCATTATTTCAGAACAAGTGCTGCCTGAAAGATTATATCTCTTTTCCAGGGTTATGGCTTTTTAAAATGTCATTCTTTTAATTTTTAATTTTTATGTATTTGCCATCATTATAGTCTATTGAACAAATCCAGAGTGGATTCATCCCTTGAGGAGTCTGCAATCCAAAATTTTTGTCTATGGGCAGGAGAAATATAGGAAGGAGTAGGAGAGTGTATGTGCTCATATGGATTAGTAATTTTTATGGGAAAATTCAACATGTATTTTTAAATGTTGACTCCCTGAACCTGGTTTTGACTGTCTTTCTTAGATAGAGAATCTCTAAGGGTAGACCAATTATGGCTGCGATAGAGAAGAAGAATTTATAACACTATGAACCAAAGAAGAATATAAAATAAGTTGAATACAAATAGACCATATTTTTTGTTTTGAGATTCTTCAGAGTTAAATATCCTATTTATTTCCTTTGTCATTTAATTATTATGATGAGTTTATATAAAAATTACATAAATGTGTAAGATTTGCATTGCTCATTCCCCATTAGAATCATTTATCCCTCTAAAACAGAGTTAACTTTTCTTTCCTCATATTTTCTCTCTCCTCCTTCCCTTTTCCCCCCCTTAAGTGGAATCTAAGTAACTCTGATATTATTGTAACCCTGTTTTCCCAGATACATTTTTCTGGCCTGTTATAAATAGAACAAGGGTCTCAGGAGGGTCAGAACATCTGAGCTGTTCTTGGGCAAGTTTAGCATGTATCACAGTTTATACGTAACAAATCAGATTGGCAGCTGTCCAGGATATTTACTAATGTCAGTAATGACCAAAACTGTTAATTTATTGTCTGAGCGTTGTATCTTCGTTAAACTTGTGTTCACCTTCTCTGAAACTCTCCATGCTGCATGCTAGCACGGAGCAGCCGTATCCCCCGACCCAGCGTGAGTCAGGGGTGCAGCCGCGATACCAGCCGTGAGAGCAGCCGAGATACAAGCCCTGCTCGGGGCTTTCCTCCACTTGGTGAGTACCTGTAGGCACTAGAGCTTCTAAGGGCCACCCCTCCTCTTTCTTGCTGGCTAGTCGATGTACCTCTCAGTGGAATGGGCTTGTTATTCTCTTCATTTTTTTAAACTCTTAACCTTCTCCCTTTCTGATCTTCTTATTTATTCTGTTCATTTCTGCATGCTTAAATCCTGCTTTCCTTTACTAGGAAAACCCATAGTTTGAAATGCTTTTGATAATCTCCAAATTTTTTGGGACATGCACTTAGGCACCATTGGTCTTGACAAAAGCAGCTATTGTGAAGGCTATATCATTGCAGGGAAAGTTGATGCTACTGGAAAGCATGACCTGCCTTTTTTGATCCAATGCAAAATGGGCATCCTTTGGAGAAAATTTAGAAAATGTGCTCATAATATACCTTTTAAATTTGCATTGTATTCTTGGGCCTGAGTGCATGCCAAATCAAGGTTAACTTTTTCTAAGCCCCAGGTATACTGAGAATTCCTTTTATGCATAAAAAGCTTGTTCCTTAATTCATAGAGCTCAATTTCTATTTCTGTACTACAGAAACTTACCATTTCTCTTGGTTTTTAAATTTATGATCCAGTCACTGTAATTCACAAAGACCTACTTTTCACATCAGAAACATGAAGTCTTGTTTCTTTGTATATAATATTTTTTCTGCATCATTATTAAAACAGTTGCATATTTTGAAGAAAATATTTTTACAATTGGGGCAACCTGAAATCTTGAAAATTGTGTATGTATCTGTGTGACTGCTTCAGTTCAATTATATTCCTAGTTTGCCCACATTGTATTTATAGAAAGAGGGAGAAGGAGAAAGGGAGAGGGGGAAGAGAGAGGGAGGGATGGAGGGAGGGAGAGAGAGTACTTGAGATGTAGGAAAAAAGATGTTACAGACATGAATCTTATCTTACTGTTCATTAAGGTCATAGGGCCTAGTTTTAACATTTAATTAGTGATTTATTCATTTATTTATTTATTAAATTTATTCACCATCCATCTTGCTATCCCATGACTCTGTGCAGTTTACAATAAATTTATATTATAAAAGATTAAAACTTGATCAATACATTAAAATCAACTAAGATAATGAGGGAGGGGATTATACAATAGAGTAGAGGTGGGCTCTTCTAATCCAATAACTCCATCCAAGGTGACATGCCCCTGTCCAGGCCCCAGGCCAATCAGCAGAGCCAGGTTTTAAGGCTGTTATAGAACATTACTGATGAAATAATTCTATGGGAAAGAATTAAGATATTAGGGTTGCAAGGTGGAAAAGCCAAAGCTAGAGCAGAAGGGGAAAATGCTATGAGACTTCTGAGTGATTACTTATTTCTTTGTTTTTCCATTTTTCCTGTTAGAAAGCTACCCTGTTTTCCCCAAAATAAGACATCCCCTGATAATAAGCCCAATAGGGCTTTTGAGCTTATGGCTATAAGGCCAAGCGTTTATTTCAGAGTTCAAAAAAATATAAGACAGGGTCTTATTTTCGGGGAAACATGGTAGAGTCCCAATAACATCCCATACAGGAATTTCTTGTGGTATGCACATATTTAGCTAGAAGACCAGACAGAACAAAATGGACACAAGAACATTACTGAACTCTAATTTTGCATAGGTGGGCACAGTGGCTCAGAAATTAAAGATGCTGAGCTTGTCTGTTCTGTGCGCTTGGCATATAATCATGCCATATGACCACAAGTGTTTTCAGACAGTTCTGGCTCTCTTGGCTAAGAAATGGACATGAGCACCACCCCCTAGATTCAGACACGACCTGAAAGGGGAAAACCTTTAGTAATTCTGCAGATGGATAAAAAACAACACTACTTAATAATAGTCATTTTTAATTTATGAATGGGTTAATCTAACTCGCCCACCAGTGGCTGTTAAATTTACAAAGCAAAAGAAAGCATATTTGGGATATCCTCCCCCCCCTCCCAAATTCATAGATGGGCAGTTTGTGGGATCAAGCCTGGACATTAATGTTTTAATGGGATATAAAATGTGCAAATTGTTTTACTTGTGAATGGATTAGAATTTTTTGGCTTTCGTCCCCCCACATACACACACATAAACATATTTTATTTAACTGAATTATGTGCATTTTGGGGTTCTATATTTTTCTTGTGTTTCTTACCTGAAAATGGGTGGAGATAGTTCTAGATGCTGCAAGGAACGTGATTTGGGATTAAACCAACAATTTCAATGTAAATAAATAAATAAAAATTATAAAATTTGAGATAACTAAGGGCCACAGAGGAGGATTTCAAAATCCGTTACAGAATGCAAAGGAATCTGATATTTTTCCTTGCTGCTATAAAAGAAAGGATAAAGGCTTCTTATTTTGATCTAATAGAATAATCTGTATCACAAACATTTGCTTAGAGCAAAGTGCTGCTATTGTGAGCCAGAAACTAAAGCCGGAATGAAGAACCTGTGCCCAAATATAAGACATTCACCTTTGAACATGCTTGCTGCAACCACTGAAAGTTATAGTTCAAGAAAATCTTGAGATGCAGATTCCCTATTTCTGTTTTACAGACATATTAAGCCTACTTGATGTATTGAAGGTATTAATTTTAATGTTTTTAAGCCATCCTAAAAATGTGTGATGCTAATGGAATACTTGGATGAGGTTTCTGCTTTAGTATTGTATTTATTATTAAATAATAATAAATAAATTAATTTACTTTTATTTCATTCGTTTGGCTAAATTTTATGAATTAGATCTACCTCATAAAATCTGAACAATTTGTCTAACAAAGGTGCCAAGAATCTTCTTGATTGTAGTAGAGCATAAATCCAAGAAATAAAATCTGTAATACGGATTTTGTATTACAAAAATTGTAATACAAAATTGTAATACAATCGCTTCAGGACACTTAAAATTGTAAATGTTGTAGTCCTTGAAAAAAAAATATCCAGATTTTAGGAAGACTAAATTTAGTTTCAATAGGGATGGTCTCTAATATTGGATTACTGAAAAATATTGAAAAATAATTACAAAATTTACAAAAATATTTATAAAAAATATTTACAATATTTACAAAATATTGAAAAATTTACAAAATGGATATTTAAAAATCTTAAGTATTTTTTATGTTTCTTCTTCTGTCAGAAAGTATGTACTGATCAATAAGTCAGTTACAGCTCCACTTCTAACCAAATTAGCATCTAAGGAGAACCAGCAGTCATTTGTTTCCCATCCCATTCAGTTTTAATAGCTATTATTACAAATAGCCAAAGCACATATTAACCAAAACTACTAATATTAATAGAGAGTGATTCACGAACTATTACTCTCACAATTGTCAATAACTTCTCAGAATCCACTTCTAATTTGCATTATTCCAGCTTCACTCTCATTAGCTAGCATTTTATTATATAATTCAATAAATTGTGGATTGTTTTATTTTTAAACAATTTCCAGGTCCTTTTGTTTTTAACTCTGGATGGGTTCCATGCAAACTATGGCCATGAAACTATGGTACTCTGCAAACTCCATTGAGGCGATTTCTAAATTCTTTCATTAACAATAACTGCCCTAATCCCAGTGTCTAATTTGCTATCTAGATAATTGAGATAAAGGCTGCTATGAGCAAAGTCGGATGATATCACCTAAGCCTGTAAGACTGGTATATATAGAACAGCACCAGCTCAAATTTTTTAAATAATTTATTTTTTAGAAAGAAAGAAAAAACAAAAATATAGTGAGGGTAAACCAAATCAAAGCATATGTATTCTGCATCCAGGACAAAAAAAACTTCATTAAATAATTCCTTTACAATACTAGCAATTTTAAAATGATTTGTAAGAAATAAAAGTTTGAGAACCATGAGTCTGTTGAAGAAAAATATAGTTCAAAAATAATGGAGCTGAAACACAACTACATCTGCATCTTTAGGCTTTTTTGCTGATGCTTTTTGATTAGCAAGGTTTATTCATTGTGCTTCTCCCTGCATGTGTATGTATTGATTGGCTGTGCCCAATTCACCCAAAGAAAACCATAAAGTATAGAATTATCTACATTGCATAGGTGTTTGAATACCCTTCTAGGATTTCAGCATGATTTGCTTGTCCTCAACCTGCATATGTTGCAATCTGTGTGACTTCAAGAATGCAAGAATCTTTTTATAGGAGTAATTTGTTCTTCGTATCTTAGGTTCATTAGAAATATCTTCTTTATAGTTCTTTACAGTTCAATCCCAGAATTAAAATAACAGTCTCATGTGGTGGTTTCCTGTTGAACAAGTTATTTCTTCTTTTCCTTAATTATATGCTACATTCTATTACTACATTTTGCTCCTGCCAGAACATACAGTAATTCTACAGACTGAACTATTTTATTCTGCAGCAACTTTGTAGAAACCTATTCAAGCAAATAGCAATTTCCAAGCTCTTATACTGTATCTCATTTAGTCTTGGAATTATTTACATGGCCTGTTCCACATTGCATGTAATTTTATTTATTTAAAGACATATGTCAATATAAATTCTAATTTTAGTTAAGTTTTGGTGGGATTTTAAAGTTTCATATACCAGAAACATTTTCAGTTTAGAGCTGTTAACACTGTGAATGAGGTTAAAATAACTGTTGCTATTACACCTTTTCTTCTCAGGTATTCAGTTCTATCCATCTGTAACCTAATTAGTAGTATTTCAACTATCCCATTTTATTAATTTTGCCTGTTAGTCAAAATCCACATATTCAATATTGTATCTGACTTTGTACATGGACAATGCCATGTGGATTTGGGGAGTCCTGTTATATTAGACTCTGGGAAAGAATAAGGTTTGCATGAAGAAAGTCCCAAGGACCAATTTCCGACTGTACACATAATAGTTCCAGATAGGAACTTTTCAGAAAATTTCTTTTTGTGAACCATGGGCAATCTATTGACTGTTAGATCTAATACGATTTGTACGAAATGGACCAATGAACTGAGTCTGCATGAAATAGCTTTGCAATCCAATTAATAAGTGCTTGAATAATAAATACTTTGCTTGTCTTGAGTATAATTCATATTGTCACTATGTTAAATGGTTACTTCCTGCTATCTGTTGTTTTCCTGCACTAATTTACTTTGTCCCTGACTATAAATTGTCTTTATTGATTATGGGGTTTTATCTTTGAATGAAAAAAACCTAATCTTTTATAATTGCAAGCACACTTTCTAAGGATTCATTGTGCCTCTCACTTTAGGATTTGGATTGTTTACATCTAAATCCTATTATTGCTGAGTTAGTCATTTCATGTTAACATGGTGATTCACCTGTAGTCAACAGGTGATTATTGTTATCAATCTCTGTTGGACTTCATACAAGCTGGAAGGCTTAGAGGTTATTCCTTTTCTTTTCCATGCATCATATGTTCCATAGTTGAGGGTGGAGGGAGTGTATGCAAGAGACTCTCTATCAGACCTGCCATGGGACTCGCAATCGATTTTCAAGTCCATTCATACACAATGCCATTTCTTTTCCCTGTGTAATCCCAGTGTTGGTAGTGAATCATGTGCATCTCCTTTGGATTGTGGCATTGTTTTTGTCTGAAGTACTTGTGTGTTAATTCTGTGGGTGTTGCCATTCCTTTTACTTGCAGCCTCTCGACGCCATTCCAGATCCACTAGTGCTCTCTCCACTGCTGATTCTGTTGGGCAGTCAGGTGAACAAGTGCTAACTGCATGAATCTGCTTCTTAATATTGTCTCTTTTTTATTACCTTTGTAACATTTGCCTCTCACAAACGTCATTCAGCACTTAGCATGTGGGATCATCATGAAGTTATTATTATTTAACATGCTTTTGTCATTTTCTATTTTTGAATGTTTTTTATTTTTGCTAATTTTTATTCTTTTGCTTAATGTTATTTTTGGCAATATTACAGCAGCCAATAGAGTATTGTCATGTATTTCCCATGTACCGCTCAGGAAGTACTAAGGAAGGACACTGTAACTTCCTCCTCTTTATATCTATGAAAAGCAACCATAGCAATTGTTCATTAGTGAGTAATATTTCTAACATCCAACAGCTAGCTAATGAGATTAGTGCAACTAAGGAAGAGGTCAGCATCCATAGTTTTGAGTTTTTAATACCTTACTGATTAGGATCACACATAATGCTAAATCAGAGTCTGTGCATGAGCAAAAAGACCCTATATGGACAACCAGAACACAAATATTTTATTTCCCCTTTTCATAAAAGTGGTTGGGAGAAGAAATAAACCACAATCTCATTTTACTTTACATAAACATTTCTTGGCCTCAGGTATTCCAGATGTTTTGACTATAATTCTCACCTTTCTAAACCATCATAGTCACTCAACATGTTTGATGGGCTCATAATACAAAAATCTGCACAATACCAGTTGGAGAAAACTGCATTAGCTAGTCCTTGGCTTGCTTTTATAGATAAGCCAGTAAGTAGTTTGTTAAAGTAGAGTTTATGATGGTTAGTTTAATGCTAGTTTCAATTGATTTTAATTTATTATATTTGGTTTCTATATAGTGAAAATTAGGAATAATGAAATCAAATCTTTCTTTACTTTCCTCCTCCTGGTCTGGCATTAGAGGAATGGGCATCTGAGGTTTTACCAAGGATCTTTACTGTTAGTTCATGTAGTGCTACGGGTACATGGTCATCAAAGTGGCAAAACTTTGCCCATTAACCTCAAAATTTATAGTTCTTAGACAAAAATAAAACAGTACTATAGAATTTCAATTTAATGGACACGTTGCTTAAGTCTCTTGAAAACTATGCTACTTCGATGAAATTATATAAAAATTAGAATTGAAAAGAAAGTCACTGACATTATCTGGGACGTGTAATATATAAATATTGAAAGAAAAAATTCTAGAAACAGGATCTACATCTGTTTAATACAAGTTTTAAATACTGATAATGTAAACCAGAAGAGAACGTTTATTTATGTATTCCTATCAAGTAAATTCCAGATTTATACTTGAAACATCCCTCTACCTACCTAATAGTTTTGACACTATGTGGACCACAGAAATCAGCCCCATAATGTTCCTTGCTTTCTTTATATTGATTTAAGTTAAAAGGTCCCACTGAATGAAAATGATGTTTTGTTATATTTTTAACATCAAAGCTTCATATGTAGAATATTTACAGAAGTCCCTTTTGCTGTAAGAGATTGTTGCTCTTTTACTTAAGTGAGGCCCAGTCATGTATGTGACTTCATCCAAGCTAGTTTATAACAAAAGTCCTTGTGTATCACAGACTAGAGGCCATTACCAAGACTTTGATGGGTAAATTCCAGTTCACTCAGCCCTCCCCATTACTACCCATATATATTGGCCAGTGACCCATGAAACAATTGCTCTTTCTGTCCTACTTTCTCACCCATCTATCTTTTCTGCTGACTTGTCTTTCCACTTCTTGAATGCATGGCTTGTTGGTGATAAGGCTTATTATTCCAAAAATACAGCCTGCTACAAATGTGTGCTGCCTTAAGCTTGGCCAACACTGATAAAACATATAATTTGGGGATGTGAATCTAATTGTTGCACATAACTAGTTTTATATGCTACTGATGTTTATTACTACAGTCTGAAGAGATGTTCTGGTGCTGTGTTTAATGAATGTAGCACTGCAGGCTATTTCTGCTGACTAGTGATTGCTAGCAGTTTGGCAGTTCGAATCTCACCAGGCTCAAGGTTGTTGACTCAGCCTTCCATACTTCTGAGGCCGGTAAAATGAGGACCGGATTGTTGGGGGCAATATGCTGACTCTGAGTGTAAGCCACTTAGAGAGGGCTGTAAAGCACTGTGAAGCAGTATATAATTCTTAAGTGCTACTGCTATTGTTGAATTACCTTGGAACAATATTTCTTTCCATGCAGTTAATTAATGACCATTAATACCATTTCACAAGCTTCTCTTAAAATAGTTTCTTCAGTGTTAGGTAAGTTATTAACAAAAGTGAAATAACATGACACAGTACCACCAATCTTTCTGTGTAACAGAGGTGCTCACAAAAAGATGTTAAAATTTTCCATTGAGATTTTAGAGGCTATCACCAAGACTCAAGACCCCCCCGTCTTAGTACCTGAATAGAATACAAGGAGTCTTTCCTGAATAGAATACAGGTAGTAGAATGACATCAATTGAGACTGGAATTTCCATCGCTAAGCAAAATGGTCATTAAGCAAAATATCACATGACTGCACCACTTAGCAACAGCAATCCTGGTAGTCCTGGTTGTGGTCATTCGACAAGGACCTCATGCTTCTGCCTTGTGCTCGCTTCCACTTCAACTCCCCCTGCCTGTTCCCCACCCATGTCTTCGTTTTTGGCCACCCTACACTTCACTGCCCCCACCCAGCTGATCTTCCTCTCATTGCTGATGAGGAGCATCTGGTTGAGGCATCTGCTGGCCCTTTGGTGAGGCATCCAAGCATTGCATGGAGCCTTCGGGAAGCATTACCAAAACTTCACAAAGGCCAGCAGCTGCCTCAGCCAGGCACACCTTGTCAGCAGTGTAAGGAGAAGACAGCGATGGTCAGCAGGAGGCGACAGCAACAGAGTGCAGAGTGGCTAAAAAGGAAGAGATAAGGGAAGATAGGCAGGTGGGGGATTTGAAGTACACACTGCAGCTGTAAAGTGCCTGCATTTTTGCCTGAGTTTTGATCATGTGACAGGAGGGCCACTGCAAGTCTGTAACTTTGATTCCTTCAGCACCATCATAACTTCAAATGGTTGCTGAACAAATGATAATTAAGCGAGGACTACCTATGTGTTATTCTCTGTCAGCTTTAGACTCTTATGGAATTTATTGGGGATTTCTGCTCATGCTTCTGAGGTAAATTTCCATTATTAGATAGTGTTATAATCAAGACAAGAACTGAAAAATACAGAATATAATCCAATGAAGAAGTCCATTCCTTCATCATCACCACTACCACCTCCACCACCACCATCATCATCTTTGTTGCTGTTCATATGCTAAAAAGTGGGACATAAAGTTGCATGTCAGATATACTTAATGTGATTTAATTTAGTTGTTTCTATTGAATATTTTAAAGGCTTGCAACTTTACTTTGCCATTTTGATTATCCATGTCTTTTAAAAACTATCTTTCCTTTTCTAATGCAATGACAATTATTATTTAAAACTACATGAAGCCAGGTTTAGGACTGGTTCTTCTGGAAATTTGAGTATTTCAGTTTTTGTTAGAGTAAGCTGGAGTAAGATTTTCACCTTTTATATAAGAACTTTTTTTTTTTTTTTTTGCTGACAAATTTATTTTTCAGAAAAATGTTCTTTTGGAGAGGGGCTATCAGTAATCAAACTGGGATGCAAATATACTTTTACTTACATTTGGACTTGTCAAATGATTATTCTGTACAGTATCAAATCAAGATGTAATCTAGTCAAGTTTATTGTTTTTTAAAAAAAAAATTGTTTTTTTTTTAAAAAAACAATAACTGCATATTCATGATACATTCCTTTCCCATTGTTCCAAAAATTACTATTTTCTCATGCCCCGAAACTAGTCAAGTAATATTCATGGGATGTCATCCTAGGAAGTGTGACTAGGTTCTTGATACAGTGATAACACTGACTTGCAATGTCTGTGAGCAAAACCTACAGTCTCACATGCTCACATGTTTTTAGTGGAACAACATTGCAGTTTGTATATGTGCATATATGATGAATACGTAGATGTATACATTCCATCCCCCCACAAATGGTAGAAATCCAGTCATACTTAAATTTTTTTCAAAAATGTTATTAGTGACAATTCTGCAAGATTTAAGTGGAGTAAAATTCCATTTCGCTTGAGATTGGAACTAAGGGACTGAAAAATTGAAGTATCCTATGATTGATTGCATCTTTGAAATGACCTGCTCAGTTTGTTCAGTAGAGAACTGCAATATATTTTCATAATGTGCAAATACTTACTGGGCCTTAAGATACTATGCTGAATGAACAAAATGACATGGCAAAACATTTGGATTCTCATATTCATTATCATTATTTCACCAAATCCTCCTGCTTGGAGCAAAGCTGATGTTTGAAACAAGCATCTGTGCTGCTTCAGCAACTACATGCATTAAAAAAGGAGATAGTAATACATATAGATTTTCTTTCTCTGTAAACTTCATCAATTCCTTTTCAAAGCAGGTTTTCATTAAAGACATTTAATTTTCGCATGTAATGTATTTTTTTTAGAAAATGTGCTTGTTGTAAACTGTCTGCTCTTAGTAAAATTTGAAAAATATCAAACTCTTTTAAGTGGCATTACCACTGTGCTTAAATGTGTTTAATTTTGCTTTCTTCACATTAGCAGCAGTAATTGTTCACAACGTTGATCTGATCTTGTTCCCCTTAGTGGAAACTTAACATACAATAAAGTTAAATGGATTTTTGTCTGCAAAGGCTTAAAATCTGTTCATAAATAATATTTCCCAGTGATATTTTTCTGTTTCTAGGTTTTTATATTGATTGTTGTTGTCATTTTCTCCAATTGATATTGAAAGACATTTCTGTGCATTAGAGTTGAAATCATAACACTGCTTAAACAAATGTTATTTTTTAATTAGACTGCCCTTTAAATAGTTACATTCACTTTCTTAACATAAAAAAGTGTATTTGCTGGTAGCAACAAATAAATGATAATTTGTACATTCATCCTCTAGCATAGCTGGATACCATACTATGAGTGAAGCCTTGTTTAGTGGGGCTAGAAATGGGAGGGACTTAGCTAAATAAATAAATAAATAAATACATGGAATAATCTAATTCTTTATTATATTCACAATATTAATTGGACACCACTGAACAGATCTTTTGAAGTGCATGGGAAGCATATTTCCCTTTACATCAGTTATATGCAGCTAATTGCCTTCATTGAAATGACTATTTTAAAATCTCCCACAATTAAGCTTTGGGAGCTCATTGATGAGGAAGGGAAAATGGCAGTCGTGTACAGTTTAAGCAACACTGGTCAGGACAATTCTTTTTAAAAAGATTATTGGTAAATCAATCTGTTGATGGAAATTTGAAAAATGCACATTTATTCTAATACTGCATTACTTCTCCAATATAATAGTGTTTTCCAATCTTGGCAACTTTAAGGTACACAGACTGCTAGGGGATTCTGGGAGTTGAAGTCAACATGTCTTAAAGTTGCCAAGGTTGGGAAGTGCTTTCATATAGTATACTTACAAAAATCATAATTTAATCTTTAGATTTAAGAAAATAAAATAATGACTTTAAAAATACAAATTAATAAATCTGAAACAATTTTAATGGACTAAAATTTATATTTTTTAAAAGTATAACATTTATCTATATATTAAGAGATTGGAGTGGGGAAATTTTAAAATTATTTGATGGTCTATGAAGATTATTCATCTTCCAAATACAATGGGAATAAGGTATGGAGTATTTTTTTTAAAAAAAAAAACCCTCACTTTTAATTTTTTGTTGATCAATTGTACAAATTGCTTGAGCCTTACTTTTGATTCCTGGTTCTGTTTTCACTAAATTTTAACCAGCAAGTATACAAATACACAACAATCAGAATAATTGGAACTATTCAGATTAAAGACTTGAATAAGCATAAAATAAGACTTGAATAAACATAAAAATACTATTGCAAGACTTAGAAGTAAGTTAAGGAATTAAGAATATATTACTGCAAGTTTCTTACTAAGTTGAAGAACTTCACCCATAGTGCTTACACTTCCTCCTTTGAAAAATGGAGAATATGTAAAAGTATTTAACCATTATTATAAAAGAGTTTAAATACCAGTCCCCCTCCTGTCCCTCTTTTCTAACCATATACACAGAATTTGTTTGACTTTCTATTATAGCCTCATAGTAACTCCTAAAACCTGGACCCAATAACAATTAAAGCAGCCAATGGCCTTATTAATATTCCAAAGGGCTGTGAACTTATGTAATGATGACTTTCACTCTTGTCTTTTGTGCAGAACGGTTTGGGCTTGGCCAGCCAGGCAGGTTGCCTGCCTCTATGAATGCAATGCGAGTTCTGAGTACAAGCACAGATCTGGAGACTGCTGTGGCAGATGCATTGGTAAGAGGGAAAGCCCAACATGTTACCAACTCCAGAAAGTTACTTGAAGTTGCTTTCTGTACGTACATTTTCCTCTTCTTAATTTTATGTGTGTTCCTATTAAATGAGCCTATATGTGTACATGTGACTCTGCCTAAATCTTTCTTCAGGGTTTGGGAAGATGTGAGGAAAGGGGGTTTTAATGCATAATTGCATTGTGAAGAGTTAAATTGTTGACTTTCAAGTAAATGCATTATAATAGTGAAACCATCTGTGTCAAATGCTTATGAATGCCACTATAGTTATCTTATGAAGTGAATTGAACAGTTTCCTAGTACAAGTTGTGAATAATACTTATACTGGATGTGTTAGTGTGTGCAATATGTTTGCTTCGTGTTCCACAAATGTGCTTTATTTTTATTCATTTGTCCATTTTGGAGAGTTAAAATTTATAGTTGAAATGTCTGTTGAGAATAAATTGCATTGTCCTACCTTAGGGAAAGTTTGTTCAGGTTACCTTGACAAAGGCTTCTGTCATTAATTCTAGAGGTTTCTGATCAGGGTCATTTAATTATTAATTACCATTAACAATAATTAATCATAATTAGATTATGGGTTGATGGACCTGCACCTGTTGGTTGGTCTTTGGATAATTTGCAGTAATAATACCCACTTCTGATTCTTAGTTATGTAGCAATAAAAGGAATACTATTCCAGCCATCCCTTTTCAGTTCTGAAATTCTATTAAATATAAGAAAGTTTAAGGTAACAAAGGCTTATGTAAAAAAAATAGATAAGGTGAACTAAAACATGTTCCTGGATTTAAACTTCATTAAAACTATGTACTTTAATATTTTCAAATTCTCTTGTACTCTTGAAATTAAAAGTCTACTTAAAAGCAAATATATATAAATAATTTTATAAATAAATATAACAGATTGCATCACTGCATCTCTGACTGCAAGTAATTCTATGAAATAGGTTGTTAAAGTCATATTTACTGAAAGCTACTTTTGACATTTTGCTGTTACTCCCAAATGGTGGAGATCCAGAGTGGCAAAAAATATTTGGAAGGCTTTTAGCGCTATGAACTACAAGATAATGTATGAATAGCATGTATTGTCTCTAAATATGTATAACACAGTGCAATTGATACCTGCATTCTCATCCACTGGATGATTTATAAATTCTCTGTGAATCTGGACTTTTACAAATTACTAGGAAGCATATGCTACATGCATATTTTTGACATTGTTTTATAGCAGGAAAAAAAACTTCCTTTCCAACTTTCTCTCTGCTTTTCTGCTGAATCCAGGCTTGTATTATTTTTCTTCTAGTAGCACTATTTATAAAGACCTAATATGTAATGGATTTGCAAACTAAGAACTAAAAAGTAATCAAATGTTAAAATTGGAGCTACTTGGCTGATAAATGTTTAGTTTCTGACTTGATAAAATGAGGTTTACTGGATAAAATTACCTTAATTATAAGATGATGCCCAGGATTTTATTAAATATAAGATAAGGTTGTCCAGGAATATATGATTAATGTAGTTACATAAATTACATAGTGATGAAGATCCCATTCATAGTCATGTGAAGCAATACTCCAAACAACTCCAGTTCCAGTTCTTTTTCATCAAAACTGCCATAGAATTTACATGTGGAATTTTGGGAATGAGAAAGTAGATAGGGGAGCTAATTGTTGATCCTCTGATTCAAGTGACTTGAGTTTTGATAAGTTGGATATGGGGTCTGGAAGAAATGAAACCCTGCTGTCCTCAGTGTTGGTAAATGTGGCTTTCATCTGACTTATCTTTGGCCATAAACTTCAAAGAAAAAAGTTTACCTAAGATACATTTCAGCACTGTGATTTTAGAAGGAAGGTTATAATTCTAGGTCCTGTAACTAGAATTTGCCCTGACTCTTTTCTACCTACTGATAACCATGTATGAAATCATCCATTAGACCAATAGTCTTTTTCTTTTGCTTTCTGAATATATAATTTAAATAACAACAACAACAACAAATTTTGATATAATTTTGAATGATAGCAAATACCTTAGGATAGAGAATTGAACTTTTGGTCCTGAAATGTTGCATTCATACAATTGCACACAACTCCTCCTTTAGCAAAAATTGTGACTATTTTAGGAATTTCACTATAGTACAGTGTTTATCTGTTTTCCATTTCACAATTGTAGAAAATGTAATTGACCATTTTCAGCAATCCCACTCTAAGAGGTTAGAAAAGGGGATAAAGAATGCACCCATTGCCCCTGTGTTCTAGCTTTTATTGATCAGAACTATTTAAATCAGTGGCCCCCAACCTTTTTGGATTGGTGGCCTGGCAGGGAGGAGAGGGGAACAGGACCATGTGAGGGGCAGGCCAACATGCGCATGTGCAACTTGACTTGTGCAAGCGTTGGGCCAGTGCACAAGTGCAGCTTGATCTGTGCAAGTTGAGTTGCCCAGGCATGTGCAGCACGCCAGCCCGCTGCTCATGAAAGTCGAGCTGTGCACATGTGTGCACCGATCCATCACTTGCGCATCCTGGTTGCAAATAGGCCACAGCCCAGTAGTAGGCTGCGGCCCGAGGTTGGGAACCCCTGATTGAAATGATAGTCATCACTTTAATTTGTAATATTTGCCTTATTTTAATCAAATTTCAACCAGTGTGATGAGCATATTTGGCTAATTTCACTTACAAAGAGGCAAACTATGGTTGAGAAATTCACATAAGGATATACTTAATGATGTTTTGTTACTTTTTTTTTAAGAAATCCTCTTAAAAATTCACAAGTTCCTAAAATGTGACACGTAAAAAAAATGTTCATCTCTGTCTTTTCAGAATTTAGCTTCTTTTGCTCTGTATTGTTGACAATCACCATCGTCCTTTAATTTTTTTCAGCTGTTCTCTTGCCTATTTATCTTCACTTCTTGTATAAATATTCTAATAGCCTTAAAGGAATATTTCTCTCTTCTCTCCTTTGTTCTCCATCTTTGGATTCAAGATGCTTCGCTTCACAATAAAAGCTTTATTTCCATTAAAAAAAAAGATACAAAACAAGTCCCTTCAGATCAAATTATCTGCCCTGGCCAAAGCTGATTGTTGTGCCTATAAAAGAGATCAACTGAGCCTGGTCCAAGAAAGAGTTCTTTCATTCCTAGATCACTTCAGAGAAAGACCTGTTGACAGGGAAACCAGATAAACTTTGAAATGAAGGGAATTTATTCAGTAGTAGAAGAGAATAAGCTAGAAGAACTGAACTCTTGACCTTCATGGCGTATTTGATCATCATTAGTGACAAAAGAGCTCTTGGAGTTTAATTCCAGGAGGTGTGAGGGAATATTTTCAGTCTTGGAAATTGGTATCTATTACAGTAAACTGTCCTCAAATGGCACCTAGTAGGTAAATAATAACAATGTTAGATCTCTTTTCCCCCCCCTGAGAGTACTATATAGACATCATCATGACATGAAACAGATATAAAGTATAGCTGAGAAAGTAAGTCATCAATTTAGACACTGCAATGGCTGGAAACTAACAAGACAGTTTCTCAATGATTTGAGGCCAGAATCATGCAGGTGTGGTGCAAACCCTAAAATAAACTTCATACAAAAAATAAAACTTGTGGGGGAGGGAATCCTAGCTTTTACCGATATACAATGCATAAATCTATCTTAACCCTATCCACTGGACTGTACCCTCAGGAATACTAAGTAGTCCCCCAGCCCAGTCCCCCCCCAAATATAGCCCATTTTATTAGCGTTGCCTTTGGAAAGCCAGAATTCTAAATGCATATTATTTGTGCTCATATATTTTTGAAGTCCCTGGCTGTAGCAAGATGAGAACAGAAGAATGCACAATTTGATGCGTCTGTCTGAACTCATTATATATTTTTTAAAAGAAACGGACTGAATTTGTATTTTTAATTTGCTAAGACTCATTTCCTTGTATTTTTGTTGCAAAAAAAAATGCCTGCAGAAGCTTCTGACATAATTCTCTATGCTTTTTCCCCACCCGTCAATATTTTCCTGCATACAGCTCTTAGGAGACTCCAGAAGCAAGGTACTAGTGCCATCCTGACATTTTTTTCTCCCTGCCTCTTTCTTTCTTTCCTACCTTCCCTCCCTCCCTCCCATTTTTTTGTTTCCTCTGTTACAATATTATATAATATAATAACACGCTGGACCTGGTTTTTGTTTCTGGTCAGTGGCTGAGTGGTCTCGAGATAGGGGATATAGCGATCGAGCCCTTGTCATGGTCAGATCACTCCCTCCTTCGCTTTGACCTTCGAACCGCCACACCCCGCCGCAGGGAGGCGGAACCGATGAGGTGGTTCTGCCCCAGGCGCCTGATGGACCCGGATAGGTTCCAGACGGAGCTTGGGCCATTTCCTGAGGCTCTGGCACACGGCTCGACTGAAGACCTAGTGGCTGCCTGGGATAGGGCGGCCGCTGGAGCTTTGGACCGGGTCGTGCCTTTGCGGCCTCTGACCCGGCATCGATCTCACCTGGCTCCCTGGTTCACCGAGGAGCTGAGGGAGATGAAACGCCGGAAAAGACGCCTGGAGAGCAGTTGGAGAGCCAGCCGTTCTGAATCTGACCGAACACTGGTAAGGTCTCATATTAAGACCTACCTGGTGGCAATAAAAGCGGCAAAATGTAACTATTTTTCCGCTCTTATTGCATCATCAGATAATCGCCCAGCCGCCCTGTTTAGGGTGAGCCGCTCCCTGCTCCACCAGGAAGCGCGGGAGGACCCCTTGGAGGGTAGAGCTGAGGACTTTGTACAATATCTGTATGACAAAATCGCTCAGATTCGGGAAAATTTGGACTCTGACTGGGTAGATTCGGGAGGGAGGATGGAGGCAAGTCTTGAGAATATTATCTGGGAAGAATTTGATTCTGTGACTCCGGAAAACGTGGACAAGATACTGGGCAGACTGAGCGCGGCCACATGTTTATTGGACCCGTGTCCCTCCTGGCTGGTGCTGGCCTCTCGGGAGGTTACACGAGGCTGGCTCCAAGGGATTATAAATGCTTCCTTGAGAGAGGGTGCCTTCCCCACCGCCTTGAAGGAGGCGGTGGTGAGGCCTCTCCTCAAGAAGCCTTCCCTGGACCCAGCAGTGTTGGCTAATTACCGTCCAGTCTCCAACCTTCACTTCGTTGCGAAGGTTATTGAGAGTGTGGTAGCGCGACAGCTTCCTCAGTACTTGGATGAATCGGCTTATCTAGATCCGTTCCAGTCGGGCTTCAGGCCTGGATACAGCACGGAAACGGCATTGGTCGCATTGGTAGATGATCTCTGGAGGGCCCGGGACAGGGGTTGTTCCTCTGTCCTGGTCCTATTAGACCTCTCAGCAGCTTTTGATACCATCGACCATGGTATCATGCTGCACCGGTTGGAAGGGTTAGGGGTGGGGGGCACCGTGTTGCAGTGGTTCTCCTCCTTTCTCTCTGATCGGTCGCAGTCTGTGTTGACAGGGGGGCAGAGGTCGACCCCGAGGCCCCTTGTATGTGGCGTGCCACAGGGGTCGGTTCTCTCACCCCTTCTGTTCAACATTTATGTGAAGCCGCTGGGTGAGATCATCCGTGGTTTTGGGGTGAAGTATCATCAGTATGCTGATGATACTCAGCTATACATCTCCACCCCGGACCACCCCAATGATGCCCTTAAAGTGATGTCCCAGTGCCTGGAGGCTGTACGGATCTGGATGGGGAGGAACAGACTCAGGCTCAACCCATCCAAGACCGAGTGGCTGTGGTTTCCGACGTCCCGATATAGTCAATTGGTGCCATCACTGACTATTGGGGATGAGTCATTGCCCCCCACGGAGAGGGTTCGCAACTTAGGCGTCCTCTTGGACTCCCGGCTGTCTTTAGAAGAACACTTGACGGCTGTGGCCGGGAGGTCTTTTTATCAGGTTCGCCTGATTCGCCAGTTGCGTCCCTTTCTGGATCGGGACTCGTTAAATACGGTCACTCATGCCCTCGTCACTTCCCGCCTGGACTACTGTAATGCTCTCTACATGGGGCTCCCCTTGAAGAGCACCCGGAGGCTCCAGCTGGTCCAGAATGCGGCCGCGCGGGTAGTTATGGGAGCAGCATGGCGCTCCCATGTGGCTCCCCTCCTGCACGAGCTGCACTGGCTCCCTGTGGTCTTCCGGGTGCGCTTCAAGATCTTAGTTACCACCTTTAGAGCGCTCCATGGCTTAGGACCGGGGTACTTACGAGACCGCCTTCTGCCACCAATAGCCTCTCACCGCCCAGTACGCTCCCATAGAGAGGGGCTTCTCAGGGTGCCGTCAGCCAAACAGTGTCGACTGGCGGCCCCCAGGGGGAGAGCCTTTTCTGTGAGGGCACCCACCATCTGGAATGAGCTCCCCCCAGAGATACAGAAGATTCCGGATCTGCGCACTTTCCGCCGTGCCCTCAAAACATTCCTGTTTCAGCAGGCCGGCCTGGCCTAACTTTCCCTTTATATTGCTTTTTTGATTTTATTTTAAACTGGGATGTCTTGAATTATCTAGGACCAGAGTGTTTAGTATATTTTAATTGGTTTTTTATTAACGTTTGTATTACATGTATTTTTATCGTTCGCTGTTCACCGCCCTGAGTCCCTTAGGAATAGGGCGGTATATAAATTTAATAAATAAATAAAAATAAAAATAAATAAATATAGGGCTGCAATTACGTTCATACCTTAATGTCCAAACCTTGCATCCTATCAAAATGCAGAACTTTGGTGCCATCAACATGTTTAGTATATCAATATATACTAAAGTCAAGAAAACACAAATTCTGGCATAAATTATATAAATATAATGGTTGTCCAACCTTTTGGCTTGCCTGGGTGCATTGAGTGAAAAGGAATTCCTATATTTTATAAATAATATTTTTATTATCTTGTGGTGCTGCATTACTAGCTGCCCAGGGCCACAGGCTGGACATGCCTGATACAGACTTTCTGAAAATTATACAGAAAATATACAGGAGGATAGAAAAGATATGGAAATAGGCTTAGGAAGTTAATATATATTCTTTCTGGTAGCCACAGAAAAATATTTGACAATAAGACTCAAGTTCTCATTAGGACCATGCAAAGCCTTCAAGAGAGGAGCTGCATAATAGGTGGGAGCAAGTATGAAGCAATGTGACTATACTTTTAAGACAGCTGGGAGCAACTTTTCAAACAGTTGCGTAAACCTGAAAAAGGGCGTGGCTATTTTACCGATTTGAAAAGAGAGGCTTTAAAATCAGCTGAGATAGGGAACCCCTGTGGTCAGTCCAAGAGCTGTAGTGGCACAGTGATTAGAATGCAGCACTGCATGCTACTTCTGCTGACTACCGGCTGTCTGCAGTTTGGCAGTTCTATTCTCACTGGCTCAAGGTTGGGTCAGCCTTCCATCCTTCTGAGGTCGGTAAAATGAGGACCCAGATTGTTGGGGGCAATATGCTGACATTGTAAACCATTTAGGGAGGACTGTAAACACTGTGAAGCAGTATATAAGTCTTAAGTGCTATTGCTTAGAGTGGGCTGATTGCCAAGCACTTAAAATTTCATTGTGGGTCAATGGCTGCATCTTTGGGTAAGTCCCTTTATTGAGCACTATCATAATTCAAATTGGTCACTGAATGAACGGTTATTAAGCTTTATTACTTTAGTGAAATTATTCAAAACTACAAAATCCAATATTTTTTTCCCCCCCCCCCCCTCCGATCAGAAAAAACCAGTGAGAAGAAGGTATGAACCATATGGGATGTATTCTGATGATGATGCAAACAGCGATGCCTCCAGTGCATGCTCAGAGCGGTCCTATGGTTCCCGCAATGGAGGCATCCCACACTACCTGCGACAGACAGAAGATGTAGCGGAGGTCTTAAACCACTGTGCTAGTTCCAACTGGTCTGAAAGGAAAGAAGGGTTAATTGGCTTGCAAAACCTATTGAAGAGCCAGAGAACATTAAGGTGAATGCGTATTTCATTAGTAACTATTCGTATATTTTGTACCTGTTCTTTATCATGTCTTTAAAAGAGTTCCGTAAATTATGAAATGTTTATGCTTCTTCTAAATTATCAATATTTTGTTTAATAATCGTAGTTGTAAGCTATGTTTTAGATAGCCAGCATTTTAATGATGGGACTGTGTTTTTTGTTACTATCACCCATTATTGATATTTTTGAATTCAGCTTATAATTATGATGAACAATTGGAATTAATATCATTGCAGAATAGAGTTTCTACTTAGTGATATACTGTAGGTATTCAAAGCTGTTCATATAATTAGGAGTCTTTTTATCTTCTCTTTACCTTGAATAAACCAAGAAAATAAAAGATTTTGAAAAAGTTGAGTGGTGACTTAGAACATGCTTTTTAATGCTGTAATTCTATCCTCTTTATTAAATACAGGTAGTCCTTGATCTACAACAGTTTCATTTAGTGACCGTTCAAAGTTACAACGGCAATGAAAAAAGGGATTTATGACCATTTTTCACATGACCGTTGCCGCATCCCCATGGTCACATGATTTACATTCACATGCTTGACAGTTGACTCACATTTATGACAGTTGGAGCATCCCAGGATCATATGATCACATTCTGCAATCTTCCGATCAGCAAAATCAATGGGGAAACCAGATTCACTTAACACTCATGTTATTAAAATAACAACCACAGTGATTCACTTAACAAATGTGGCAAGAAAAGTCATAAAATGGGGCAGAACACCCTTAACAAATTTCTCACTTAGCAACATAAATGTAGGGATCAATTGTGGCCGTATGTTGGGGACTACCTGTACAGAATTGAGCAATGTATGGCTGGCAGCCTTGCATTAACCATTATTATTATTATTTTTAGTCCAGAAACATATCACACATAGATACTGACATACAGGCATCATGCTACTAAAGATATTTATTTTGGTATAGTGTTTGGTGTAAGGTTTTGACCTAAAAACCAGAAGATTGTGAGTTCTTAACCCACCTAAGGCATGGAAGCTGACTGGTTGACTTTGGGCTAGTTACATCTCTTAGTTCAGCTCAATCCACCTCACAAAGTTATTGCTTGCAGGAAAAATAGGAGGAGGAAGGAGCATTAGATAGGTTCCCGGCCTTGAGTTATTCAAAGGTGGGATTAAAAAACTAATAAGTAAATAAAAATAAAAACCAGACAAAGCAAAAATATTTTGAATGTTTTGCATTCTCCCTTTGGAGATGTCATCAGCGTCCCTCAATAATCAAAAATAAACAAGAGACCAAAATATGTATCTAGAGTCAGGGTATCTGAATAAAAACGGGTTAAAGAAAGCCCAACAAATATGTAGATTGTAATCTTCCTAATATACATATGAAACAATATGCATAGAGAATTATGTGACACTGCCCAAACTTCCCTGGTGGGCCCCCAATTTAGAAAAAGCTGAATTGTTGATTAAAGACTCTTTGACATTTAAGGTAAACAGTTTAAGAAGTTTGAGAAGATTTATGAGAAATGATGTAAAATGTTCAATGAATTCCAGTTCTATTATTCCTAATGAAACTACCACTTATAATTTCTTTGGCTCAGAGCAAGTATATTTGAAGTCCAAGACAAAGCGTCCAAGAGAACTGAAATTTCTATTTTGTGTCCATTTGTTCTTTTGTATTGCCATAAAATACAGTTGAATATATGCCATGGGAGTGAGTTGGAGACCAGAAGTGCACTATCCAAAAATCAGTAGAAGAACATTTTAGTTCTCTAGAACTCTCTGTTTAAGACTTCAAGGAGACAATCCTTCAGCTGTGTGTTTCTAGAAAAAATATTGAACATAAGATTTTTACCTTCACTAAAGAGAAAGATATATATAAGGAGAACATACTGCAAGGCAGTTCAGTTCTTTACATTAATTAAAATTAAATTAATTGGCAAGACAGCAAAACATTTAAAGATCGAGAACCCAACCTTTTGGCTTGCCTGGGCTGCATTGATGAAGATGAATTGTCTTGGCCCATACATAAAATATACAATATATGTGTATATAAAACACATAATAATCTTAAAAGTTTATGATCTTGTGGCATCACGTTACTAGCTGTTCGGGGTGAATGCGGGCTGTGGATTGGACATTCCTGATTTATATTATACCACAAATTAGAAACCTTAATTTAGTCTCTTGACCTTATATTGAAGTCCCCTTATCTGTTGAGATTAGAATAGAGTTTCCTTGTCTATACTTATTTGCTGCCTTGGAAATAAATGATGATTTTGTATGCAAATTTGTGTTGCTACATTTTACTAATTTCTACAATAATTTGGGGTTTTTTTGTTTGGGTTTAGCCGTGTGGAGTTGAAAAGGTTATGTGAAATCTTCACACGTATGTTTGCAGACCCCCACAGCAAGGTAAATTTTTAAATATATGCACCTTTTATGAACAATCCATAAATGTTGGAGGTTGGGTTATAAATAAATGATTGAATCGAAATGATAATCAAAATATTTTATTTTTTGTGCTAAATAGTTGTTTAGTCTTTGCAGTTATCTGTGGTGAATTACTGAGATATTTTTAAATTCCATAAGTAAGTCATGCAAGTAGGATATTATCTAGAGCAGAACATTTCCTTGGAATATAAGAAAATAGATTATTTCAAAAATATGTATTGCCTCAAGAACTTAACAGTTAACCTTACATATTATAAAAATATTCTTTCATAAAGTTATCTTAAACTTTCTGTGAATGCAGTTTATCTGAATGCAAGGGAAACTGCCTTAAAGCAATTTGCTTTGATTTTTTTTTTTTTAATATCAGTTTACTAATGAATGGTTTGTTTTGTTGCATGGCCTGTTTTGCGGTGGAATTCACAACAGAGAGTAAGTGTATTTTCCTTCCTCCTCACTCCCACCACTTAATCCCACCTCTTTTATCTATTTAATATAAACCATCCAGTACATACTGGTACTTCACAATATTAACATGGATGTCAAAATCATCCCTATTAATGCAGGTTTTGATTGCCTTTGATTTTCATCATTTTTATGTTAATCATGATGTTAATAATGATGTAAATCATGATTTCCTCTGTTATCTCTTTTAACTTAAAGGTTTTCAGCATGTTTCTTGAAACTTTGGTAGACTTCATCATTATTCACAAAGATGATTTGCAGGACTGGCTCTTTGTTCTTCTGACACAGTTACTGAAGAAGATGGGTGCTGACCTGCTGGGATCAGTGCAGGCCAAAGTGCAGAAAGCTCTGGATGTAACAAGGTAGTGTATCTGCCAAGTAACGGGGGATAAGTTGCTGACATGTTTTTTTACATAATGCAAAACCAGCTTTCTCAAACCTAGTGCCCTCCAGATAGGATGGATTGCAATGTTCATCATCTCCAGATAGAAAGCTATTATTTAGTGTCTCATAAATTGAATCTGTTAAGCCACAACCATGAGCCTCTCATCTGATAAAAACTGTCCTGAGGGAAATTGGAAGAATTCATTCCTTCATTTAAATGCCACATCAAAATTGGTCTTAACTAAGAATACATAAAAGTAAAGTCTTTGAAAACAGAATATCTACCCTTGGATTGCTTCCGTTTATTGGATCCTTTATCTGTCCTCCTTGTGGCTTAAGAAGATACATAGTTATTCAGAAAGTCGACTGAAGACTAGGGGGTGGGGGGTGTTTATTTATTTTTATTTCTTAGACTGTGGCATGCAGCTGTTATATATTTCATTTTTCTCTATCTGAGGAAAACACTAGTTATATTTAAATCTTGGAACTTGTTCTTACGCTCTCTCTTCCCTTTTCCCTTTCCATTATAGAGATTCTTTTCCATTTGACCAACAATTTAATATTTTGATGAGGTTTATCGTAGATCAGACCCAAACACCAAACCTTAAGGTAGGTTAAGGTGCTTGCACTTCCATTGGAAATGATGTCTGAGAGTAAAGTCAAGCATAATGCTTAAATATAGATAACTGGGGCAAATACATTTTTCCTTGGTAGGGTTTTCAGAAGATCTAGAGATGGCTCTTTTGCAGCAAGTAATGGTTCATAAAAAGATTGGGCTTGAGAAAAGGTTTTGAGCTTTGTAATTTGTTGTGTTATCTTTATTTACAAAATGTATTCTATTCACTTTAGGTAAAAGTGGCAATATTAAAATACATTGAATCCTTGGCTAGACAAATGGATCCTACAGATTTTGTAAACTCCAGTGAGGCTAAACTTGCAGTTTCTAGGATTATTACCTGGACAACAGAACCAAAGAGCTCAGATGTAAGAAAGGTGAGTCAAAGCAATGGGAGGCAATGATTGGTGCAACTTATATAAATTCATTAAAAAAAATTAAGATTATACCGTATCAGATCGATAAATTCATTCAGTTGTATTCAAAATGTGCTTTTGCTGGAAGCCATTCGCTCCAACCAAATATTTCAATTACATTAGTGTAATAATTTACATTGATTCCCCTCTCTGTAGTCTTCTTTGTCATTTCTTTCCCCCCTCTTTGGGAGCATTGGGTAAATTTCCACATAGTGTGGAAGGGCATGCTAAAGAATGCAGAGTGAGACTTCAATTGGTGAAAGTATTTGAGTGGAACTCAGGGAAGATTCATTCTCTGAAATGAAATTAGAGATGAATAACTTTTGTGGGCAAAAGCCTTGTTCAGGAAAATAATGAGGAGCCAAATTATGTTTTGGCTGAAAATAAAACCTGGACAAAACATACCTTGTTTCTCTTTCTCTTCCCTTTATCATAATCACAATTGAAAGATATTCTTTTATTCTCTGAAATTTTGCATGTATTCCAAGCCTGCATGCAGATGCTCCCATGAAAGTAGAAATGCATATCATTCTTTCAAGAGAGGGCATTTCAAGCACACACAAAAAGGAAATTTCTTTCATGTCTATCCATGTATGCATTCACATGCATCTTTATGTATGTTCCCCATCCACACACTTTACTAGAACATGTAGGGAGCAAGGTTTCAGATGAGAAGTAGTAGGATGGAGAGGATTTGCTAGCCAAAAATTTTAACTAATGGCTTAAATAAATAAAACGTTTTGTAGACCAAGAAAAACATTTCCTATTCTTAAAATATAAGAAGGTGAGAATTCTCTGGAAGGGGTGGTAGTAACCCTGTGCAGATATTGCAGGACCCCTCAAAGCACGTTCATGAAAACCATGTAGTACTCCACCACTCCATTTCTATTCAGTGAAGCATTTGTGCCATCATTTTGTTTGGTAACAGTAATTTCTGCTAATGACCTGCCTCAACTCTGAGATAGAACACTGAGTAACTGAGGTTATTCACAGTGCTGAGTGCAGTGCAATAAATCTCTGTGAAGCAAAACATGTACCTCATCAGAGCAAATCTTCCACAATCATACATACACATACACAGTAAGAAGTAAAGAAATCAGTTACCTGTGAGTTCCTCAATTAGTTTTTCAGTTTATTTACTAGTTCCTCTGTGAAGAAAAGTTAATAATACTGGTATCAAGTTTCAAATTTGCTTTCTTGCCATCAACATTCATGTTAATGTGGTCTGTAAAGTTTCCAGCTGTGCCATGAAGTGTCATCTTTGTCATGAATGTCAAAAAGAACAGCACCTTGGAAACTTTTTAGAGTAAATCAATGACCCTCTAAAAGGGTGTCAAACACAAGGCCCGTGGGCCGCATCTGGCCTGCAATGTTTATGGATCTGGCCCTCGGGGCCATCCTGGAAAATGTAAGGGGCCGGCCAGCATGGCTTCGACCTGGTCTACCTAGTGCAAAGAAGAAACATGCCAGCAGTTTGGGGAGTGGTGTCAAGATGGCCACGCCCACCCAGTTGGCCGCACCCAGTAAATTGTGTCAAGCTGGCCAAGCCCACTCAGTCGGCCACAAGCCCGGCCCCCCAAGGTCAACCACAGCCCTGATACGGCCCTCAATGAAATTGAGTTTGACACCCCTGCTCTAAAAGGATGCAAATGACCAGCTGTGTGCAAGGAATATAAATCCTTCTATTCCCCACTGTCCTGTCAAAGCTGAAGAAGCTTCTTGGATGAGAAGCAAAATGTCTTCAAAGAAAAATCAAGAAACTCCAGTTGCCTCCTGAAAAAACGCCTTTGGGACAACTATGACCTGGATGACTGAGAATCTCTACAAATTTTTAGAGTTAGGGTTAAACTATGTAGATGAAAATATGAGCTTGTGATGTTGAAGAGGAGAAGACGGATCATAGGAAGCCCATTGAAATAGAAAGATGAAACTGATCAGAAAAATAGGTAGAAATGAAATGAATCTTGCCAAAAGGCAACAACATATAATGATTAAATGGCAGGGGATTAATTATATATCATTCTGAATATCCATTTTGGAATGGGAGCTACTGCATTGAATTTGTTGAGTAAAGTCATAACATTAATAATTGTTTACCATGAAACAAAGCATAATTAAATAGACAATAAGGAGTTTGATACTTCTTCAATATAACAATATGACTAATGGGTTCAGTGCAGAAAAAAGAGAAATAATTAACATTGGGGTTTATGTGCTCTTCTTTTATTCCTTCTTTTCTACAAATTGTCTTTATGCTAACCATGATGTAGAAGGATGCATACAATGATTCTTGCAGTGGATATTGCCGATATAGTTGTCTTGTGAACATATTTTATAAAGCTACTTTTTAGCCAGATGACTTGAACAGTCCTATTATTATTTAAAGACAGTTTAGATCTGAAGATAGACTAGAATTAACTCAAGCAATCAACAAGAGAACACATTTAAAAGGATTTGTATGTTTTCTTTTTTCTTCAAGGTAAAAATATGATAGAAATTTGCAGCAGCATTAACAATATGGAAAAAAAAATAAGATAATTTTCATTATTTATCTAATGCTGGAGGGCAAAAAGTATGATCTATGAGCTGCATGCTTTCCAGCACTACTGTTATTTATTGAATCCTTAAACTAATGTTTCTTTCATGATAGTGATAGTAGTCAGAGAAATTGCAGAAATCTTTACTGCACACAGTAAACTAGGAGAGAGGCTAATTCTGTCCCTTTCCACCATATTGAGAGACGATGGGAAACATTAGTTAGCATGGGAAAAGATCTCTTCTCTAAACCTTTATTCCAGGTTCCAAAACAAGAAGTTCTGTCAAAAGCAACTTCCAGTGCTTGTTACATAGAAAAACAGTATAAAAACATCTTTTAAATCATACAGCTAGGTGTTTTCTTCATTGTTAGGTAAACAAATGCCTACTGTGCTGATGACTGTTAAGAGCCCACTTTTAAAACACTACCATCATCACCACCACCACCCCAAAATTAAAACATTTGATATTTTAACATGCCAATATCGCCTAGAATTTTAATCTTTGTTCACAAGTCAATCATCATTTTAAAAAACATTTTTAATTTCTCAAAGTATAGTTTACAAAAATAGATTGAATGTTGCTCAGCAGTAAGGAGACCAAAAAATACTTTCACATACAATGCATCATTGTTAGTGCTATTGCAGTGAAAGGCTTCCTAATTTGCTACTTTGCAGATTTGCTGTTATTTGGCTGCATCAGGCTTTAACCATATGCACATATCTGTTTAGAAACGGGTGGTAGCAAAAAGATGAGACCAACTTCTGATGGTTCACTTAGACCAGGGGTGTCAAACTCGCATCGTATCACAACTTTTTTCCCCTTCACTAAACCTGGGGTGGGTGTGGCCAGCATGTGACTCATCCGGACTGCTAGTTTGACACCCCTGACTTAGACACAGTAGCACCTGTATTATAAGTACAGTGTTGGAGATAGAACTGGCTGGCCTTAGATTGTAAGTTTTATTTATCTGTTTTCAAAAAGGCTGAGTAAGGAAATAAATAACTAAAAATAAAGTTACAGCTATTGAATTCTATATGAGTAACAGAGGAATTATAAAATTTACATCTACAAATTGTAAAAGGCATTATAGTACAGGTTGGAAAAAAATAAAGAGTTAGAAAACTTAGTAATGGCCACTTCCATTTTTGTGACATTAGTTCCACATTGGAAAAGCATTTCTGCTTTATAAGTGCAACTTCTGCAAGAAACTAAACATAAATGTTTCTGCAATGGTCAGTGAAAATCTTGTGCTTGGTTCTAATAAATAATATTCCATTTCCTATTTGTTGAACTCAGACCATGCATAGTTGGGTAGGTGAGGATATGCCAGCTAAACCAGCAGCAGCCTCGTCAGGTCCTGGTGAAGGAAACTTGGAAGAAAAGTGTAAACAGGTAGACTAAAAGTAGCATACACTAATCATAAGATATTAGTCTGTGTTTGCAGTCCAAAATTCTAATCTAGTTTAGATTTGTGGGGGAAAAAGGTTGGGGGGAGAATTTTATTTAAAAATGCAGTGATGTGTGATAACCTCATGTGTGTTTCTTTCACGCTGGTTTGATTAGATTAAATGAGTATTATCTGAAGTGTCTGCAGCTAGTTGCAGTCTCTTATGAGTTCACATCCCAAGGTGGATGGAAAATGACTGAAAGCTTTCAATTCAATATTTGCATGCCTGCTATTCCATTAACATGCAACACACCTGTCCTTTAAGTTCTTGCTTAATATAGCTCTTCCCTGTTACAGGACACAAAATCAAAGGACCTTTATTTATACACAGTGACAACTTGGGTTGTACTGAAGTGCTTATATGCCCTTTTCTTGTGGCATTTGTGGAATGTCATTACAGTCACCCCTTTTGTTGATAAATTTTTGGATTTTAATAGATGTTATTAGAAAATTTCTGAGGGAAACAAAATTATAACAGCAACGGGCAGAATCAGTTTAAGAACCAATAAGGCAGCTGCAAAAGTACAAAGGATAGTATAAAAAGTATAAAAGAACTATGGTTGCACTGTAGCCCAAATTGAACCCACTTGAATTGGGAAGGTACAAAATAGAACTAGATTCACAGAATTGGATCTTTTGCTTGGTTGCTGTACTGACTTGCATGTAGATGTCCCTAACTAAACTAAAATTCCCATGCTTGGATCCGCATGATTTTTCTGATCGTTCATATAGCTTTTTTTCTTCATTTTGTTATCCATTCTTTTCTTGGACTTGACTTGAAATAATATTTTCTGTTCAAAGAATGTTCTTTTAATGAATGTTCCCACATTTCTGTAGGGCAGGATGAGTACGACCATATGTGGCTTATTTTTCACTTTCTGAGTTCAGTGCAAACAGATTTCCCATCTAGTTAGAAGTACACTGATTGAGGAAGAAGGAGAGGCCAGCTGGAACTATATAATGTTCTTCACTTACAATATTTAATTTTGAAGGAACAGTGCTTATTCTAATGGAAAGGATAATAGTTCAAAGACTGAATTTTAGTCATAATTGATAGATTAAACCTCACGCAGCCTCTTTAGCCTCTAACAAGTCATAATGGATATTTTTTTCAAGGCAAACATTACAAGAAAGCACACAGAAACTGAATGAAATTTAGTTGTACTTTTTCTTAATGACTTTTTCTTATCCTGCCAAACTTTATTATTAGCTATATATATTTATTAAGAGCCGGTCTGGTGTAGTGATTAAGTTACCAGACTAGAAATCAGAAGACTGAGTTCTAGTCTCATTTTAAAGATAGGTAGAAAGATAGGAATAGATAGATAGACACACACACATACATACATACATACATACACACACAAGGGGGGCGGGGAGAGCATTTTCTGCAGGTACTAGCTTGAACTGGAATAGCTAATGGATTTATAAAAATAAATTGACTTACTGAATAGTTTAGATCAGTTATTTAACTTCATGAATGAATGCACATTATTAATGAATCATGTATCACCAGTTCTGAAGTATGAAGTATATGATGTGGAAGTCTGGAATCAGCTTGTTAACAGAGTAATTTAATTTTCAAAGCTGTGTTAGCACAGTGTCTTTTTTTTTTACAAAAACTTTTTGAACTTGTACTTATTGGTAGTTATTTGATACAGGACAATGAATTATATGTACTTTTTGCTGGACTCTTATGTAGGTTTGTATTCTTAATTTGCGGTTTGCAGTTTACAGAAAATGCCACTGGACATTTCATTAGATGTGAGAAGTGTTTTGCTTTGTTTCTTGTTTCTTTTTCTTTTTTTACTGTAATGGCTTGATTTCAGCAGTACTTCCCTGTCGTGTATTTGGAATGTGTGATATTATGGGTAAAATGAATGTACTTAACTGCAATCTGGATATTGTGATATGTCCCAGTAACATTTAACAATTTTTTAAAAAAATCTGCTGTGATTCTGACTTTTTTCTTCTTTTTCCTTCCTAGGCAGCACAAATAGTCCTGATCTCTCTGTTCGAATTGAACACTCCCGAGTTTACCATGTTACTTGGTGCCTTGCCAAAAACATTCCAGGATGGTGCTACCAGACTATTACATAACCACCTCAAGAACTCCAGCAACACTAGTGTGGTAAAATAAGATTATTTTTCTGTAAGAAACAAACAGCAAAACCAAAAATTTCTAAAGACAGTAATTTCTTGATCATCAGTTAATTTTGGCAGAGTCATACAAATCTGCAGTTTTGGCTTTACAGGGCAGAAGAGACATACCATTTAATAAAAGAGGTGCTATTGAATGTGGTGGATTGTGTGCATATTGTACCCATAAGGTTCACCTTGGACTCTCATTATCCTGCCAAATTCTAGGGGCAATTTTTGCTGCAATTGTAAAACGTAAAAAATACGTTTAACTGCTTTGAGGACTTTCAAGAAATTATGCTTTAAAGTAATTGTGCCGTTACCCTGAATAGTTTGCTTTATCTGTATATTAGCTAAGATGCCATGGTGTCAAGTCTTGGCAAAAGATGAGGGAAAAGGAAAGATCAGAAAGTAGAGGTCCAGTGGCTTAAAGTTAAGAAAATATGATGATTTGTTTATTAAGCTCAGATAGGAGCTTTAGTGGCTAAAATAGGAGGAGGAAGATGTGCTGGATATGTTCACTATCTTGAGTTATTTGTAAAAATAATAAAGGTAGGAAATAAATAAATAATAAAATAAAATACCCTGTTTCCAAGGAAGTAGTTCAATAGTGTCTGCAGCACACTATCGTGATGCCAAAATGATGACATACACAATTATGTCATCATGCAAATGCCATTACTACAAGCTTTCAGTGTTTGTATTCGATGCAATTAAATAGGGTGATATTATGTGATGTCATGATGCATGTATCACCTTTTGCCCTCCTGTGGACAACCAAGAAGGGGAGACCATTGGGAGCCAATATACAAAATATTCAGAAGAAATCCAAACCAGAAAATTCCAAAATTTTGCTGCTACTGAAATGCTCTCACTTTTGAAGCTGCAGCTGGGAAGAACAGTAGAAAGTAGGTCCAGCTGCATGGAAGAAGGAGAAGGGAGATCTTACCTTCCTCTACCCTGCTGAACCTGAGTGCTCTTAATACATTCATAGACAAAGGCCTAACATATCCAGCCAAGACCTCTTACTTTGCTGTATTTCTTGAAAATATGTGTTTTCAAGAAGCCCCAAAGCCTTTTATTCTAGAATATTGTTAAGGCATCAATATGAAGAAAGGAAGGGGGAAAAATCAGGCCTCCTTATAGTAACCCTTTTGCTTCTGTGAGATAGATAATGTGAATATTGATAAGCACCTTGTCTTGCTTATCTTATAATATAAATAAGGCAATAATGGGCAACTTCCAACTCTAGAAAATTCTTATTGAATAATTTGAAAGCTAGGAAGCAATTGATACTGGTCACTAGTCAGACTTAAAATGTTGGTCAATACTGCTTAAGTCAGAATTTAAATTAACTGAAGTAAAGGTCCCATATTTCATTTTACTTTCCCCTGTAATATATGTTACATTATGTCATTTCTTCTCTTTTGTGTGTATTAGGGTTCTCCTAGTAATACTGTTGGCCGAACCCCTTCACGTCATCCTAGCAGCAGAACCAGCCCCTTAACTTCACCTACCAATTGTTCTCATGGAGGATTATCACCCAGGTAACACTGTAGCTTAATTAAAGTATAATTCCAATATGTAAAAGCTTTCTATTTAAAATATAAAAACTCAATATAGATGCGTATCTAATAGACACTTGTTCAATTCTGAAAATAGGGGAAGAAAAATTTTGCTTTCCTTAAGGAAAAAAAAATTATACTGCACTTTCTTTAATAATAGTCTTTGTAAAAATACTAAATTTTACAGGTAATGCCAAAAAGCTATGATAATATCTACCCTTTTGTCCTGGATACATATAAATGTAAATATATTCAAGTGAATATGTATTATATTCATTTAAAGAAATTACTTTTACATTTGTCTTCATTTCTTTGACAGCCATATTTGAAGATCTAAAAAAGGAGAGGAGGAACTTTGAGAATGCTTTATCAATAAACTGGAAATATTATTTTAGTTTCACTTATTTGAAACTAAGAAATTATTATGAGGACCCAGTTGTGGGGGCAATAAGCTGACTTTGTATAAAATATACAAAAGGATGAAGGCTATTGCTGAGCACATTGTAAGCCGCCCTGAGTCTTCGGAGAAGGGCGGCATATAAATCAAATTTAAAAAAAAAAAAATTGCCAAGAAAATCAAGAAAAATAATGTTCTGCTTAAAATGACTGCATAATGGTTGTAGTGGTAGAATATGAAAAAGATAGTTGATTAACATGCCAAAGTTGTTTTCCGGCTTCTGGTAGGAGATGAGTCTGGATGTATTAACTACATAGAGTAATAAAAATATTTTGAAAGGATGGTGACAATAAAATTTGAGATAGAATCATTTTCTTCCAAAAGATAGTGTGAATAGACTTACTAAAGGGAGTAACTATGCCTGTTCCCAGAATTTCTTTGAGGGAGGCATACAACCAGGGGGCATACACCAGAGAAAGTAGTGGCACTTTCATCTTTTTGGTCTCATAAATATAAATGGAAATATCTGCCCCTGTTTAGTAACATTTTTGTACTTATGGAAATATTACAAGAATGTTACTGATATTTCATTGTGAAATGATTTGACCATTAGCATCCTGTCCACATATTACCAATTTTGAAGTAACCATTTTCTATTGATCCTGTTACTTAGCATATCAGGCTTTATCATATTCTGTTGATTCAACATGTTGTTCTGAAATGCAGTCCATACTAAAGGTCTCTCCTGAATATTATTGACTCAGAACATTATTTGCAGTTGAGTCAAGTGTCTTTTGTATATAAATATTGAAAATATTAAGTTTCAACTTGCTGGAGTGGAATCTGGCACATTAGCAGGTTTGCTACTCCAAGCAACTCATGAACTTTGATCAAAATAAATAGGATTAACAAAAGGTGTCTTTGCTTCCTAAGCATTTACTGTATTTACACCTGACTTTCTACTTGAAAAATTAATTGCAAGCAAATTTCCTACTGTTGATGGGGCTTAGTCCTATGCCCTGGTCCCCAACAAAGCAGCAGAGGATCATCTATCTATTTAGATTTTTTAAATTGAAAATAAGGAATGGGAAGTGCATATCAGAGTCAATGTAAACAGTATTCTCAGTAGTATCTATAAGTGTTGCATAAAATGGCATATGGCTACAGACCAATATTTATTTTATCCTCTGAGTATTGTGTGACTATGAACAATCATTTTGTGGAAATGTCCTTAACATTCAGTTTCCCTATTATTAGTATTTACATATTGTCACTATTCCAAATGAAAAGTTGAGGATTTCTGGCATATGCATGTGGGAGTACAGTGTAAAATTCCTTAAGTATAACTTATAATTATTCAGATACAGGTTTTAAATTCAAGGCATGCTTTAGTTAATGTGAGTTTACCAACATGTACATAACAGATACGAAAAATGCAAAAAGTATTCTTTATCCTGACATTGGTGGCATTTCTCTTCCCCCCGACCCACAACTTTCCGAAGATTTAAAAAATGTCTTGACATTTTCTTCTCTAGGATATTTTCCAGCTCTTTGTGTATCATACAACCTATTCTGTTTGGCCATTTTAGGTTATTTTTGTTCCACTGAACTTATTATTTGACAAAATCAGGACAGTTTTGTTCTAATTATAAGGTCAGCTTTCCACAAGTCAAGAAATCTGAATCTTTAGAAAGATTTTCAGAATAATGATTATGTATATTTAAAATAAATGTGATGTATATCTGCTTGTATATGTGTGGACATACATTGTAATATACACATAAAAACACTTACATACATAGATATGTTATACTCTTGGGTTTATTTTCCTTATGGAAAAAAAATGCATATATATTTGATTTTAGATTCTGTTTCTGAACAAGCTGCTTGCCCCAAGCTATTTATGTATTAGATTTTTATTCATTGTCAATATTTTTAGTTTTCAATCATATTTTGCTGTTTTTATTAAATTACTTTCTTTTTCAAGCTTCAGCCTATAATATTTGAGAAATGCTTCACTGTGACTTTTATATATTTTTTTTGATCTGCCTTTTTTACTTTACACTCTAATTTTTTGTTCCTGCTTTTCGGAAATGTTGGAACAAAAAAAAAACCATCCTTCAGAATTTAAACTATTTACAAATATGTAATCTTTTGATTCGATGAAACATAGTAGTGAAATGAAACAAATGTCTTTCATTGCATTTGAGATGCATTTGGAGTTCAAACTAACATTTTGAAAGAATTAACTAGCAAATTGTATCTCTTTAGTTTGAAATGCTAAAATGCTCTCTTTTTTTTGTCAGAATGTTGTACTTTGGAGTTACAGACTTGTCAATTTGTTTGGCTATACTAAGATAGTAAGGGAGAATTGGTCATACTTCGTTCGTTAAAAATTCAGGTTGCATGTCTTTGGTTGCTTGCCCCACAGGATCACATTTGTAATGTTAGCCTTTCTCTCTCCAAATGCAAAATTATGTAAACGTAACTTATTTTTGGCTTTTTTTTTCCTCTGAAAGACTTTCATGAGAAACAGCTGAAGAAGCATGCTGTGATACAATAGGGTTGTGCAGAGATCTAGATTCAAAGAGTAAAATTTGTGGGCATCTATGCAACATCTATTGGAATTCTCTTCTTAATAACTCTTCCAGGGAAACATATGATTGGTTTAAAATGTTCTCAACTGGTGCTGTATATATGCCTATGCTTACTTTAAATTTTACATTTTGCCCTTGGTATCCAGGTCTTTGCACAGCTCTAAAGTACTGCAAAATTATTCTGGTGTCTCATTTCATGATTTGCAGCGTTTTTCATTTATTTCTACACCAATGTGATCTTTTGCTATAATGACGTACTGGAAGCTCAATAGAAACAAAACGACCAATTGAATACTCCAGCAGTTCTAGAAATAAATCCCAATATATGACACGGCTCATCTTATAGAACTGCCTTAGCAATGATGACAATTCCAAATCTGGCCTTTTTCATCTTGGTAAATCTTTGCAATTGCTAATGAATATCTCGTATGGAGATAGGCTAAAAAGCTAACATGGATGCCCAAACTGTTTTACATTGGAGAGTCAGATCTGCAGTGTTTAATTTTCCTTCCAGAATGTATGTTTCAGTAATGGTTTGCGTATTTCCAGAAGTAGACAATTCAGAATTGGAAGTGGCTCATGGGGTATTGAATTTGATTTGGCCCCAAAATAGATGCAGTATGAGAGATTTCTAAGGGTTTATGTTTATTTACCTGAATCAGCCATTAGAATAGTATTGGATAAAACTAGTCAACAGAATGTGGGCTATAGGAAACAGACTATTTCTGAGTTCTGGAAAGTGATTGTTAAGAAAAATGAATTAATAAATGGGAGAAATAAGCAATCCTATGGGTATAAATTATCAATCTGAATACTAGCTGTTTTGGGTTTTTCTGCTTTCAGTTTTCTATCGGGATTTGAAAACTGTGCAATCTGTTTGTTTGCTTGACAGTTGGTCTGCTAAAGGTGAGTGGGTTTTAAAGATTAAGTATGGTATAAAGTAGTGGAATCACATGCCCATAGGTATGATTACAAGAAAAAATTGTAGTATTTAATATTTAGTGCTGTTTCTGAGTATTTGGTTGTTATTTATATTGAGTATATGGCGAGAAATCAAAATATAAGGCAAAGGACAACTCTTACTAAAAGATTTATTAAAAAACAGACTGTGGAATATATTTTCAGTTTATGCAGGTATTTACCCAGATCCTCTTGGTCTTCAGCATTTGTCTATTTGTGTTTTATCTTAAAATCTCATTTAATCTAAGATAATCGTTGCAGTGCATATTCTGCTCACCTTGACATATTAGGAAAAACAATTTTCACTGTAAAACATTTTCTGACTCTGTATTGTGAAATAGGCAAATGGATACAAGATATGCCCTAAAATTCCTTAGCGATTCCTATTAATATTGCAAGTATTACTGAATAGCAGTGTATTTACCTGAAGCAAATCAATGGAGTATTCCTGTCCAATCTGTTTCTATTAAGTTCTTCTCTAGTTGAGAAAGCATGGGGGGGGGGGAAACAAAAAAACAACCACAGCACTCAGATTGTAGTTTTCTTTTTCCTTTTTTCTGTTTCTTCCTCCTTTTCTCTTTTTTCTTCCTGTGATCACTGCAGTCGTTTCTGGGGTTGGAGTGCAGATGGGCTGTCGAAGCACCCCCCTCCCCTTTTTCAGCCTAACTCCATCCCCGCTGCTCCTTCTCACAAGACTTTCAGGCGCTCTTACTCTCCCAGGTAACAAGCCACCTGTTATTCCAACCTGTCAGAGGTGTCACAATGTTATTTACCTTTTGGCTCAAATGAGTGCTTTCAAAGAGACAGATCCAGGGGATGTGGAAAGAGGCAGCATTTTTCGCCTTTATAGTTTTTACCTGTGAAGAAATCCCATCAATTACATTGTTTCCAATTCAGGCACCTAGAGAAATGTAACTGAGTATGAATGTTTCTCTCTCTCACACACACACACTCTTTCTCTTTTTCTCTCTCTCTCTCCATTCTTCTGCTGGAAAGAGTCAAAGCAAAGCAAAAGCTTACTTTATGCAATGAAGTATTCCAAACCAATCTTTTAGATGTATGAAGCTAAAACCTAGAAATCAGGCAATGCCAAGTGGTAGGTAACAACAGGACCCAGAGTTAAGTAATATTGAACTTTTAATTACACACTGTAACTATACCTTCCAGATGTGCTTGTCTACAATTACCATGATCTCTAATTGCAAGATTGATGGACATGCTGACTGGCTCAAAATAGCAATTTGAGTGTCGCGCATGAAGACACCAGGTTGCAAACAATTAGAATAATACTACAACTGTCTTAGCAGCTAAGAGGAATAGTCAACCACTAGGATCTAGTTGACGTTTTATATGCATACTTATCGGCTGTGTACAGGGAATACCTTCCTTATACAGCTTCCCAGCCAAAGCATTCATTTGGAGAAATATAGAACTAGACTTATTCATTTTTTATGTCACTTTCAACCCTACTCGCCCGACTTGCCATGTGGTGAAATTCCAGTTTTATTAGTTGAACTTCACATGCATAAGACTGGTCTTTGTATTTGTGCCCAGCTTCTGTTTTAAGACCCAGCCCTTTGGGATTGGTGGGCAACTGTGGAATGTTATCTCTTGAAAAAATTATTGGTAGAAGTGCTTGCCCATTTATAAAATGGCTATATTGGGAACATAACCAATCCATCGTCAATTTCTTAGAATACTACTTGCCATTTCCTTCTTTTGTATTTTCATGTTTATAGTTGCCATGTTAAGGAAGCAAAGAAAATTTCCCAACGAAGTATAGCCACCCATCTTTTTTATTCTTGTAAATAAAGGTGATATTAAAGTTGATGCTTTGCAGCATACCATTTTCTCATTACTAATGAAAATTATATTTTAAAATGGCAACAGGGGCAGGAAGCTGTTGGGATATCAAGGGAAGTGTCTGTGGACACATTGAAGTCCTGAGAACTACCTAGGAAATCCCAGACCCTTTAGTTAAGAAAATTAATCATAAATTACAACTGTCAACTATGACAACAAAAGAGATTGCCTATTACATAATAGTATTTCAAGTTGCAAATAGCCATAGGAAATATATATCTGTTTTAAACAGTGTTTAGATGCATACTATGGAGATGTGTTATTGGTCAAGTTGAGATTTCCTGGCATATGTCTATTATTAACCATATTTGTATAAAAACACTTATTTGGACAACTAGCAATATGAAGATTCAGTAGATCTTAATCCTTACATTTGTTAGCAAAGCTTAAGGATGTAATTACAACATCAGTGCCTGAAAAAGGGTGAATATATCATTGCTTGCAATGATAAGTATCTAGCTGTGCAAGAACAGAACAATGAGAACATTGAAAGGGACACAAAACTATTATTAATTATAGCACAGATAGAAATCTACAATATTATTTTATCTCCATTTCTCTGTGTGAAAATAAAATTATGACATCAATAAACGAAAATGAGTGATTTATGATATAGATTTAGATTTTTATCCTTCAACCAAATGTGAAGAATTATTGATATTGATAAGAATTATTGATATTTAAAAGTAATTTTTTTTTGTTTTATAGACCAATTCTGGTTTTACACTTAGGACATATATAGAGAGTCCCAGATTTTGGCTAATTCCAAATCCTGAAGGCTGTATTTGTTGGAAGTTACGGCATTGGAAAATAATATTGTGACATCAGTTAAAAGTCACACATTTTTTCTCATCTCTTTGTTCTTGTAACTTCTCCAATTGTATGCATGAATCACTGTTTTCTATTGTAAACAATTGATAGGATGTATTTATTTTATTCAGTGTAAATTGATCTTCCATTTTCATTTTTCTTCCTTTTAATTTCACATCTATACAATATTTCATACAGTTCTTATACTGGCTAAATGTATTTGCTTGTTCATGTAATTTGGATTTTTAAAAGAAATAATACACCAAAATTGTTGTTCTTTCTCTTGTGAGATATTTTATAATGTCTTATTCTCAGGTTAAAAAAATAGGCTCTTCCCTTGTAGACTTTGGATGCCACTGATATTTGAAGGTTTCTAATAAAATCTATTCCATGTAACAAGTAATAGGGAATAATCCATATATTTGCATAATAGTAGTCCTAATTACTATTTTACAATAATGCATACTATTTGAATCCACTCCAAATTGCTTTGTTAGGAAAAATTTGGATTTTTCTTTTCTTTTTTTTAGTGAAAAACAAGATCTGTCATTCAAAATATAATTTTTTTTCTCCTTGGCATACTAATATACAAACTGCAGATTGAGCAATTTGATGTAAATTGAGTTTCTGGTGGATCTATCATTTTGCTGTCAATTAATGTGTCATAGTTGTATACAGTGTTCTTACTTTGAGGAACTTTAGAGTGTAAAAATTAGTATAAGGAAGAAACATCGGGTAGAGGCAGTGATAATAAACCAACAGTGGGTATGCAAGCAATGCTGAAAGTGTTGAAAATGAATCCACTTTGTAGCTGAAAAGGATTGGTGATTGATTTGAATGGGGTTATTTTGCTTCTTTTATTATTTGACTTTATGAATCTTAAGTATATTGATTCAGATTCTCAGAGCCACGCTTGTAGTTTAAGGAACATTAATAATAAGGTGTGTGTCTACCTTTCTGTATTGATCTGCTCCATCAATAGGGGAAAAACCATTACTACTGTTACGTAGAGAAAATTGTTGAGAACTAAGAGCATAAAATATTGTTAAGGAAGAATTGTCATAATCTTAACTAATGTCTATCAAGGAATTATAAAACTTCCTTTTTTGTGGAGAATGATTTATCTTACATAGAATCTATCAATGCTTGTTTTTAAAGAATAATTGTTGCTTCTCTAACTTGAAAGGGCTGTAGCACAGCACACTGTCACATGCTGAGATTTTAAGATGTGCCATATTATTGCTTTGCCAAAACATCAGATGTACATTCAGTCCTGCCAGGGTTACTTGGGCTGTGCTGCTCAAAGAGTACACTGAAAGAAAGTCAGGGACCGAAACTGTTTCCTTGAGATATAAATCTTGTTTTTGGCAAGTACTTTTAAATAATGAAATGCTAGTTTTGGGAGGTGCCATTCAAAATAGATTATCATTTTGTGAAATACACTTTTAGCAGCGATAGAGTTTTGATTCTGTTGTAATATAGGAGAAACTCTTTAATTGTAGGCCTGTTTCTCTGGATCCAGAGGAAAGTTTTATTATCATTTCCCCATAGTTGTTAAAGTGAATCTGGTTTCCCCAACTGACTGCTTGTTGGAAGCTGGCTGGGAAGGTCGCAAATTGCTATCATATGACTGCAAGATGCTGCAACTGTGTGAGCCGGTTGCCAAGCCGGTGAATGTGAACCGGTTGCCAAGCACCCAAATTTAAATTTCAACCACTCCCATAACTGTGGGAGTGGTCTGATGGTACCAACTTCGAAGACGGGTTGCGATTCACTTTTTCTTGGGCCACTGTAATTTTGATCCATTATTAAACAAATGGTTGTATTCAGTATAGAATAGAGTTGGAAGGGACCTTGGAGGTCTGCTAGTCCAGCCCCCTGCTCAAGCAGGAGAACCCATACCATTTTAAATAAGTGACCAGTCTCTTCTTAAAAACCTCCAGTGATGGAGCGCCCATGATTTCTGAAGGCAAGCTGTTCAACTGGTTAATTGTCCTCCCTGTTAGGAAGTTTCTCCTTAATTCCAGGTTGCTTCTCTCTTTGATTAATTTCCAACCATTGTTTCTTGTCCTGTAGTAATGTGAAGTAGTAATGTGATTGATCTAGTTAAAACACCAGCGATCGACCAAATAAAATTTAGCCTTAATTCTGGTATTTGAGAAACCACATTTTATATTAAGGAAGAAAGGAATTAAATTATATTAGTATTTTTTGTAATTCTAGAGTCTTTTATGGTGGTTTCTTAGGGGAGAAAATCATATACAGGAAATACTCTTTCCAGAAAGCACAAGAAAAAAATGACTAGAGGAAAATGAGAAATTGCTGACAGATTTTTATTTAAAAATAATTAATGTGTAATAGATTAGATTCTTTGATTTGGATTTCTTGCGGAATCAAATTTAAATCCAAAAATTAGTTTAAGTACTTCTTATCGTGAGTCTGCAGTATCATAGGTTTAATTTCTAACATCACTGATGATCAGTTTTATTGCTAATATTTTAGTTATTATCATATATTTGCAACTACGTTTCAAGAAAAAATACTAGAACTTCCTTATTTCATGGGGAAATAGTCCATTTTAATGTGCCTTTGGATTTTTATATAGGGGAATGTATTTAACATCTTGGGAAACATTAAATATAATATTTGTTCGGTTAAAGACATGCTGGGATGTTCATGTTCATCATGGAACTGTGGCAGCACAGTCAGTCAGTTTTCTTGTTACTTAATATTTTTATCCTACTAGATAGAAAAAGGGTTAAAGAGAGATCAATTCAAAGCTATAAAGGAATGGTATAATTTATAAGTTACCATTTATATCTAACTCAGGGCAAGTTGTTTCTTGTCTGAATAATAAATATACACCCCTACTCCCTTGGTGAATTGATGAGGCCCAACACAGTTGCTGTCCAATTATAGGTTTAGTTTCAGTAATTTTTATACATTCTGGAAATTAACATCTGAGTTCCTGCTGCTCAGGCTGAAAAACTTTCTGAAAGTTGCTTGTTTTAAAATTGGATTTCAAATTTTTGTCTTTCCAAATGAGAAAATGTCTAATTCGATCTCAAAGGAGCCATTCTTTAATTTTAATGTTCCATCTATGTTCATTCTTCAGCATGCTGGATTATGACACGGAAAACCTAAATTCTGATGAAATTTATAGTTCTCTTCGTGGAGTCACAGAGGCTATAGAAAAATTTAGTTTTCGTAGCCAAGAGGATCTAAATGAGCCAATCAAACGTGATGGAAAGAAGGACAGTGATATTGTAAGTAGACATTGAAAGAATATGTAATTTTTGTGTGATATATTGAAAGCAGTGAGCATTAATATTTAGATAAAATTGTTTGCTGTTTTCAACGTCCTACATTGTTTAGTTTCAAGCAAACAACACATGGGTGATTGAGTTTATCAACTGGACATTTTTTATGTATAATAATGACCAGATCTGCTGGACTGTGTAGGAGAAGAAGAGTCTTGGGGGCAAAGTCAAAAGAGGAATCAGCCTGGAATCATTATATTTCCACAAGCAAGCCATGTTCAGCTCCTCTTGAATTCTGCTAACTCCTATCTATCACCAATTTAGTGCTGACCGTAGCTGATTAGATTCTTATGTACAGATTTGAGCAATAAATTAGCTTGACTGGAAGTACTATTTTTTGCACTATAAGATGCACCAGACCATAAGACACATATTAACTTTAGAGGAGGAAAGCAAGGGAAAAAAATCTGCCTCTGCCTCCCAGCATCCATCCAGTATTCATCTGGCTAGCGTCCTTGCAGCAAACAGCCTGGTCAGTTTCAGCACATTATCGCAGCCCCAGCACATGGCTCATCAGGGCTCCACTCCATTGTGCCCACCACCGGTCAACTGAGGTGAGTGCCGCCGCCGGGGAACGCTGGAGCCTTTGCTGCAGAGCAGCTGACTGGCGGTTGGATCTGCCTCCTGGAATACCGCCAATCAGCTGTTCTAGGCGGGGATCAGCAACGATTGGTGGTGGCGATCCCCACCGCCTAGAACAGCTGATCAGCAGTATTCCGGGAAGCCAATTCAATCACCGATCAGCTGCTCGGCAACGAATGCTCCAGCATTCCCTGGCAGTGGTGACAGACGGTGGTGAAAGGCATTTGCTGCTGCAGCACCAACCCCCTCTGCCACAATATTCGCTCTATAAAACGCACAGACATTTGCACCCACTTTTGGGGGGGGAGGGAAATGCGTCTTATAGTGCAAAAAATATGGTAACTTGTGATCCTGATTCTTCCTGCCTGACAGAATGCTAGATCCTGTAGTAATAACCCATTTTAGGAGCATCAGTTTGAGATATGCTGATGTACACATATACTGTATACAGTGCATATACAGTATTATTCCATTTTTAAAAAATATAACATTTTTTAAAAATATCACAATTTTCTCTTATAAAACTGAAATATATACACTTTTTGTACTGAATTGTAAAATTATATGATCTAATGTAATTCTTGTCACTATAATCAAATGCTTGATATATAGTAGTTCTGTGCTCAGAAAAAGGGGAAGAAGGGAAGGGAGGTATGTATATTTGTATAGGAGGCTGTCTTGAGACTATTCCAAATATTAAATATTAAATTTTCTTGTACCTAAATGAAGAAGTTGGATTTATGCACAGAAACACCTAAGTGAATGAAATCCATGGTGCTAATTGAAGCCATGCCAATTATCTCATGTTGGATTCAAGAATTTTATAATTTTCTTCCTCTCCTCAACATTGGCAATAAATCCAGTTTTGTTTTGTTTTTTTAATTTGATTTATATGCTGCCCTTCTCCGGAGACTCAGGGCGGCTTACAATGCGTTAAACAGTTCACAGTCTTGTTCAGTATTATTTAGCAGCGGCAGAGAGAAAGAATAACAACTTACTTGAATGGATGCAGTTGATGAAGAAAATTTATATTTAGAAACTGCCAGTTTGAAATTAGGGTTTGGTGCAAACGAAGTTCTAATTTATTTAGCTCTATTAATAAGATTCAAAGTGGGAAAGACTGCTGTTTGGCAGTGTAACCTATTATCAGAGTAACAATAGAGTTGCCCTTTCTAGCTTAATGGAAATTGATCCCAATAAAGTTGTCTTTCTTTGATCAATTGCTACAGGTTTCCAGAGATGATGGTATAGCCTCACCAGCCACTGAAATGCGTGGAAGCAGTGATGTGGTAGAAGGTGGAAGGATGGCTCTGGATAACAAGACTTCCCTGCTCAACACCCAGCCCCCACGTGCCTTTTCTGGACCCCGAGCTCGAGAGTACAACCCTTACCCCTACTCTGATACTATCAACGCCTATGATAAAACTGCTCTTAAGGAAGCCGTATTTGATGATGATATGGATCAGCTTCGGGATGGTTGGTTTTCATTTATTTTTTAAAATTCAGTATTGAACTTATTTTTTAAAATTCAGTATTGAACATGCCTTAACATGTATACATTGGGGTTAAACTGTTACAAGATATAATACTGACACTAGCTTTTTGAATCCAGTTTACATCATTTCTTAATTAGTCTTGCTGGAATAAATAGAAGTATCTTGCTCCTGGGCAAGAGATTCAGCTAGGTGGTACAGCAGCCACAGGCTCATCTTTCAATTGAGACTTGAGCCCTGACATTCTGTAAGTGGTCTTCCACATTCACATCAGTGGTAGTATTCAGCCAGTTCTATCTGGTTTGGGTGAACTGGTAGCGGTGGCTGTGAGAGGCTCCACCCATCCGCCCAGACATCATCACGTCCCGTTTTTGATGCTCTGCACATGCACAGAAGGTCCTGAGCATGCACAGAGGTGTTATGCGTGCGCGAGCTTGCGATCACATTTGCGAACTGGTAGCGAAGGTAAGTGAATACCATCCCTGATTCACATCAGTAAAGAAGACAAGCTCCAAAAGTCATTTCATTGTGAACTGAAAGCTGTATCTGGTTAAAGGAAAAGCCGTGGGAACAGAACCTTCATATGTTTTCACCCAGCTCTCCTGCCTGCTCAGAATTGCTTTATGAGCACATAGTGACAGGTGGTAACACTGAGAATCAATTGTTAGAGAGATTATAGATAAAATCTTTGTACTTAAAGGACTCAAGACATACTATATTTGTAGACTAGTTAGAAATATTGTGAATATGTCCTACCGTCACCTGTTAAAGTTCTTGCTTAATTTTCTTTGCTGTGAAATTACTTTTCCTGTTTTTTCTTTTCAGTGCCCATTGATCATTCTGACTTGGTGGCTGATCTTTTAAAAGAATTATCCAATCATAATGAGCGTGTAGAAGAACGGAAAGGAGCCCTTCTTGAGTTATTGAAGATTACAAGAGAAGATAATCTGGGAGTTTGGGAGGAACATTTTAAGACAATTTTGCTTTTATTACTTGAAACACTTGGAGATAAAGATGTAAGATAATGCCATAGGCTTTGCTATTTTTACCACCTGCACTGTCATTGCAGCATATGTGGCTAATGTTTAGATGGTGTTCTCTGTTTCCTTTAGTTTCATCTGGCTTCCACAGTCTCAGAAAAGCCAACCAATTTAATTATCCTCGTTATCTAACCCCATCTCCAGTTTTGCCAAAAGGAGCATCACTTTGATACTGTGACACTTGAAATTTGTATTCCTCAAATGTGTGGTGCATGTTGGAGCACTGTTGCTGTGCTACTCACTTCCTCTACCAGACATCTCTCCAGTTGAGGAGAGGGCCCATCACAGAGTACTTTACTCAAGATGCCTTCAAAAGCTGGCCCTGACAGGATAGGGGCATCAGTATGGATTTGGAGATGCATGCTGCTGCCAAAGAATAATTCTACCAGCAACACATAGTCTGAGAACCAAATGTAATTGTCTTGAAATTAAAGTTAGTTTTTGTTCTAGCCCTGCCTAATTTTTAGAGCATTGCCTTTGGCATATAACCCAGTATATAAAGGCTGTGTTGTCCTTAGCCCCCCAAAGTTGCAGCTATGCCATAAAATAGCAACATGACACTTAAAAGGCTAATAAATTTATTATTGCAGAAATTAGTCATGCCCAAACTGGATGCCCATGCTGAGAGATTTTGGGGAAAATAATAATAATAATAATAATAATAATAATAATAATAATAATAATAATGTTATTTTATATAAACTTGTATGCCTGACTCACAGTGAATCTGCGCAACTATAAATTGTGGCTTAATTAGACTATTGTTTTTTCATTTGAGTAAACAGAATTGTCATTGCAGTGGCTATGAGATTACACATCTGTGTCCAAATTTTAATTTCATATTTGAAATATTTAAAGAAGAAATGGTGTTTCTTCTTTCTTTTGTAAGGAAGTAGATATTTTCACTTCTGAAGTTCTTACATGAAGCAGCACTATGGTATCTTTTCAGTGGCTTTTGGATAACTGAAAACCACATCAAAAGCAAGCAGAGCCAATAAACAATTTGCCACTCAGCCAGATCCAAGTTTTCTGCAATTGAGGATATACTCTGAATTATCCTTCTTAAATTCAAATAAACAAACTGTAACTTAATTAACTTCTCCTGCTACAGCAGGGGTCCCCCAACCCCTGGTCCACGGACCAGTACCTCTGCAGAACTGGGCCACTCAAGCGGGTGATCTAGTTTGCACACGAAACCATCCCCACCACCACCACAGTCATTGCCGGTCCATGGAGCCTGAAAGGTTGGGTACCACTGTGTTATAAAATAGATAAAATCTATCCTATTGCTATTATATGACTATAATCTGCTTTCTTACCCATCCTTTTAATAAAGGCAGAGTCCCTCAAAAATGAGAATGAGATGGATGGTACCTAAATTTGATAAGTAAATAAATTAAAACAGAACCAAAACTATGTTCATAGAAAGTTAAGTACTTTTGGAATAACTTGCTGAAAGTAGGTAATAAAATTCGTACGTGTTATTTTTTGCCATTTGCAATCATTGGATGTTCAAAGATTAAAATTGGGACAAATCAAATGTTAGCTCGGGAATTGCAAAGTATGAGGACAAACTTAACAAAGTTTAGTCTGAGGAAGCTAAATCATATGCTTCTGGGTTGAAGCTAGTCAGTGGTTGAAATGGCTCTAATCCAAAAATCTATCCCAACAATTATATAACCTAAGATGTTATTCTAATATTCTCACTAATAATGATCTTCTTGGATAAAGATGCCGGTGACTAGGGAGGAGTAAGACTGTCATGGCAGCAGACTGAATGAAAAAACTAATATTGATCTCAAAAAGAAATGTAAAATAGATGTATTTGTGCAAAACAGGCCTGCTTTAGCTTCCTGTGTTACTAATAATATGGTATTGGTCTTCATTAGCAAATAAGATCCAAGGAAATGAAATTTAATTGAGTTTTTGGATTGTTTATGTATTTCAAAAAGAGACTGAATCATAAATGGTTATGAAAAAAATCTGTTTGCTGTTCTCTTTGATACACAGTTCAATGGGTAGCTTATTTTATACATTGACATAATATAAAAGCTCCCAATATTTATTAGCAGCTACTTAGTTCTCATGCAAAGAATGTGATTCAGTTTTGCTAATGAACTTGAGCCCGTGATACAAGGCTACTGTGGTGTTCTCTTCTGAGCCTTGTCAATTTTTCTTGACTTAAAAATTGGATTTTATAAAATGTGTATCCATTCCAGTCAAACAATGCATTCCTCTATTAATGATTTTGAAGAGCAAAATGATGTTTCCAAGGCACTCAGAGACGCTTCTTAATGAGGTGGGAGGCATGTATATTTTAATAAATAAAGATGTGCTACTTCTTTTGATTTAGCATTCAATACGAGCCTTGGCACTGAGAGTTTTGCGAGAAATTCTGAGGAATCAACCAGCAAGATTTAAGAACTATGCTGAACTAACTATCATGAAGACCCTAGAAGCGCATAAAGATTCTCATAAAGAGGTAATTTTGAGTGCCGTACTATATGCTATACTTTAAGAATCAGTGTGTCTATAGGTCATGCCTAAGGTGACCAGACGTCCCGCTTTTGGCGGGACAGTCCCGATTTTTAGCAATTTGTCCCGCGTCCCGCGGGGTTTCAAAAAAGTCCCGATTTTTCATTCTGCCTCCTCAGTCCCGCTGCCTCTTGAGCCCCAGCTGATGGCTAGAAGAAAAAAAAACTGTTTAAACTCTTGCCCGGGGCTTCAAAGGGCCACCCTACAGGCAATCAGTGTAAAGAGTTTTTTTTTCCCCTAGCTAAGCTGCAGAAACGAAACCGAAACCAGGATCTTTGGTGCAACGTGACAAAATGAGGCAGAGAGAGATTTATTTTTATTTTTATTTTTCCTCCCCAAAAAAGGTAGGTGAAAAACTGCAAACAATGGGAAAATTATGCCCATGCAGCATTCTTAACAACCATGTCACTCATTTCACAACTGCTTCTCTTCACCATGATGACAAGATAGGGCAAAAATGTAAAATGTGAGGACAGTCGTAAGTTCGAGGACTGGTCAAAAGTGCGAGGACCAATCGAAAATAACTTTTTCAGCCCTCTGAGTAGTCCATATGCACAAAAGGACTAACCAGAGGGCTGAAAAAAGTCATTTCTGACAGGTCCTCGCACTTTTGACTGGTCCTCACACTTATGACCATCCTCACATTTATGCCCATGCAGCATTCTTAACAACCATGTCACTCATTTCACAACTGCTTCTCTTCACCATGATGACAAGATAGGGCAAAAATGTAAAATGTGAAGACAGTCGTAAGTTCGAGGACTGGTCAAAAGTGCGAGGACCAGTCAAAAATAACTTTTTCAGCCCTCTGAGTAGTCCATATGCATAAAAGGATACAGCAATAGAGAGGGATGAAGGAAGGGAAGGGAAATTAGAGTAGGAGTGAAGGTAAGAGGGGGAGGAAGAGAGGAGGAGAAGGAGAAAGGAAGAGGAAGTAGGGAGGAGAAGAAGAGGGGGGGAAGAGAAAGTAAGAAGGAAAGAAAAGAGAGAGGTGGTAGGTTTGAGGAGAAAGATTGCTGTACAATAAAAAAGATGAAAGGGAAGAAAGCCAATCCCAAACAAATATAAAGATATTAAGATAAAGAATGAATGGTTAAACTTTAAAGAATAAAAGAGAACAAATATGAATAAATAGACATGGTTGTTAAGAATGCTGCATGGGCATAAATGTGAGGATGGTCATAAGTGTGAGGACCAGTCAAAAGTGCGAGGACCTGTCAGAAATGATTTTTTCAGCCCTCTGGTTAGTCCTTTTGTGCATATGGACTACTTAGAGGGCTGAAAAAGTTATTTTTGACTGGTCCTCACACTTTTGACCAGTCCTCGAACTTACGACTGTCCTCACATTTTACATTTTTGCCCTATCTTGTCATCATGGTGAAGAGAAGCAGTTGTGAAATGAGTGACATGGTTGTTAAGAATACTGCACGGGCATAAATGTGAGGATGGTCATAAGTGTGAGGACCAGTCAAAAGTGGGAGGACCTGTCAGAAATGACTTTTCAGCCCTCTGAGTAGTCCCTATACACACAGCCATGGCCACCCGGTCACATGACCAGCTAGCCACGCCTACCCAGTCACATGGCCTCCAAGCCACGCCCACACAATAAGTCACGCCCACAATGGTGTCCTTCTTACCAATGTTAAAATCTGTTCACCTTACCCTATACACATAGCCATGGCCACCCGGTCACATGACCAGCTAGCCACACCCACCCAGTCACGTGACCAGCTAGCCACGCCCACCCAGTCACGTGACCAGCTAGCCACGCCCACAAAATAAGCCACGCCCACAATGTCCCTCTTTACCAATGTTAAAATCTGGTCACCTTAGTCATGCCGTACTATTAATTCCAATAGCACTATAATGAGCCAGTAAGTTTAAATGGAATGAAGAAAATAGTAAACCATACCTTAATGGAATTCCTAACCTATAGCTCTGACTAGTTCCATATATTATTGACTGTGGTCCTAAATTTACTTTTCTTGTGAGTCTGCATTTAAAGCAGGGCTGTCAAACTTGCAGGCCGGATGCGTCACGTGCTGGCCACACCCCCACATGGTTTAGGGAAGGGGGTAAAGTCCTGATGTGTCATGTGACGTGAGTTTGACAGCCCTGATTTAAAGAATTTCTCTAGTTATCTCATGTGAAGGATTTAAGCTTGGAACCCACCTTTTAGCCATATATGGCCCTACAACACTATCTGCAGCCTCTAGGACCTACAAAACCATCTTAATGGGTATGTGTTTCAGGGTTTAATAACCAAAATTAAGGCAGCCATTTCAATTTAGTTTATCCCAGGTTTTCCCAAATGAAAAATAAAAAATTGTCCATAAATCAAAAAATGACAGATTCACCTACTTTGCAGATATTCCTCAAGCAGTTTTGTTGTTTCCCCAAGACAAAAAAGGTTGCCACTTCTTGCCAGAACTTCAGTGACAAAATGAAATAAAGAATATGAAAACATTCAACCTATTTCAATACCTTATATTTTATGTTTAACCCAAACCAGATTTTCTTACGGTGATTTTTTAAAAAATCTAGCTTTAGTCCTGTATATATTTTTGCACGTTTACATCATGACTCCCCAGATTCATTACAGGACTGTAATCTTTCTAATTGAAGGCAATTGAGTTAAGGGTATGCAGTTCTGGACAGAATAGTGAAAACTTAAATATAGAAACAAAAAGAGAACGAGAGAGCGCTTTTGGCCGTAGAATAGGAATAACAGAATAAGCTTTACTATACATCCATTTAGCTGTTTACAGGATTGTGGTTTTAAACACATAATGACTTACTCAGTTAAACAAGCAACATGGGAACAAAAGGCATAAGAATAGTTGTGAAAGGTCAGGAAATATTTAATCCTTTTAATAAATCAGCATGTCTTTATTATTTTTTCTTGGAATCAGAGCCTTCATACAACAGCTTTCTGTGTATGTGGAGCCACAATTAGTAACAGTTGTAACAGATTTTGCGATAAAGCACTTGGACAAAACATTTTGTTCTTAAGGAGTGCCTTTGTTGGCAAGCTTCTCCCTACTGTGCATTCTTATTGTCTCACTTTGACTTTATGCCCTTGTCTTTTTCTTTGTGAATTATCTGTGCAAATGATTGAGAAAGCTTGCCATCTCCAGCGTCTTTTATTTTGGTTAAATTTGTATATGGACATTTTGCACTTGCAGTTGGTGGTTTGTAATGTAATTGAATGTAGAGAGAGGAAGGAAGGAAGGAAGGCAGGAAGGAAGGAAGGAAGGAAGGAAGGAAAACTTCATTTGTTCTTTGTACATTGAAAGGAAGAAAAAGTTTATTGAATATTGGCGACTGAAAGAGGTGTAGAGTAAAATTTTCATATTTTCTAACTTGATTTTAGAGGCTAATCTATTCCTATTTCTAGGAAGATGGTCAGTCTGGCATATCTTCCTCATTTTTCTATGGAACTTAAATTTGAGAGAATTATTGTACCCAAGTTGTGCTTTGCTATTAATAGAAGTGGTGGGTCCTATTCCACCACTATCTACCAAAGCCTATTCTGGCTTTGCTAGGCTCAGAGATATATGGAATAGTTTTTACTGAAGCAATTTATTTATAATAATGAAAAGGCTAGATTCCAATAGAAATATTTAAGTGACTCCATAGTACTTCCTTGTGAGAACTTAGCATTTATTTCTACAGTACTTTCTTCCTTCTTTTTTTAATAAATCATCCACTGATAAAAGGGCCTCTCTTTTAATGACTGACAAGTTTGCTATGCATTTTAATGGCAAACATTGTTGAAAATCTTTTGAACAATGTCTAATGAACCAGCACTGTCTACATATTCTCAAAGAAAACTGGTAGTTAGTAAGACACGTTTTAACTTAAGGAAGCAGTGCTGAAATCATCTTCAAAAAGATTTTTCATTCTGTTTGCTTAATTTTTTAAAATTTAAGAAAGGTTTTTACAGTTAATCCAGAATATATAAATTAAAGCAATTAGCCTGTAATTTCCTGGATCTCCAACACCCCTTTTACAATATTATCAGACACTTTTCAATACTCAAAGCAGCTGATTGTAAAAATGTTATAAAGTTCTGCCATTTTAAATAAGCTTGCTTTAATAACTTGTGTGGATGTCATCAGGACTCAGTGATTTGCTTGCTTTCCTACAATTTACTTTATTTACCACATTTTGTCTCAAGTTTTTGGACTAATTTCCTAAAAATAACTAAATTAGCATTAGTACTGTCCTTTATCTTTTGCATTGAAAACAGACACAAACAATTGTTATAATTCTGCTTGTCCTCTTTTATTATTCCTTTTCTTTTATTGTCGTCCAACTGCCTCCTTTTATCTTTTCCTCCTTTTAACATATTTAAATATTTTTATTGTTTATTATTAGCAACATAACACTTTTTTGTGTTTTTATTTGCTTGCGTTTCCTTAGCAGAACTATTCTTTTTTGTTCTCATTTTAGAAGGATTTCCATTTCTTAAGGAAGCCTTGGATTCAATATCTTTCTAGCATACGCTGTCCATTCTACTATTCTATTATGTTGTAGTAATGAAGGCAAGGAAATAAGGGCATAACCTTAGACCCAGGATAGATACCGTTTGTCTGGTCAAAGGCTGGATTCTTTTTCTTTTTTTTTTAATGTTTACTCTAATTCTGGGAAAGAAATGAAAACCACTCCCCTGTTTTTTCTTGTTCTTATTTAAATACTCATGGATTGTGAGCTTTTACTTCAGCTTGTATTGAGCTAAAAGGAAATATACTAAAATTTTAATTCAGTATATTCTCTTCCAAACATTTTGAGATCCATTTAAGAATTAACCATTTCTCTGAAGCATATGTCTAGAAATCATATTCAGAAGGATGACTGTTCTATTTTATTCTGCATTGGTCAAGATCTTACCTTGAACACTGTTTCCAGGTCAGAATAGAATATTTAATATGGATTCATACAACCTGAAACTACACGAAAAAGGATCACAATGATCAGGGTATTGGGAGCTTAAATTCTAGGACAGAATCTTTAGCTTTTCAAAATGTCAACTGGAAGGAGGATGCAATAGCATTCTTCAGGTACCTAAAAGCTCAGAAGAGAATCCTGGTTTGTTCTTTGTTGTTCCAGAGTGCAGGAAATGGAATAATAATTAAATTACTGGAAGTTACATTCAAATGTAAGTTAGATCACAAAAATAACTTTCCTACTAAGACCACCTAAACAGTAGACTTTCCCTTTTTAAAAAAAATTTTTTTTTTGATTTATATGCCGCCCTTCTCCGGAGACTCAGGGCGGCTTACAATGCGTTAAGCAATAGCCTTCATACTTTTGTATATTTTATACAAAGTCAGCTTATTGCTCCCACAAACTGGGTCCTCATTTCACCTACCTTAGAAAGGATGGACGGCTGAGTCAACCTTGAGCCTTGGAGAGATTCGAACCAGCAGTAATTGCAGGCAGCTGTGTTAATAACAAGGTGCTTAGACCACTGTACCATCAAGGCTCTTGCTGGACATCTTTAAGCAAAGGCTGGATAGAGATGTACTGATAACAAACTTGACTTGATGAGCCTGGGTCTTTCCAATTTTTTTATTTTATAATTTTATTATAATTTTACAATGCAGAATTATCAAAATAGGTTAACATTATCTATATTCTATATTTTTCTGCTTAATTTTATCCCTCGAGCAGCCTTCATTCTCATGAGTGTACAGTAGCCAAACTGTATTTTCTTCTTTATAATATGTTTGTACCAGTTATTATGAGTGAAATGAATGAAATAAGTACACACAATCTGTATGGATATACATATATGCAGGCTGTATGCATATGTATTTATGTTATGGGTGATTTAGAGTGCCAGTGAAAGAAAATGTATTGCTACTAATGTATTTAATCTGTTGAACAACTGAGTGAATAAAAATATTGAAGACATTGATTCACATCTGAATAACATTAGGCATCTATATTGCTATGCAAAAATCTATCCTGTGCTGCACAATTCCTTTCGCAGTTGTTACATATGTATTTAGAATATGCTAACCAGAATAAATTTTAGATAAAAAATTCACCTTTTATTTATGATGGATATCTGAATACATTCAGAGCAAACTAAGCATTTTGACAGATATATTAACTGTATTTGCTCTACATTTATTACAAGGAAGATCTACATAGTTACCATCATACCCTAAAATGCAGAATATACAAGTTTAAGAAAAGTCATTGGAATCAAAGTATGGTCACACCTATTTTCTCCTTAAGAACTCCTCATGGTTCTTAAGGATGGAAATGTACTATTTTTTGTAATGCTGTAACTTTTGACAATTCTCCATGTTTGTCTTTCTCACTATAGGTTGTGAGAGCTGCCGAGGAAGCTGCTTCCACTTTGGCTAGTTCCATCCATCCAGAACAGTGCATCAAAGTGCTTTGTCCCATCATTCAAACAGCTGACTATCCAATTAATCTGGCTGCTATTAAAATGCAAACTAAAGTCATTGAAAGAATCTCAAAGGAGTCATTGCATCAGCTCCTACAAGACATCATCCCTGGATTGTTGCAGGTATGGGTCTGTGTATGGAATTGCTCAGTTGCTCCAAGCAGCAAATATCATTTTTATTTATTTTATGTTGATGTCTCGCAAATTATAAGACTTGCTAAATTGAATGAAATAATAGTAGGAAATTAGAATGTAATGCATTTTCGGTGTAAATGAGAAACCTTTGGGCTAATAGCCTTTAGATGTGGCAACCAGTAAGACCTCCAACTCTTACTTTTTTTTTTTTCAGTCTATTTTTGCTATTTGCAGTCACAGAATGGTTGAGTTTCCTTTACCAGCTTTACTAAACATTTCATTCAGTCAAGTTTTTGTTTATTTAGAGATATTCATTCTGGAAACTCTCAAAAGTACAATCAGAAGAGTCACTCTGAACCTCCCTAGTTGTTTGATGAAGAAAGGTCAGTTTCTGCTAAAGGGTTACAGACAGATTAAGTAAACTAATCCTGTGACAGTGTTCAAGTAAATTTCTTGGAGAATGCTTCTCTCTCTCTTCGCCCCTTCCTCCCCCTTCCTCTGAGGCATAAGGCTTTTTACAGTCAATCTTAGCATCTGAGAAATTTCTCTCTGCTTTTAACTGAGGGCTTATGAATCACTTCTCCAGTAAAAGGCTTGAAACAGTGGATGGTAAAGTTAATATAAACTCTGAGAATATAGATATTGTTGATCAGGTTCCAAAGAAGTCCTTTATTTGCACTCATTGTCTTTCTTGCCTCTCACAAGCTAATTGAAGGTCGAAATATCTCACCTGATTTATTGCAGTGTTTCCTTCTCAACCAGTTTGCTTAAGGACAGGTTATGTCTTCTGTCTTCTTTCTCTTTCCTATCTCCTGGCGTGAGCAGATTCTGTAGTAGCTCTGAAATGGCAGTTGGAGGAAGAAAGGACCTTTCAGGCATTCTGGAATAAAAATAATACAAAGCAAAGTTAATCAAGGAATTAAGCCAGGCCTTTTTGTTGTTGTTGTTCTTGCCAATTTTTTAGGATACAGCATCTAAAGAAGCCTACATTATATGTGCTTACAATATTTTTAAATATCAGACTTCTTCTGATACCTTTCTCATCAAAGTTCTTCATACTTAGGATTGACAATGTTAGATTGTGTAGTGTTTGTCAGAATGGCCAAAGGGAATTCTGGTCTCTCAAAAGGCTTTTCAAAGAATGGAATAAAATTGGGGATCAGATGTCATCTTTGTTTGTTGATTTCATTTATCAAATGGTCTGTGTTCAGTGGCTTTTTAAAAAACAATCTTAAAGCACTAAAGGTACTGGTTATTATTTTTAAAACCTTACATAGCATGGGTCAAATTATTTGTGAAACTACAGGTAATCCTTGACATATAACCATTTGTTTAGTGACTGTTCAAAGTTACAGCGACTGTTTTTCACACTTATTGCTGCAGTATCCCCTTGGTCATGTGATGTTCTGCCCCAGCTATGGACCCCAAAGAATTCAGACCACACAAAGTCTGTACAAACCTTAGTTTTACTAAATTAAATAAGTTTTTTTTTCCCAAACAAAGGCTGTTAATTAACTTTCTTAACATCCTACAAGAATCCAAAGAATAAATAATCTTAATCTTACTATGGTTGGCAGAAAGCCCAGAATCAATTTGCAAAGAACGAAGATCAAGGCATGAAGGAGAGTGAACGAAGTTGTTCCCTGCAAATTGCTTCAGTCGGCGGTCTTCCTTAAATAGGCTAAGGGAGTGGCCAATTAGCCCCAAGCCTTACTCTTGAGGAGACCTCATCCTGAGGAGCCACTCCTGCCTTTTGGCAGCTCTGCGCGCCTGTGCATCGAGAAGAGGCTCCTTCTCTTCATCCTCTTCACTTAAGGGAGCTTCTGGAGGTTCTAAAGGCCCTGGCTGAATCCCCACCTCTGGCACCACATCTTCTCCAGCCTCATTGTCTGACTCGAGTGCCAGCTGCACAGGCTGCTGGCGCAGCACCACACCAGCCTCCTTGCTGTCCGAATCAGCCACTAGTCGCACAGGCCGCGTACGGGCCACAACATGTGATCAAAATTCAGGCACTTGGCATTTTTGGGGTATTTATGACAATTGCAGTGTCCTGTGGTCACGTGATCACCTTTTGAGACCTTCTGACAAGTAGAGTCAATGGGGAAGCCAGATTCACTTAACAACCGTGTTACTAATTTAACAACTACAGCGATTCACTTAACAACTATGGCAAGAAAAGTCGTAAAATGGAGCAAGACTCACTTAACAACTGTCTTAGCAACAGAAATATTGGTATTAAGTCAAGCACTACCTGTAATGCCTATATTAAGTATGCTAGCAAAGAACAGCTTAGCACTGTGTGTGCTTGTAAAGAGTATGGAAAGGAAAGTGATATCAATGTGAGAGTTCTCAGTTATTTCAAAGGATGGGAGGGTGTTTGGCAAGAATGGGTTTTCTCTGTGTGTGTGTGTGTGTGTGTTGTGCATTTTCTCTGTATGTATGTGCGTTCTATATGTTTGTGGGGGGTTTTAAGTATTTTTCCTGTTTCCTGTTTTCTTTTGTGAATTGTAGATTGTAATACAACTGCCTGTTTATTGGATGCTATTTTTCTGGAACATTATGTTTTATTTTTCTATTTTTTTGAACATTACTTTCCTCTAACACTGAGGGCTGGTTCACTTATGCCTTCAGTGGATTGACAAAAAGATTGGATGGGCAGATTGCTTTAAGCTCCTTGGAGAAAGGCAGGATATAAATGCAATACATACATGTATAGTACATGTATAAAATAAAACCAAATAACTATCACATCTTTTGGGTCAGATGTAATGAATGATAACAATGAGAGTGAATTAATATACTAATTATAACAATGAGTTGTTATTATAATTAGTGATAGCATTAATATTAATATATTGCTAACGCATAATAATATTAATATGCTAATTATAACAATGAGACTGAATTACCATATTTTTCGGAGTATAAGAGGTGAAATAAAAGAGGTGAAAATTTGGGTTGGGTCTTATACACCGAATGTAACCCTGCCCACCCGTGGCCCCCACCCTTTTGAAGCTTTTGGAGGCTGCAAATGCAGCCTCCCTCTCAAGCAGATTTTTTTTTCTTAATTTCCTCCCCCCAAAATAAGGTGTGTCTTATACTCTGGAGAGTCTTATACTCCGAAAAATACGGTAATATTTTAACCGGAGTTTGTTGAACATTGTGATCTGATTCTCACATAATGCAAAGTTGCTACGTGTGATTTAGAAACTACAATGATTGGTTCACACATTAATAGCTAGCTATATGTTTGTTTAAACTTAAATGGCAGCTGTTCATGCCCAATCCTTAGGTTTCAGAAGCAGGTATTGATGCCTTTTTAGAATTTATAGTTCTTGTTCCAAAGGGTATGTAAGGAGAGATTTTACAGCACAAGCTATTAAATGTATGAAGAGTTGTCATTTTGGAGGGCAGAAAAATGATCATTGGTAAAAAAAAATTCTGAGTTCCTTTATTCTATTGTAGATTCCAAAGGCCATTTTTCATGTTTTAAAAATGAAGTACCAATTGGCTTTTACACAGGTTAGCTTGTATTATATAGTTTAGCTCTGAACTACTTCTTCAGTTGTTCTTATTAGTCCTTCCGTGCTCTCTGTGTCAGATCTTTTGACTCAATGTTTTAGGTTGCATGTTTGAAAATCAGTTCATTTTATGTCTTTTAATCATTCAGCATGAAAGGAGCGTGAAATAGCCCATGAGTTTAATGCCTTCTAGATATATTACATAATGGTACATAGTGATTTTGTCCATTTTAGAAGGGTGGCTAACAAAATACTGTACAAGTTACCTCACTGATCTGCCTGGTTTTGCTGAGGAACATGTATTTTGCTTTAGAAAGAAATGAAATTTTTCTGTATGCCCTATGAAGAATATCCTTTGTAAGGTCTCACATAATGCTGAACTTTTCTTTTCACTGAGATACTCACTTACAATGTATACTGCCTGGTTATTTTGGGTGACAGTATTTAATTCTAAGGACACTGAAAGGTGAATATTGTTGAAATGCAGTTTTGCCAAACAGCAAAATAAAGCAGAAGATAAAGCATTCCATCTGGGTAAATCAGCTTGGGGGAGGGGAGGGGGGAGCAGCACCTGAACTTTAAAAAAAAAGGGGGTACTTTTTACTAAGTCCCTTAGCAAAGACTAAAGTCAAACCAAGACCACAAGGATGATGAACGAGTTACACTTTGGCTATGGGACCAGCGTGATTTCCCCCACGCCTCCTTTTTCAGTTGGTTTGTCATAGTTCATGGAATTAATAGAAACCATAAAAACTATGTAAGAAACATGGAGTTGTGTAAGTTAGGGCAGCAAGTCATCTTGTCAAACTGGAATAGGATTTTATGCATTCAGATGTCTAGAAATGTAAAACATGGCTACAGTATTTAACCTCTGCTTCATATGCAAAAAGGAAACCTAATCTGATCTTGTCTTATGAATTCTGTTCCCCAGCAAGGGCTGTCCTAATATCAGATAAGAGTGGGAAAAAAACCCCTAAATGTATGGGCTGAAAAACCTTCTCCCAACAGAGGTCACTCTGAGCCCAAGGCATAAGCAAACCATAAGCTCAGCATGCCTCTTTCTGTTTTATTATCTTTTCAAAGAGTGATTTAATAGAATATTTTTACAATTATTATTTAAGGGCTATATACAAGCCAGATGCCTTTTGGTGAAGCTCTGCTTCAACTGAAGGAATATAGCCTTTCTCATAACTTAAATCAGTTGTGGACAACTTACTTTCTGTCATATTACCACATAAAATCTGTCATGAACCAAACCGCTTGCAATTGGTGAAAAAAAAAAAAAAGAGGTTACCATATTCTATTCACTTCTTTTCTCTCCACACAGACTGTCAAGGAAAGGTAGATAACTTTACCAGGGATTTGAACTGATTCATTGTAAAAGTCATATAAAATTACTCCAGAGGGCTGCATAAAACCAAACAATGGGACCATATACTTATGTGTGTGTTTATGTGCTGTATTTTATTTGACAGAGCAGTCTCTTCAAATAGCAAGCAATAGACTTACATGTTGTGATTTCTTCTCCTCCCATACCACAGTTCCTATATTTTACTATAAAATTAAAGCAGGCTAACAGCCTATATGATAAATAGGAAACATTTGCCTATTGATAGCAATGGATCATTTAATCATTTAATTACAAATAAGATTCCAGATAAATTTCTTTCCCAAATACTGCTGAATTAGGTCTGAGATTTGGACTGAACCAATTAATTATTTTGAATCATTAGCTTTTTCAGATATAAATCTAATGACAGGCATGGGCAACTTCATTATATTTTGATCATTCCTAACTGTGATCTGAGCTGGTAAATACAAAAAGAAGAATATTCAAATAGATCCGCTGAGAAAACTAGGGTAGGGAAGAAGATGAAAAGCTAAAAGACAAGTAATCAAACTTAATCAACGGGAACTCAATACATTTAATAACCACAGATTTTGAGTTTGTTTTGGAGAAACAGAATGAAAAACCCATAGAAAAAGTATGGGAACTGTATCTGTTTGAACAGGGCTGAAATATTACTGAACTTAAATATCGCACTTAATATTTGGTCCTAGTACTACTTTAATCTCCATTTTTCTGCCCCTTGGCAGGCCATTCTACTGTTAATATTGTACTTTAAAGGACGCGTTATTACAGCAAAATTACTTAGAATCACAGTTAGCATTTGAGTTTTGAAAACTGCAAGTATAGGAGTTTTTTACAACATAAGGATGGTTTTCCTGGAATTAATTAGCCTCAATGCTTCATTATAAAGCTGAATGAGTTTCTGTTTGTCTGCTAGAAACTAACAGACTACAACTAAAAAATGTTAACCGTCATAAATATGAGTCAGTTACCAAACATTCAAATTTTGATCACATGACCATGGGCAAGTGTGAAAAATGATCTTAAGTCAGTAATGTTTTCAGTAATGTTATAACTTCAAACTGTTTTAAGTGGAGGACTACCTGTATTTAGTGAACGGAGCTCATATGTCACTCCAATCACTACCAACCCTGAGTGGCTTCTGTATTCAAAATATGTAAACAGGATTAAAATAGTAGGCAACCCCATTTCCTATACAGAATACTAATAATATATCTATATCGTCATGCACCAAAACAACACAAATCAAATTAGTGTTCAATCAAACCCAGTTACCCAACCATATATGTGTGTATTTGAAGTATTACATATGTATGTATCAGTAAACCTCGTCACTTTTACTTTTAAACTGCAATAGAGTCTGTTTGCAGTGATGCAATAAATACTCTATACTTCTTTTTAAAAAGCACAGACAGATATGGACAGTGGTACAGCAGTTTTGAGGAGGGTTATATTTAATATATCTCCTTTGGGGGGGGGGGTTGCCATGTATCCATCTGATTCATCCTTTGAGTTTCATAGAGTTGATGTCTTGCATCTAGGGTTATGACAACACCGAAAGCAGTGTTCGCAAAGCCAGTGTGTTTTGCCTCGTGGCCATCTATTCAGTGATTGGCGAAGAACTGAAGCCTCATCTTGCACAACTGACTGGGAGCAAGGTATGTGCACCACTGCTTCAAACTGTATTCATAGAATGAAGAGGGCAAGTCTTGAAATTGATAACTGAGGTTCTCCTCCAAAATGACATGAAAGAAATGCATATCTCAGTCATTTATTTTAGTGGGTTACTAGTTTTATGAATGGCAAAGTATCTCCTTTACAGATACATCTTTGAATCAGCTAAACAAGTGACTTTGGTTTGTCACACATTGGTAAATTTACATAGAGCACTGTGACTTACCTAAAATAGCAACGAACAATTGAAGAACCAGACTGGGGAAAAAATGTATTTAACTCATTTTTAAATCATAAGAAGCATACTCGGCATTTCTTAAAACCTGAAACCATTGACTTATTTATGTAGGATATTCTACTTCCAAATTTTTTATATATTATCCAAATTTATTTTGATATTTTTAAAAATAATATGTGTTGATCATATTTGGATTTATAAACTGAAATGCTCTGAAGATGTTACCTAGTTTGATAATGAACTGTCTGCAAAAAATAAAAGAGCATCCAAATAATTATGGAACAAAGCAACCTTTATCCAGATTTTTGTCGTTTTGCTCTTTTTTATCAATTGGGTTCCTTTTGTGTTCTTTCAAAGTTTTTTAGAAGGTTGTTAATGGATGATTAAGAGTATCTATTTTTATCCTGTGTTTTCCAATATAATCAAGCACTTGTCAGGATTTTAAAGAAGCCAAATAATAGCTGTTTAAATGAGCCCACGCTAAAATATTACCCAAGCAGAAGGATTAGAATAATATTTTATCCCAGAGAAAATATACAGGAAATCAAAGTTTTTTCATAACTTGCTCCATACATTCAATTAAAATTAGAAGCATATATTAGAACTCTCTAATGCAACATACATTCTTTTAAAATGCCTGCTTTTTTTCTTACTACAAAAACTCATTTTGAATCCAGTGATAAGAACAGCTGAAAATAACATTAAAGCTGAATAGATGTAGAGCTGAACAAATTAAGAATGTAGGATTAGTGATGTGCAAATAACCTTTAGCTGGTTTTAAAAAAATTGTTGTGAAACCTATTTTGAAATTTGGGGACAGACAAGATTCTATTGATGGCAGAAGAAGACAGAGCTCAAAGATTTCTTTCAAAATTTGAAGACCACCCGTTTTTACTTTCCTTTAAAATAATGCCCGCCATAGCAAGAGACAAATTCCTTTGCAGTGCCCAGGACATTCAAAAACAGTACCCAGTATGCCAGGAGATGTGAAAAGGAGAATTGAGAATCAGCATGGGCAATAAGGACCTTGAAAAACATATCTTCTCAGAATACCGACAGGCTCCTTGTTTCCATAGATGTTAGCAAGTAAACAAGGAGCTGGCTACAGTGATGCTCATAAGCGTTAAGTCTGCTGATCCTCAAAGTAATTAAAAACTAAATTAAAACTCATGTTATGAGTGCCAAAGTTTCAAGGAAAGTACCCCTTTCCTTATGTATTTGATTATGTGATACTGATCCTGAATCTACTTACGATGTTCATTCTATAGAAACACCTCGCTCAGGATAGATGTGCTGAAATCTGAGAACACAATTGTAATGGGAATCTGATGGATCAGTTACACTTTTCTTAGCATAAGGAGTATCATAAACAAAAACTAATGAAAGGCATCTGGATTTGATCAGCCTGGCAAACTTTCAGGTTTTTTAACATCAAAAATGAACAGTAGAAGCTAACATATGGATTTCTTATTGGTAATGGCAAAAAAAAAAAAAAATTTACAATAAAAAAAATAATTTTACAGTTTTTATCAAGTGTGGAATTCCATCCATCCAAATAATACTGATACTGTTCTACATGCATGAACAATGCAGAATTTCCTTTTTTGGAGAGAGCTACTTCAGTGAGTGTTCCCTCGATTGTGGCAATATACAAATAGTAAAAAATAAATAATAGTGGCCTGCTCTGAAATGAAACAAAATAACTAAAAAATTGTGAACATCTCTCTTCTTTTGTCCTTTTTCAGATGAAGCTCTTGAATTTGTATATAAAGAGAGCGCAGACGACCAACAGCAACAGCAGCTCATCCTCAGATGTTTCTACACACAGTTAATGGAGATATTTGGACATATGTGTAGACATAGAAACAATCAGCTGTGCCTCTCAGAAACCCTCCCCTCATCAGCACGCTCCATCTGCTGATGGAGGCCATGCAAATATTTATTGCAATCAGTATTTTTAGTCCTTTTAAAGCTTTTTATTGTAGGAGATTCTTGGAATTGAATATAAGGGAAGCAAGGCCTGGATTGCAGTTTTCATTAAAAAAAACAAGGTAATAGTGTACTGTGGTTAAATGCATTGCAGTTACATACTGTCTCTGCTAAGATCTGATGTAGTCCCAGAGATACATAACACATTCGTATTTTATCAAACAGATTTCTTTGATATTGATGGAGAGCTTGAATTTATATTAGACTATATTTGTATTATAGTCACACTTTTAACTAGCTATTCTAGTTTCCCCAATTTCTCAAGCATCGTTTTAAAACTGAGCTTAAAAGTTGAAATGAATTTGCATTTGTTTTCAGACATAATCTATACAGGCTATAAAATCAAGCCCTTCAACTAGTTTTTTTTTTTAAATAGAAAAAACCAATAACAATCTCCTGTGTGGCAAAGGTTATGAAAATTCAAGAAATCCCAAGCAAATATGCAACAGTACAATCTATACAGGGCAGTGTGGTTAGTTTTGTAAAACCGATTCAAGAGCTGCCTCTGCATGGACAACTCAGTTTACAATTTCTCCTCGGTGTATTTCAACATATTTTTTTCAAAATGTTTGAAATTGCAAACTACTCTTAATATTGGTTCTAACCTACCTGACACAGCTCTACTGTTTGTTTCTTTGTTTAACAGAGCTCTGTTTTGTTACAGTATTTATGGTATTCCTTCTGTGACAACAGATCTCTGTTAGTGTGCACTGAGACTAGATGCACTGTAATTGCCTGTATACTGGTCAAGATCTAATGTTGCTGTCAGAGAAAAGTGTCTCCTAGGAGATATGTGTGAAATTCTATTTCTGCTGCTTCGATGTTCCATGAGAAAATATTCTTTCCAAAGCTCTGATTGGCTTCCCGGAGCTGCAACTCAGATAACCAGGCCTTCCTTCCTTAATAAAGGACTTCTTTCATTTGTCAACAACGTTCCTTAGTGTGACACTTGTTCTCTTAATTTTCACCTTCACTGATCAGGAGTTCTCCAGACTTTGAGTACTTCAGGAGGATAGCCTCCTCTTCCTCATCTCAATCAGCCTGAATTATTTATAATGGTTTTTCTGCGCCTAACATATCTATCAAATTATTTCCATCTTAAGATGATCATACACATACTTTGATTATTTTTGGCAGTGCTCAAAGGGCTAGCTTAATCTGCAACAATTTGCTTTCTTTTAAAGCTGTACAACTGGGGAATGTAAGATGTATTTAAATGCTCTGGGCAAAAGGATTCTTTAGCTACTACTCTGTCCATGCTGATGGAAGTAGATCTGCATGTTGCTGGCACACAAAAAGCAAGAGCTAAAATACAGAGGGCTCCCTCTTTTCCCCAGCACTGTCCAAGTGTGCTCAGTTGCTTTGACTCTTGCTGCCTTCTTAGGGCTTTAAACCTTTTGAGAAAAAACAATGTGATTTCCTTCAGGGTCTTCTCCATTGATCCATTCCCCTTCCCTTTTCAGGCCATTATATCTGAAAATTCACACAGATCAACCTGCCTGATACTGATTTGCTTAGATGGGGATGCCTCTGTTCTCACAGGGCATATCAGTGTATCCAGGGCAGGAATATACAAATCCGTGCAATCCCTTTCACCGTCTAAATCCTGTCCATTCCTTAAAGTAGTGCTGAATTATCTGAGGCATGTGGCTTTCCTTTGAAAAGGTACACTATGTGTGCTTGCTGGATTACAATACAACACAAGACTTTTCTATCACCTCCTGTTAGCTCTCGGTAACCTGTCTACGTAATGTACCATGCAACCTTGTCACATAAATCTTCTTTCTACCACCCTCTCAACCCCTTCATTTATCAAGTGTAATGGTTCACATTAAAGGACAACAAAGAAATATTTGTAGAATGCAGAAAACGTTTGCTAACAATAATAATGTTATAAATGGGAAGGGCAGGGTGACAAAGCTTATCAAACCAGTCAGCCATCAGAAAAAGTTTCTTGGCACAGTGTTCATGCGCATGTATTTAATTTTGATTTTGGGTTGGTTGTTTTATTTTCTTTCATTTTTTGCGCTTTGTCATGTTACATCCATATCTGTATTTATATCTTATTTGTTTCACTTTTGAGTGTATCATGGCAAATGTACAGATGTTTTTATGTTAACATTTACATGATAGAATTTGCTAAAAAAAAATAATAATAAAACTTTCTGAGTTTGCCCTAGAATAAAAGAAAATAAATTTAAGTCCTTATGGGAACTTCTTTGCACTACTTCTTTGCATTCCCCTTAATGATGAAAAAGAACCTTTAAGACAATGTTGATGAAATGCTTGTGCCAAACATAATTGCTTAACCTCCAAATTACATTTGAAGCACATGTGCACACTCTTAAATCTATGCAGGGTTTCAGAAAACAGCTGTGTGTTTGAGATCAGGTGTCTGGTCGGGGAACATGACTATGGCATAAAAGATGCATCAGAAAGCAGTTCTACATAATGCCAATCCAAATGATCATTTTATAGGGAAAATGAAGTGTAGAAATTACATGTTACATTATACACCTAGAGTGCTATATTAACATGCTATGAATTGGATCTGCCGTCACAATCACCAAATTCCCTCCATATTCTTTATCACGTTGGATGCATTTTCCTTGCACAGAATTCTTAACTTGCAGATTTCAAAGAGTCTCTTCCTAGAACAATTCCACCTAAGATACTTCATTGTATGTTTGCACCTATGTGATGACTTATGATCTTTGTGTAATCCAGACACAATTCTCTTCTTTTGTTTAAACAGTTGAGTTTGTGTTTGTGTGTAAGTACATAGCTGCAAAACATTTGATACAACCTCTGTGTTGGTTTACCACTTCTACAATCACAAATACTAAATCAGATACATAGAAATTCCATCTTTTTTGAAAGAACTGAATGAGTACCTAAGTGCAGGGTGTCAACTCAGTTAAAACATAGTAATGGGCACCCAAGTCTCTTCTACAAAGGAATTAATCAATTCTTAGTTTTTGTAATACCTGAATCTTGCAATAAAGACAAGTAGCAGGAATTAAAAAGCCTTAACAAACACATTGACAAAACAAGTATTGAGAATCACTAAAAAAGTCTACCCACAACACATTTGTGCAATACAGAAGGTTATTTCTTTTTCAGACCCATACAGAAAACTAAAGTTAAGAATAAAGGATATAATTGGGGATTGGTAATACATTTGTTAAGGATTCTAATTAATACTGCTCCCATCCACATAGGTTTTTACATCACATCTCACTCTGAAATAATTTGCATCATAAGGCCTATATACTGTATGTTTGGTAAATATTACTAAATATTAGTGCCAAGGGAATAAAATGGATGAGCTTTTAGCAAATCTCTGTTTCTATGTATGCATTAATGCAAATGGAAATGATGAGATTCTCTGCATACAGGTTGCGACCATTCATTGAACAGTGTTGTTCAAAATGACAACAGTGCTGAATGAATGGACTTAACTACCATCTGTACCTGAAGTTACAGCTGTTGCAGAACTCCATGGTCACATGACCAAAATTTGGACATTTGACAACCCACTACAGTTACAACTACAGGGATGCTTCAACTTCCCCTATCTGCACCACCACCACCACCCCCAGCTATGCCCTTTTGGCCCACTGCCCCAGCTGACCTTCGCCATTTTTTTGCTCTGACTGTAGACCCAGTTGGGACGGGGCTTCAGCTATGAAAAAATAAAAGCCAAAAGCAGCCCCAGAGCTATGGTGCTAAAATGCCCCTTTGTGCTACCTCTTTGCTGCAAAATAAAAAAGTGGGGAGGGCAAGGATTTGCAGGATATGCTTCCAGGGGTGAGAAGTTGCAGGAGAGTGCAAAGGGGTCTTGGGGGTACAATGTACCTTACAAGTTTCTTGCAAAGGAGCATTTTGGCACCCGGCTCTGGAGCTGCTTTTGGCTTCCCCCTGCCAGCAATTGAAGCTCAGCCTGGCCCTGTCCAGGACTGAGGAAAAGGGACTTTATGATGGCACTGTGACTCTGAAAGTGCTTTTTGCTTTTGAATTGTATTTATTTATTTATTTAGCAGCCTGGCCAGGCACATCTCATCAGCATTGGGAACAAAAAGACAGTAACCCTCAGCTCTGGGCAGCAGATTGTAGAAGTAAAGACGAATACAGTTCCCTGGTTCGTGACAAGCAGTCCCAGAGCTGCACACACATTTTTTGTTACTATTATTTTGGGAATCTGTAAATATGTACATAGTGACCAGGAACAGAGTCTTGCTTTAAGTCCCAAGTGGGTGGTATCAAAGGAAACATACTTGATTGCATTGGCTTGACATCTTATGACACACCAGTTTTTTTCTGAAATAAGATTCATTGGTTCCTTTTATGTGCCCCAAATATTCACGAGTTTGGATCTAAGAGTACTTTGTCTTTAAGAGTACTTTGGAATTAGAAGCCTTCAAGAACGTTTTTGTCCCACTAGGGTATTTTGTTGAGCTTATGCTGTATATAACATGACAACAATTTGATTGCAGAGTGCTTTACAATAATATAAAACAGCTGTAAAATAAATTAACAACTATTAGCCTACTGTTTCATTGTGCTCTTAATTAAAAGCAACCAGCTCCTCCAAAGAATTGTAATGTATTACTGCAAGGGTTTAACCTGTCTTAGTGATAATTAAGAACGTTTATTTAACTCTCTTTTGGGCAAGACTTTGAAGATATGCCTGAAAATGTATCACTTCTCCCCACCCCACCAACTGTAAACATCAGAAAGAGGGATACAAATGTAGACTGTACAAATGTAGAGAAATTTCAGGTGAAAAATGAATGGATAATAATAGGAAATCAGGTTAAGACCAAATAGATAAAAAATAAAAACCTGTCCAGAAACACAACCAATTCTACTGTAATCTCTAAAGAGAAAGTTGACCCTTAAAATATTCCAAACACTGCACTTGATCATTTGAAGCCTAAACAATGAAAGGTAAGGAGCCACCAATATAGACACTTCCCAGAATATTTAGTCCTCTAATGTCTTCCCAGAATATTTAGTCCTCTAATCTCATTAACAGCTTCATTTACCTAATGTAAATGAGAAGGATAAG